CCAGTGGCGGCACCGCTAGGAGAGGCACCAGAGCCGGAGCCAGAGCCAGAGCCAGGAGCCTCACTGGGGGAGGCACCGGTACCGACAGCAGCGGCACCTTCGGGGGTGGAGGTGGCAGGGACGGCAGTAGCGGAGCTGTTGATATCAAATCAGTCAGTTTGAGGTTATTCGGATAGTGATCTTCACGGATGGAGCCGAGAACATACCACTTGTCACAGTGGGTCACAGTCGAGGTAACCAGGGGAGTGGAGTAGGTGTAGGGGGTGCCGGAGATGGTGACGGTGGTAGGCTATATCAAATGGAGTCAGTTGACGCTGATTGAGGCGGAAAATTCAGGGAGAGTGAAAAAGTCGTACCTGAGCAGCAGCCGGGGTAGTCTGGGCACCCGAGCCAGAACCGGCACCAGGACCAGTGGCCAGAGAAGTGGCCTTAGGGCAAACGGTGGTGTACTCGGTGACATAGACGGTCTTGTACTCGGTAGCAATGGCACCGGCAGCCAGGGAGGCAACGACAGCAGCGGAAGCGACACGCATTTTGATGGATGTGGGTGGAATTGAAGGTGCTTTGTTTGAATTTTTGTGTAGAGATTGGATATATAGATGACGTCGAAGGACTGACAGAGAGATAGGATCTCTTTTCTCGTTTGTAAAGACTGTAGTCTTGGGAGGGATTGACTGTGTTCGTGAAAAAGAATGTACTCGGTTGAAGAACCGGAAGAGCTGAAACAGCGAGTGAGTGGAGGGAAGAAAAGAGTGAACGAGAGAGAGAAAGAGAGAGAGAGAGAAAAGGAGGCGAACCAGCGGGCCGATCCCGATATTAATATAAATAACATTACAGAGTAAAAGGAAGGAGCGAAGAGGGGGCAGCCACCATCGCTCCTTCCAGTCTAGTGCTGTCCGTCCACAGTCGGGCCATTACCAACAATACACATACAGTGAATTAGTGCCTTCTATTATTTCTCCTATCTTCTACCCTTTCTCCGGGGTATTCTTTCCCCCTAGTGACCATACCGTTACCACCTGGAAGTTCCCCACGTTCAATTTCGGGCTGCAGGAACCCAGCGGGCACCTGGCAATGGTGAAACATCCCCAATTAATGAGTGCTTCACTGCCTTTCTCTCAGGGTCTGGATGCTGTTGGTATCATAATTCGATCTGTTAGTTTTGCTTGGGTCTGTCTTGTTCTGTATTTCCCCCTTCACCGTCTTTCTTTTTGTGGCTACCATCTGTCTTTGGGTCGGGAACCGGGTGTTGTTCACTAAGGTTTAATGACTCCTGAGAATCATTGCCCCCTTCAGTCATAGGTCCATATCCGGTTTCTATTCATAAGTCGCCAAATCTCAGGATCATCCTGCTCGACAGTGCTAGAGTTTGCAGCTGAAGGTCAATGTGGGAGCCTCGCTACGAGGAAATGGGATACTTAGTAGAACGGAGTATAGTTTTAGTGGATAAACAGTTCTAGATCGTGATCATCGATGTTTTTCTTGACAACTTGCATTCATTAGTTTGGAAGTAGTCCCTGACTATCACATAAACTATACACGGTCTATCAAAACCACTATAGATATCATAAGAAAAAAACACTTCATCCCATGTCCCAACCATCTCTTATCACCTATCAGCCATGTAGCTGTGGATCATATCATTTCAGAAGACACACACACACACGATTCCAATCGGATGGTTCAAATTGTCCCTAATGGATGGTGAGAGCGGGGACATGTCAGCATCGCCCGGGTTAGCCTGATCGAGACCAGACCATCCACGAGAACTGCCAAGCGTAAACGCCCTTCTTCATCTTGGATTTAGTTGTGTGATGAAGAAAGGAAAAAGAAAAGAAGAAGAAGAGAAGAGGGAGAAAAACACACAAACAAAATGAAAGGAGGGAAGCGAGGATTCCCGCAAGCGAGCTCGGAACCGGATTATCTACTCCTCCCTGACGCACGGACCCCTCGGAGATGCTAAACCCGATTGGGGCTAGAGTCAGGTGCTTCCCGCGGGCAACTGGCGGCCAGTCGGGCAAGCTCGTTATCAGCGCCGGGGAGCTGATACCATCACCGCGCATTCCTTGCGTCTTCGTCCGCTGGGTCCCTCGTTCCCTCCTCTTCTTTTCTTCTTTTATCTTCTCCATTGCCTCCTCTTCCCCCATTCTTAATCTGATCCCGTTGTACATCACACATTCTGCATCATGTTGAGTCGCTGTGGACGTCAGGCCTTGCGCCTGATCCCGCGCACGGCAAGCTCCGCTATTCGGTCGACTGCCATCCCTCTCCAGCTTCGTCCTGCGACGGTTGCTCCTTTGCGCCTGCCGGGACAAGGCCGCAGCGTGTCCTCTTCGACTCGTGAAGGACAGCAGACTGTATGTGTTTCCTCATCGTGCGGATTTCGCGCAATGCAGCAGCTTCCGGGTTGCCTGATGTCATTCCATATCTTTATCGTACCATACCCGCTAACTACCGTCTCCAGCTGCTCTCCGCACCCCTCGAGGAGTCCGACCCCGCCATCTATGACATTCTCCAGAAGGTAGAACTGGCCAATTCTTCAAGTGCAATTGGTATATCCACTCACCCCAGGAATAGGAGAAAAAACGTCAGCAACATTTCATCAACCTCATCCCCTCCGAGAACTTCACATCACAAGCTGTCCTCGATGCGCTGGGCAGTGTCATGCAAAGTCAGTCAAATACATCATTCGATCCTGGGAGCAGCAAAAGCTGACGTGGCAACAGATAAATACTCGGAGGGATACCCCGGCGCCAGATACTATGGTGGAAACGAACACATTGACGCCTCTGAACGGCTATGCCAGCAGCGTGCGCTCGAGACCTTTGGCCTTAACCCCGAAGAATGGGGTGTGAACGTGCAACGTGAGATTTCTATAGTGACATTGGCATGCGACAACTATACTGACCAGCACAGCGCTGTCTGGCTCGCCCGCTAACCTTTACGCCATTTCCGCCATCCTCAACACCCACGACCGCTTGATGGGCCTGGACCTGCCCCATGGCGGTCACTTGTCCCACGGCTACCAGACCCCCACCAAGAAGATTTCGTTCATCTCGAAGTACTTCGAAACGCTGCCCTACCGGCTAGATGAGTCTACCGGTCTCATTGACTACGACGCCCTGGAGAAGCAGGCGCTTCTCTACCGCCCCAAGCTCATCATCGCCGGTACCTCGGCCTACAGCCGCTTGATTGACTACCCTCGCATGCGCCAGATCGCAGACGCCGCCGGCGCATACTTGCTGAGCGACATGGCCCACATCTCCGGTCTCGTGGCCGCGGACGTCCTCCCGTCGCCCTTCGCCCACTCAGATGTGGTGACTACCACGACCCACAAATCGCTGCGGGGTCCCCGCGGCGCGATGATCTTCTTCCGCAAGGGTGTCCGCCGGACGGACAAGAAGGGCAACCCGGAGAGGTATGACCTGGAGGGCCCGATCAACGCGTCCGTGTTCCCAGGTCACCAGGGTGGCCCCCACAACCACACTATCACCGCCTTGGCTGTGGCGCTGAAGCAGGCGCAGTCGCCTGAGTTCAAGACCTACCAGCAGACGGTGTTGGCCAATGCGAAGGCCCTGGCAGACCGTCTTGGCAGCCCGCTTAGCAACGGAGGCCTGGGATACAACATCGTCTCTGGCGGCACCGACAACCACCTGGTGTTGGTGGACCTGAAGAACCGCGGGGTGGACGGCGCGCGCGTCGAGCGGGTGCTGGAGCTGTGCGGTGTGGCCAGCAACAAGAACACGGTGCCGGGTGACAAGTCGGCTCTGAAGCCCGGTGGTCTACGTCTGGGCACGCCGGCCATGACGACGCGAGGCTTCCAGCCGGAGGACTTCCGCCGCGTCGCAGACATTGTGGACCGGGCGGTGATCATCACACAGAAACTGGACAAGGCAGCCAAGGAGAGCGCGGCGGCAAAGGGTGTGAAGAACCCGAACACCGTCAAGGCTTTCTTGGAATATGTGCGCGAGGGCGAGGAGATTCCGGAGATTGTGCTCCTGCGGCAGGAGGTGGAGGACTGGGCGGGAACATTTAGTCTGCCTTGGGCTAAGGATGAGTAGGAGAAGTGGGGGAAATGATCATGGTTATGTTTAATTTACGAATGCATGTCTGTACAGTGAAATTAAAATGTTCAACACATCATAACAGGGATCTTTTACTAAGTAGGAGGAGTAATGGAATTCGGAGAGAGTCGGGGAAGAAGGGAAACCCGTGCGGAGACAAAGGCAAGACGGAGAAGGGAGAGACCCGCCGATAAGAAAAAAGCGCCGATAGGACAAGCGAGTTGGAGTCATTTTCCCCTCCGAGTCTGGATTCCCCGGCTTATCTCCGCATGGAGCTAGCTTGCGTTGGCTAATAATTCCCGCGGAATGCATCACTCAGTCAGTCATCCTGACCCTGCATCCCTGCATCCCTTCTTTCTTTAGTTCTTTCTTTCTGTCTGTCTTTCTTCTGGATTCACTCATATTCACATATACAATATACATCAACTATAATACTACATACTCCTAACACAGAATCACTATGCACATCAGTCAAGTACATCATTCCCCACATTCATATATTCTTCCATCCATGCCCGTATCCCAATATCAAAACCAGTAATACTAACGATAATAAACCAAAAGCTCTACACGTACCCCATCAAATCCCTTCAAGGCGTCCCCATCTCCAGCGCAACCTTCACTCGAACCGGCTTCCCCTATGACCGCCATTATATGCTCCTCAAAGTCCTTCCCAATGGCGAATACAAGAATATGCATGTGCCTCATTTCCCGGAAATGTCGCTATTCTACACCGATATCATTCACAGTGATGATGGCAAGAAAGCAACAGGGTCTGGGTCCAGCAGGATAGTGGTTACATATCGTCCTCCTCCCGCTGCTGATCAATCCCAGTCCCAGCGGAAGTTGGAGGTACCGCTGATAACCGATACGGCGGGGTTGAAGGAAGTAAAAGTCGTCATGCACCAGAGTCCGACAAAGGGCTATATCATGGGAGAGGAGTATAACGGGTGGTTTAGTGGGTGTTTTGGATATCGGGTGGTGCTTGTCTATTTGGGCGGTAATTATAGAGGTGTTTTAGGAACTTTTGCGCCGGAGAAGAGTGCGGCGCATAGAGGCATACAGGGGTGGTGGTGGAGGGACGGGGCGCTAGGTCTAGGAACAGGGCTGGTGGGTGTGATGATTTTGTTGTCTTGGGTAGGTATGAGTATGGGATTACTGGGGGGTATAGGAGCAACAGGGGCAGCAGGAGCTGTTGTTTGGTATGGAGCTGGACGCCAGAATAAAAAGGAAGAGCAGATTACTTTTGCTGATACGGCGCCGTATCTGATTGTGTCGCGCACTTCAGTCGAGGATGTCTCGGCACGGTTAGCTGGTGATGAGGAAATGGACGTTACCAAGGCCCGGCCGAACATTGTCATATCTGGTGCAGAGACGGCCTTTGAGGAGGACTTTTGGGCTGAAGTACAGATTGGAGAGTCTGGTTCGGCAAAGCTATTGCTCACGGCCAATTGTATACGGTGTCAGAGTCTTAATGTTGACTATACGACGGGGAAGATGGGTACCGGCGAGTCAGGGACTGTGCTAAAGAAGTTGATGAAGGATCGCCGAGTCGATAAGGGCGCCAAGTTCAGTCCGGTGTTTGGTCGATATGGGTTTTTGGATGGAGGGTCGGATGGCCGGACGGTGCGGGTTGGAGATGCGGTGGTTGTAGCAAGAAGGGTTAAGGAACGGACGGTTTATGGTGAGTGTGCTACTGTTCTACCTTCTGAGAGTTCTTGTGTGACTGACAAGTACAGATTGGCCGGGATTGACCAACTGATGGACATTAAAGAGGGTAGATATATAGTAGATGTAGGATAGTAGTACTATGGATACTTCTAAGCAATAGAATCTGATTGGCGATGACGTATCGACTACTAGACCATTTACTCCTCACCACTTCTGCTTCTCCCCTCATCAACCTCAACGTCAACCACCACCTCCCCTACAGTCTGTCTCATTCAGTAACACCACCATGTCTGAATTCCCTCCGTCAAGTCTCCGCCCCCTTATCGAAGAAGTCTTCGACCTCCTCCGCACCCGCAAAGAGACCATTTCCGTCGCTGAAACCGTACCCCTCCCTCTGCTTACCCCACCGTGGTCCCTCCACAACTGACCAAGGCTATCAATTATATAGGCGGCTGGAGGCCTTATTTCTGCCTGTCTCCTCTCAGCCCCAGGCGCATCCAGCATCTACAAAGGCGGGCTTACGGTACTCATCTTTCACTATACACATCATCTCCCAATGGCTAACAGGCCTAGGTATACACCCTCGACTCCCGCATTACCTACACCGGCTGGACCCCTCAGCATCTAGAGAACTACAGTGGCCCGACCCCAGAAATAGTGGCGGGGATCGCGGAAAATGTGCGCGGCACACTGAAATCTACATATACCGTTTGTGAGAGTGGCACGGCAGGACCGACAGGTGGGACGAGCAGGAATCGGACCCCGTGAGTGAACCGATCTCTACAATTATCTTCCAATATATCGGATAAAGGGCCGTCGTATAGAATGATGCAAAGTGTGCTGATACGTAGTTATGCAGTGGATATGTGGCGCTCGCAGTATCGACGCCGTCTGGAACGGTGACAAGGGAGGTGGAGACAGGAACCGCGGAAAGAGAAAAGAACATGGTGCTTTTTGCCGGGGAGGGATTGAAGTTGGTGAGGGATTTACTTGTTGGTGAGGTTAAGCCTACCACTCCAGCACTGTAGAAGAGTGGGAGGAAGTCAACTTTGGGTTGGGAATGTGAGTTTATTGATCCATGGATGTACTGAGACTGGATGGTGCTGTGCTTCTATTTCGGGCTGTGTAGAGCTGGTTACCTATTCCAGTACTAAGTTGATATGGCGAGGATTGATGCATTGCATTGTCGGTGTGTTACAACTAGTAGCACCAACAAATTACGGTGTGATAGAACAAACAACTCAAAGAAAGTGAGGGTATCTGCAGTCTTTGTCATGATATCATGCAAGAAGAGAAAACAGTGGTGCCTGAAAGGGTAATTCGGCATCGGTAAAATGCCGAATTGAATACGAACTTACGGCCCAAACGGGAAACCGGCACCGCCCTGGTGGGAACACCGCCACAGCTTGTTCCACTTGCAGCCAATGAACATGCACTATTACTGCCCTACGCGGGCTTCCTTATGTCATCGTGGGCCCGACCGTGGCGCAGCGCTCACCTGCATTTCCCGCAGTTTCTCTCTTCATCCGGCAAAGGCCAAAAGATCTTCTTGCCTTCGTGCTACCACTACTTACTACTCTGTCGGGCGCTTCTTCTCCCACACCATCTCAAGTATCTTCACATCCCGGTCATATCATCCTCGATAGCACCTCTTCACAACACCTCGCCTTTATCATCTATCAGCCCATCGATCCATCCTCATCCGTTTCGCACGGCGGGGTCATGGATTACTCCGTCAACCTCCGCCGCAAGGATACCACCAAGGGTCCGCCTTTGCGGATCCTGTCGCTTGGTAAGTATCTGTTCTAGATGCTCATAAAGAAGCCCCCACTAACCTAACACGTGAATGGCAGATGGCGGCGGCGTCCGTGGTTACTCCATGCTTATCATCCTCCAAGAACTCATGTACCGCGTCTACGTTGAATGCGAAGGCAAAGCTCCTCGTCGCGATGAAATCCCCAAACCCTGTGACCACTTCGACCTCATCGTTGGCACCGGAACCGGCGGCCTAATCGCCCTCATGCTGGGCCGGCTACGCCTGGATCTCGAGACCTGCAAAGATGTCTATGTCCGCATGACCCGCCGCGTGTTCGAAACCGACAAGACGTTCGCCGGCATCCCGTTCCATAAGACACTGTTCAAGGCTTCCAAGCTGGAAGAAGCCATCCGCGAATGCGTCCGCGAGCATACCGTCTTCGAAGCGGAGGGGAACGATTTGAGCCCGTCGGCGCGCAACTCGCTGGCCAGTGCCCCTTTTAGTCCCAACTCCATGTCGGTGCCCCAGCGCTCGGGCAGTCGGGCTAGCTTCAGTACGACTGGCTCTCATTCGTCGGGTCATGCTAGTCAGCGCAATTCGACATTTGTGAACGGTTTGCGCTGGGGGAATCCGGATGCGCTGTTGTATGATAACCGGGAGTATCGGACGAAAACGTATGTTTATTCTTTTCATTGCTGTCTTGCCGTCTTAAACTTTTTATTGCTTGCCTCTTTTTCTTTGTGACTATGTGCTGACTGATTAGTGCTGTGACTGCACTCTACAAAGGTACCACGTCCCGCAACGGCTCTACCGTCCTCCTCCGGTCCTACGATTCGCGAAAGGAACCCCCGCCCGAGTTCAACTGCACCGTCTGGCAGGCTGGTCGTGCCACTTCGGCTACCGGGCTAGCCTTCAAGCCCATTCAGATTGGACAGCACGTCTTCATCGACGAAGGTGCCGGTACCTACAACCCCTCGCCGCAGGCGCTGGATGAAGCGGTTATGAATGAGTGGCCCGGTCGCGAAATCGGTGTGTTTGTCAGCGTGGGAACTGGCAAGCGCCCACCAGGCACCAACAATCGGCAACACGAGTGGTGGGAGGACTTCTTTGGGGATGCCCTGGGCACATTCGCGGAAGCCCGTCGACGCCTGATCGCCAAGATCGAAGGTTGCGAGGATATTCATTTGGCGATGCTGCGCGACCATCTAGCTAAGCGCAATGTGAGCAAGGACAACTACTACCGGCTGAACGTCGAGGTGGGCGTGGGCGAATTTGGCATGAATGAATGGAACCGGCTGGCAGACATCAGCACCAACACGCGGCGTTACCTGACGCGACCGGAGGTGAAGCACCAGATCCTGGATGCGGGTGTCAAGTTCGCCAAAATTGAGCGCCAACACCGCCGGCTGGCTGACCATGCGGCGGCGGGTCAGGTCGATGATGGGACCTCGTCTATCATGCACAGTCCAGTGCTGTCGGTGCCGCCGCCATCGCACCCGATGGCCGTGGAGCTACCAGCTGAGCTGCCGGGTGACTTTGTGCCTTATATCACAACAGAGGACTCGCTGCCGGCGCACCCCACGCCACAGGATACTGTTCTACCATCACCAGGGCGGACATCAGGCGACCTGGCCAGTCCGGGGGCTGGCGAGGTCAGTCGGCCTAGCTCGCGGACGCACGGGTCCTCTCGACCCAGCACCGGGCATGGCCACGATGGGATGCCTCCGCCGGTGCCTCCCAAGACACCGATTCCTTATCCTTCTGGGTATCCCAGTGAACTGGGAGGTATTCCGATGCCGATGCCGACAACGACCAGCCCGGGACACAGTCACAGTGGAAGTTTGAGTGGGAAACTTCGACCGCCGTATCCAGTGGACGAGCCACCGGTGGTAAACAAGCAGCGGAAGCCGAGTTACCATGTGCGGTGATGATACCAATACCTTCCTGTATCTATTTTATGCTTTTTTTTCTTTTTTTGATTTCTGATGATGAGTCTACTTCTATGGTGTATGAGGGAGGCGTCTGCGAGAATCCTGCGAGGAAAGCGGGCGATTTCCGGTTATGATCTGATGGATACCCTAATGACCCGTTAATGAATGAATATTCTTGTTGAGAAGGCTGGATAGTGTGCGTAGATAGAAATGGTGTAAAATGTTCTAGAAGGATAGGCAAATTAAAACGAGAAGAAGCATTGCGACGAACCGTGGATCGGGATGTGCTGCGCCGCCCAACTGGCGCCGGATCAACCAACGATTGACTTCAGTTTCCCAGCCTCGCTTTTCTCTGCAACAAACAAACAGTTCATCTTACGCAAGCCATTCTTCTTTCCCCCCCTGCTGTCTTGCTTTTCTGTACTTTCTCTTCCCCTTGTTTTCTACTAAGATTAGTTTACATACCTTCCCCTCACACCCTCGCAGCATCAGATCTCGATCAGTATCGATCTGGTACATTCCGATCCCACGGACCTGTCGATCGCACGCCTTTTTTGCATTCCTCGATCCGCTGTCAGTCTGACCTCGTGGAATAGCAGTCCAATCCAATCAATCAACAGTCTATCTATTTCGCCCCTGCAGCGCCTCAACCATTCATCCATGGCTGTCTAGCGCCAGGCCCCGACTAATTATATCTCACTCTCGCTTATCGCTCCTCCCCCCTATTATCCTTCGCGCCCGATCTCACATACGATACCTTCTTCCTCTCTCTCACCCTGTCAGCACGGCATCGACACGAGAGAGTTGAGAGTGTGAGTGAGTAAGATTCAAGACACTGCAGGCAGTGTCCCCGATGCAGCCGAGCTACTCATCATGGACTCCGATAATCCACTACATCCTGTGAACCTCCTCGCCGCCCGCGCCGACAGTTCCTCCCGTCCAGCCTCCTACAAAGCCATCGGTATCTCTCTCGCCATTGCCTCGGGCTTCTTCATCGGTGTCTCCTTCGTACTCAAGAAGAAAGGTCTCCTCCGCGCCAACGTCAAGTACAATGAAGAAGCCGGCGAAGGGTACGGATACCTGAAGAACCTCTTCTGGTGGGGCGGGATGACCCTGATGATCATCGGGGAGCTGTGCAACTTTGTTGCCTATGCTTTTGTCGACGCTATCCTCGTGACGCCGTTGGGCGCACTGACGGTCGTCGTGACCACCATTTTGTCGGCGATCTTCCTGAAGGAGAGGCTGAGTTTTGTTGGGAAAGTGGGCTGCTTTTGCTGCATTTTGGGCAGTGTGGTTATTGCGTTGAATGCGCCGGAGCAGTCGTCGGTGAGTGATATTCAGGAAATGAAGAGCTATGTCATTGCTCCGGGATTTTTGTCCTATGCTGGAGTGATTATCGTGGGGTGTATTGTCACAGCGGTTTGGTTGGGGCCTAAATATGGCAAGAAGAGCATGTTTGTGTATATCAGCATTTGCTCATTGATTGGAGGGTTGAGTGTCGTGGCAACGCAGGGTCTGGGGTCTGCTATCCTGGCTCAGATTAATGGCGAGGCGCAGTTTAACCAGTGGTTTATGTATGTCTTGCTGGTGTTTGTTATTGCGACGCTGTTGACTGAGATTATCTATCTCAATGTGCGTTCCGCCCCCCCTACCCTTCTTGTTTTTGATTCCCGAGTTCTATTTGGGTCGGTCATACTAATGCCTAGCAGAAAGCCCTCAACATCTTCAACGCTGCGCTGGTCACTCCCACCTACTATGTCTTCTTCACCAGTTCCACCATTGTCACCTCCGCCGTGCTGTTCCGCGGCTTCAAGGGATCCGTCTCCTCCATCGTCACGGTCATTCTAGGCTTTTTGCAGATCTGCGCTGGTGTCGTGCTACTGCAGCTGTCCAAGTCCGCCAAAGACGTTCCCGATGCCGCTGTCTTCAAGGGAGATCTCGACCAGGTGCGCGAGGTCGCCACGCAAGAAGAGCCTGAATTCGAGCCCAAGGCCGACTCCATTCGCGCCACCGCCGCCATCATTCGTCGCCTCTCTACCCCACGTCGCCAGATGGAAGCCGAGGAAGCCCGGCGCTACTTCCACGACCGCGCGGAGGACATGAAGCCCCCAGCGGAGAATGAGGTGATCGAATGGGACGGGTTGCGCCGGCGCAAGACCGTCCTCGGCGAAGGTCCAACCACCCTGGGACGCACGCGAACCCTTCGCAACCCCTCGGTCAAGTATCCCGTTCCGCCACTGGGCATGTCGCACGTACCGGAAGAGCGACCAGACGAGCCGGAGCGACCCAACACGAAGCAGAGCAGTCATTCCTTCCTCGACGACCTGCGATCTCGCGCCTCGAGCCTCTTCCATCCCGCCTGGCAGCCCATTCAAGATGAGCATGCCACGCCGGACCCTGTTACCTTAACAGCTCTGTCTGCCCACAAGCCGCATCCCGATACCCGCTACCCGCAGTCCATTGCAGACGACTCGCGTAGCCACACGCCATGGGGAGAAGAGCGCGGGGCCCCCTCCCCGCCACCCCACGGCGGCGCTCGACGCCAATTCTCATTCAACACCATGCTCCACCGCATGAAAACAGGCCATGAAGCAACTGCATCGCGAAGCAGCATTCCTCCCCGACCGCCTCGTCACCGGGCGCAGTCCGTCACCGAAGAAGAACGCCTCGGCCTCGTGCGCGGCGACTCCCGCGGCGAGACAGGACCGGACGATGATGTGGACGAGAAGCTGGGCCGATTCGACTCACACGATAGTACATTCGACGATGGACCCGGCCGATTGCCTTCCGGATTAATGCATTCGCCGGAGCTATACCCAGCCCGACTGCGCGTCAACCCACTTCCACCACTCCCGGACGAAGAGCCGCTCGAAGATCCGTATGCGCCGGTGGATATGGGCCGGCGCGGATCGCATAGTAGCGCGGGGACGCTGTCGTCGAGCGGACGGAGTATGGGCTGGCGCAGACATGGATCGGCGAGTAGTGGAGGCAGTGTGCAACTGCCAGGGAGACGAGGAGCATTCATCTAACGATATTGATTGGACATATGTTGGGATGTATGATATGAGATACGAAGATATGATATGAACAGGATGATATTAATGTATATAGTATGATAGATAGATAATGTTATGAAAGTGATGAAATGGTATTTGACGTAGACGACGTAAATGCAAGCACACTCCTTTGGTTCGTTCTCAACAGAACAGCATATTTCGCCTCGGAGAGACGTTTCCCTGCTGCAATACTATCCATAGCCCTACAATATTTAGCACATCCCATTCAACGACCCTATTATTAAGTAAGAGGGGAAAGGAGGACATACCACTGAACCCTCACCAACTTGACCCCCTTCCACCCACCCCTCTGTATCTCCTTTTGTAACTTTCCAGCTGCTAACCCACCCCCTGCCCCTGCTGCCTTTATTCCTGATTTTATTGAAGAAGAAGAAGAAGAAGGAGTATTAGGTTCCCCCAGAATAACATGCGTTACTCCACGATGCATATGAAGCGAGAGATTTGCACCGTGCGAGATGAGAAGATGTTTGAGTTTGTGGTCTGAGACGGTGGGTGTTGTTTGGCCGTTTATGTGGATGGTTAGGGAGGAGAAGATGGTAGATGTAGATGTAGATGTAGATGTAGATGCGTTATTTTCTCTCCTTGATATTGATTCTGTGTCTGTGTTTGTGTCTGTTATTTTATTCCCATTATCGTCTTGATGATCAATTCTTATCCTCTTCTTCTGTTCATGATTATTCAATGACGTAGCATCTCTCTTCAATGATGATGATATCTCACATCCCTTCTTAGACATCATAGATATAGTATATTGTGATGGAGGAGTTGATTTCGGTTTCGACACTCCAAACATACTCCGTATATCCCCCTGCTGCTTCTGCTTCTGCAATTCTGCAGGTATCTGGGTCACAACCCACTCCCCTTTACTCTTCCCATCACTGTCATATGTACAATCGCCCCTGCCCGCCCCAAACTGTCTCGTGAGTTTCTCTCGTCGAGTCTCGCGCCATGAGGTGATTCCGCGGGAGGATCCAGGGTCGGCGATTTGGTGGCCTGTTGAGGAGGAGTTCCAGGTGTCGAAGGTGAGGTGGTTTGTTGGGAGGGTGGGAGGTTTGGAGGGAGGTGGAGGTGGCATTGCAGAGTAGTAGTATCTTCTGTGGAGATTGAGTTGTGAGGGAAGTGTGAAGTTATTGTTGGTATGTGTTTTGTTTGGTGGTTGGAGGGGATACCAGAGTTTCTTATCGGTCATGTGATGTTGGTTATCGGGGAGGGTGGGTTTATCTTGTCGGTGGATGTGATGGATGAAGGTCGTTGGGGGTGTTGGTGAGTATTTGATGTGGTGTTATTTTAATGAGTATATATGAACTATTTGGGAGAAGTGGATATTGGTTAAAGGTAGTAGTTAATGGGGGTTTATGGTAATGGTGGTAGTGTAGATTGTTATCACTATCGCTGCAGTGATGTAGTATACGCTAAGTCCATACTTACATTATATATATAACCACTGTGGGAGAGCACTATTCTACAACAACAACAATACTAGTAACTACTTCTAACAGCAGAAATATATTATAGATAGTATCACTACCAGCAATAACAGCAAAGCGACTACACCACTACAAGAATTAAGTTAATTTACCTCACCTTGCCTTGCCTGACATAGCATGATCCATCCGTGGTATGGTAGTAATTCCATATGCTTCAATTGCACACAATACTTGAATCTACTTAATCTACCACACTTCAGTGTACATAAATCCTACATAAGCACATACTTTACATACAGTAGTTATACTATGCATACACTACATTACACTCTACATAAGTAGGCCATTCATACCATTATCATTGAATATAACCAGAAAAGGATAGAATAATTGCAACAAAGTCCCTCGCACAATATCGTCAAAGCTAGTAGATCATAGATCATAGATCATACCACTCACTCACATTCCAACCTCCTTTTTTTTTCCCCACCTCCCTCCGCGGAAAGACGGTGAAGAAAACGAGAGAAAAGATAGATGAGCTCATCGTGGCTGGCTGGCTGGCTGGCTGGCTGGCTGACGACTATGCCAACCAAGGATAATAATATTACACAAAAAGTGGGAAAAAGTAAGTTGGGATGATGCATCCTGCACGGGTTTGTGTAGCCTTGTTCTAGCCCTCTGTGTTGCCCAGAATTCTTTTTCCAAGTATGTAGGATCATGTATGAGTATATGTATGCATGTATATGTGGATATATGCAAGTAGTAATAGGGAATACTGAATTAAGGAAGAGGGAGGGGGAGAGGATTAAACTCAAAAGCTATAAGAAGAAATAAAAGAAACGGTAAAGAGTGTGAGTGAGTGAGTGATTGAGTGGCTAATGGAATGAATCAAGGGATAAACGTTAACCAACATAATGACTGACTCGATAAAAGAGATTTTCCCTTTTTTTTTTTAAAAAAAAAGGGATTGTACTCAAGTAATAAACTATCGTACATATCATCTGTCAGCTGATGTAGGGTCACCGTCATCATCGTCATCGATTTTCAGTTCAATGTTATGTATGTATCTCTATCTGTATTTTCTGAATCCATATATGTATGTACGTTGTTGCTGCTGCACTCTGCATTACTATATTAGGAAACCTTTCATGAACCTACTTACTAGTTAAGTTCAAACCCTACTTTACTTTGATGGTGGTTGGGGTTACTATCTATTACTCACTCGTGCAACGATCGACAGACTCATCATCCTTTATGTACATACGTTATATCATCTGTATATCTATTCCTACTTAATGTATCCTATCACTAGTACCCATAGGCAGATATAACTGGCAAATGATTCTATATGTAAGTCGGTATGTATGCATCACGGGTTGTTGCAGCTGAAACCAAACAACGCCATTCCAACGCAAGGATAGTCTAAGTAGTGGTACTTTCATTACTAGTTAGTAGTTAGCGGTCTGTCTGTCTGTCTGTCTGCCTACCTGCCTGGTCTGCCGTGTGTGGGAGAGTATGAGTTCAATTCCCGTTTCTGCCATCATCACGTTCATTATTCTTTTTTTGCCAACTCACTTTTTGCCAGATTAATCTGGATGTGCAAAGATACGTGGTCGCCTCCACCGCCAGTCGGTGCGCCCCCCCCCTCTCCCCTCCCCTCCCACGTCTTCCCACCTCCTCACCAACTACTCACCCACTAACCAGCTTCACTACCCAATCATGACCAGCACAACCCCTCAAGTCGAGAATCTCGCCTCAGACAATCGGGCGACGAGGGTCCGTGTCGCTTGGCGCTGATCATCGTGGCCCGTTTGGTCTTCCTTCCTTCCCTCCAATTTCCTTGTGTTGCCGGTTTTACTGTAGTCCATCCATCCATCTCATCGTCCTGCAAAGCCCGGGTTCCCCGATCTGGTAGGTCATCTCCTTATGGAAATGTTCACTGAATGTCCCGTATCAGGAAAGTTGAACAATAATTCATAAAAAGAAGGAAAAAAAATAAGAGTAAAAAGAAAAGGAAACCCCACTATTGCTATACTACGATGATACTCTCTTCTCTTTCCGGTCACTTTTCCTTCTTTAGAAATGGAGACTTCTGAATCGTGACATCAGCCACCAACAAACCGATTCTTCACTGGCCGGTCGCATTATCCCACTGAAACGCCATCCGAATCTTTAAGGTTGCAGCAATCCGTCAGCGTTATCTTGACCGCTAAAGTCCCTGTCTAGGCAGCAGCCCTTTTCAAATTGCTCGTCGTGCAAGAAGGGAGGAATAGATGAAAGTAATCCACCCCCGTGGATGTCCAGAGGGGGAGTGAGTAGGATCGTTCAAAGCTTAGTGCACTGGCTATCCACCTGCGCAGTCGATCGTGCACGGGTAACAACGGAACATGCAATGTAAGGTTAATTACTGCGTGCAGCAGTCCTGACCACTCACGTTGGCCTCTGCCCACTGTCCGTCCCCTCTCGCTACCGTGATATGAGATGCCTCTAAACTCATTCCTGGCCCTTTCTTACAGCACCAATGACGCTCTGGAAAAGGAGAGAAGGATGGGATGGGGAAACCAACTAGCGGTCGTGGCCGCCGTGCTGGAGACAGTGATTTCACGTCGAATTTCCCCTCCGCACGCGCCCGTCCAATCGACTCCGTCCGAGTCTGTCCGGAGGAAAGCGACGGGCTCGGGCTGAATTCGGCTGTGGTTGGCGTGCTGGAGAGACGACCGGGGGTGGTTTGAAGCTGATTTAGTGTGGTTTTTTAGGGTCGTCACTGAACAGTTGAGGGGAACACAGCCAATCGAGGCACGAATTCCCTTTCCCTAGTTGGGAGACCGGTCATCATCGACCAGAGAGGCATGGATAGATTGATGCGTTGAGATCGCTCGTGCTGACGGTTGCACAAGACCCGGGAGTTGGGGGCCATATCACATTCCGGCCGGAGAAGTCGAAATCGATCAGCACGGAATTATTTGCCTTTTTGCCAAATGTGTAATTGTCTTCTAGAATGGCAAATACCCCCTTCCCGTAGATTTATCTCCCTTTGTTCGGGGGGCGTCAAGCTACTCACTAGCCTAGAAATTGTCCTCGACCGGTTATTCCCGTGGCCAACGTTGCACAGCAGGGGGGGGGAGAGAGAGGACGGGGGGCGCAATGTAATCCTCGTCCATTATCCGGAGATTCAGCATCCGCGTGAGCAGCTAGACAACTAGATCCTAAGGAAGAGCAGGGGTCATCAGGGGGGCGCCATGGTTAGTGTTTTTAGATAGTACGGCGTGCTGAGGCAGAGAAGAAAAAAAACTGAAGGGAGTGGAGGAGTCTGCCTTAGTGTCTGTTGACCACCATTCGGAGCAAACTAGCGCCCTGCTAAGGTGCAAGTAGTAAGGCGACAGACCGGCTACCTAACTAACATCTGCGCCATGCCCAGTGCACGCTGCCTCGGTACTACCATCCTGGCGGCTGCAGGTTATCGACTGCTGAAGAATGAAGCAGTTCGCCGGCGCAGTGACTTGGGAAGCGGTCCTTCCTTGGGGCGTGCATGGCAGCTGCAGGTACCGCCGGAAACCTGACAGGTGAGTAGTCGCTAGTAGTCTAGACGGGGTCTCATAGCACCGGAGAGTGGAAATGAGACATTGGGGGGGAAAGAGAGGGGAACAGAGAGAGACGGTTGGTTAGTAGGAAAGTCCAAGGCCGTCCGTCGAGCACCGGACCGATAGCGATCTCAGTCATAAGCGACCCGAGAGGAGGTTATCCACGCATTGGCGGTACAAGAGAAGGCGGGTCCCACAGTCAGGACCGGAGTAATTCCTATCCTGCTTTGGATTTAATTGTCTCTCCCATGATCAATCAATCAATCAATCAATCCATCAAGTAGAGTGGAGGGGGTGGTTCATGGACAAGTCTCGTCCGAGGCTCACACTGCTCCGACGAAACATACACATGATTAAAAATTGGTAGGGAAAATAATGGTACCACGTAATGACGGGGATGTGTCGAATTGTCGATAGATTAATTAAAGGAAAGACAGAGGATGATAGAGAGAGAGAGAGGCAAAAAAAAAAGAGGGGAAGCGAAAGACAAGACGGATCGAGTTGATCTCCGTGCATTTACGCTGTTGAGTCTAGCGTGACCCGGACGGGCCCTTCAACTCGTTGAAATCCTGAGCTCTGCCCTCTCCGCGGTTCACTCCGGCGCCAACTCTAGACCAACTCCTGTGAGGTGGAGATTCCATGACTTGTCATTTGTCAATTGGCATCCTCGGGCCATTTGGGGATTTCCGGCCCAGGGAAAGAGAAGAACATAGCGTGCTGGTTTGAGTACTTTGTAGAGTGGATTAGCAGCAGCAGTAGTAGTAGTAGTAGTAGTCTAGTTAGTGTAGTAGTGTCTCTCAAGTTTAGTCTAGTCCAGTCTGACTGTCCGCGAAATTGGAGAGGAGAAACAACACTAGCCAGGATGCCATGGCACGGAGGTACCTATGGGCGTAGGACTCTGCATGCTCTGCAGCGCCAGGGCTAGCGCCACTGGGTTCCTGCTCCAAGCAAAAGGTTTGCCCAGGATGCCCAGGGCTGCGTTGTAGCAGGATGGCGCTGGTCGGCGATAGCTGCGGTGCAAGTTTGAACGACCTCCCGATTGGATCCATGACCCTGGCCATATTCAACTCAAGGTGAATAACTCCGTCGGGGCCAACCATCTTTGCCGTCTACCCTGCTGTATACTCCGTCAGGATGAGCTACAGCCCCGCAAGATCTGCTGTATGTACGACGGCTGCGGGTGTCGGGCCGTCGGTAGCGGACTTCCAAGAATGACTAGATAGATCCAGCAGTATGGCCTTGTGTCTGGTTTTGAAGGATCACACACACACACAATCTCTCTCTAGGCCCCGTAATGATGTGCACATGGGGTGGATGGGCCGGTCTTAGTTTCCTATCTTCCGGTCAGAAAGAGAGGATACACAGGAAAAACTAAACTAAAAAAAAAAGAAATCAGAAAATAAAATTGAGAAATGGACAGAAAAAGAGGGAAGAAAAGCAAAGCAAAGTGAGCTTGTCAAGAAGAAAAGGATTTCAAAAAATTACCAGGTAAACATAAAAGAGTAAAAGACTGGGTAGATCCTCATCTTAGACTGCACGGCCCTGAGCGATCCCCGGCTGGTAACACACTGAGACTAACTCCGACGGTCATTCAACCTGGTCGATCATTGACCTCCCGGCACAAGCTCGGAGGGACAGTGTTGCTCGTCTTGTCCGTAGTGACGCTGATGTACTTCTTTCAATTTCACCTTGTGTAGTTACTCACTCACGGAAATGTCAACCAGGTGTGGATAACTATCGCACTGACACACCCACCAGATGACTAGTCTGGTTTATTTTTTTTATGGCGCTCAACACAGACCGCCTGGTGCATGGTGCTTGTGAGAGTGTTGAATGCCAGATAGATGTGCATTCGGTCTTACCTTCAACAGCCAATACACTTGCATATTCAACTTACAGTAGTCGTGCTTCTCAACTCTGTCGGTCGGTTGGACATGTGGCAGGGACATGACAGGCGGGGGGCGCTGCTTGGTAGCAGCAGTCGGTCAGTCAGTCAGTCAGTCAGTCAGTCAGACCTTCCAAATTCTCATCAATCTTGTATGGCGTAAGAGCTAAGAGGCAAAGACCGGGAGGGAAAGAAGCAAGCTCCCCAGGTTTCAAGGTTGCTTGCTTGCTGCACCCTGTCATACCTGACATCCATGGCACACACACACACACACACACACACACACACACACACACACACTACCAGGTAGCTAGCTCATCATTGGATGTTTCTGGATACGCTGTTCAATCCTGGATCCAAGCTCGCCAAAACATCCATCTCCAATGTCCATACCATGGATTATGAATGGACAACCATCAACGGATGGCTACACAGGAGTAGTCCTGAACTAGACGCGCTTAACGGTCGGAAATAAAAAGCGACTTGTCCAACAAAATGAAACCCAGAATCCCCTCATCGGCCGTCCTACTCGATCCGGGACACCCCAACCTGTCAACAAAAACAATATTTCCCACCTCCTCGTAGTTTCTCACCGTAACACCTTACTAGGAGATAGTAAGTAGGCTTGGTATAAAGTAAAGTTGTAGTACTCGTAATACTCTCCTCGGGCCGGGGGGTGATGAGCGACAGAAAAAGAAAGTTAAGGCAGACAAGGCCTTGTCTCCAACAATGGGAAGCTTCTACTTTCTCACCTTTTTTTCTCTCCTCCTCCCGTACCTCTGATACTGAAAGAGTAATCTATAGTCTAGTCTAGTTCAGTCCAGTCCAGTCCAATCCAAATCAGTGGGGGGCGGGTGTGAGTGTGAGTGTGAGTGAAGGGGAGTTTGGGCCTCCCAAAAGTGGGACAGAGAAGAGTGTCGTGGACCAAGATCGCTAGTCTCCTCCACCTCACGCAAGGGGTCGCGAGGGTGAGTTGCTGCAGGCCCGCAGGAAGAAGGTTCCCGGGCCTATCGTCTGCGCCCCCCTCCTCCGTCAGCCGAGCATGAACAGCTGGAATGATAGGGCTTGTCAGTCAAATGACAGTCGCCCTTCCCCCTCCCTCTTGCTCCCTCTACTCGCCGGAAAAGAAATGATGAACCAGCGGTGAGGCCTGGAGGGCTGTCCTTTTTGGCTGTTGAGTTCATGCCCTTGCGCCCAAAAAAAGATCCTGTGCACTTCATGACCGTGAATCCAATTACACCGGATCGTTCGCGATCCCGGCTTGAAACGACCAGGGGTCAGTCAGTCAACCGCGAGAGTCGAGCGATAATCAAGAAAAATTACTGTAACGCTGGAGTCAAGAAACTTGGTCAATGCCTCACCGGCTCCATTCTTGGAGCTAGATAGATGATGTACATCAGGGTACCCATAATCATCGTGCGGGAAGAGCCCACTTCCCTGGGTGATGATGGATCAGGATACTCCATCGTGACTCCATAGAAGCTCTGCACCAACCTCCCTCAGGACGAAGGTTTCGCCGATCTGAGACAGACAGATAGATAGATTAGTTCATACCTACCTACTCTTCTCACCTATCTGCTGGAGAGGTGGGTAAATGGTGTGTATGGACTGTTGCCAGTTATCATGGGCGCTTTCCTGTCTATTCACCCATCCTGACGTAGCTCGATTAGGTTCCAATGAGCCACCAGACCTGTGTATGATAGTCTAAACCCGGACGAATCTGGAAATTAACTCCAGATCCCTCACATTGACGACGAGCCCAATACCTGGCAGCACGACTATACTAGTCGTAGCCCAGGCTAAAGTTGGCTCGTGAAACGCCAGCATTCCACCAATGACAACCCCAGTCCCATGCATCGGCGGGGAACACCCATTCATCCTCAGCGGAGAATTAGTTTAGGAGGAATGAGGTCGGGGCAGACTGGCCAGGGTCGTGGTCGATTACCCGGGGTTGGGCGCTTGACCGACTCTGCTGGTCTGATGTATCCAACGAGCCGCCTCATCGGGTGAGACGAAGAGTCTTTCCGCCACCTGCTATTGATTGAGAAAAAAAAATGGAGGCAAAAAGCAAGAAGAAAGGGAGGTTGGATTTTCATTCCGACTGGGACGACTCCTAGAAGTGCGGTAGAAGAGAAAGATGCTGGTTTCTTTTTCATTTTTTCTTTTTCTTATATTCCGTCTTCCAAAAACTTCCTTGCTCTCCCCCTTTATTGGAAAATAATGGTTGGGGGAAAGAAGGGAAGGAGAGGGGGGGGAGAGAGAGAGGAGTTAGTTTCATTGGTGATAGACTGACAGTACTTACCTACTAACTATACAGTAAGTATGAGTCCTTCCAAGAAGCTACAGTAAGTAGGGCGATACACATGAAGAGAGCGGCCAGACTCAGCCGAAAACAGTAAAAGCGCATGATCTGGCGATGAAGCTGCGGGCTGCTCCGTACCAGGTATCCATGTAGGTCCGTCCGTACCTACTGGAAAAGCTGTCTGTCTGTATGCAAGCAGGTAGGCAGGACCAGGATTAGAGTATTCTGGACGTAACCGGTCGGGAATCTGAAGACAACTGACAGAATTTTAGACCGAAGCTAGTTAGTCACCAAACTAGGGTGTCTTTGCTCTTGAGCTTCCCCCTACCGACCGAAAAAGACGACAAGTGACCGGGATGTGGATGTATGTGTGTGAGCGTGAGTGGGTGTGGGTGTGGGTGCCTGTGTGTATCTGTCTGTCTGTCTGCCTGTGTGTGTGTGTGTGTGTGTGTGTGTAAGAGAAGACGAGCGGACTTGATCGACTGGATGCTCGTACGCCACCCTGCCTGCGTGGTTGTCTCTCAGCCAGTAGTTTGAACGGCCATCTGCGAGGATCCCTGTCCTTCTGCCTCATCCTGGTCGCTTCTTCTTCTTCTTCTGCTCTGTGCAACCAAGAAGTGAGCTGCGCTTGCTTGCATGACCTTTACCCGTTTGGAGGCATTTTGTCGCGATTAACTTCTGGGCTTGGGCTTGACGGGCAGAAGTGTGAAATTATGCCAGGTTCATAGGATTAGTACGAAAGTAGTCCCTTAGTCCCCTAGTAGGAGTACGTACTTAGTAGCAGCACTATGGGAGGAGGACCTCAACCCCTCTCTTTTACTTTCAGATCGATTTATTAGATGATTTACTCATTGATCCCTTGACGATTGAATGGTTAATCGCCTTTTCCTTCTCTCAATCTGTTGCCGCCTCACTATCTCCCAACAAATCCCGGCGAAATTACTTCATCTACAGTAAATTTCTGATTTTTCCACCCTACCAGCTGGGCCGACTTATCTTCGGCTATGACCAGTCACACCAGACTCATCTGATTGTGGTGACTTGTCAGCCCTTATCCCAGTCGAATTGAACCACTTTTAGTCAGAAACGAAGGGAAGGTGACGCTGGGCGGGGCCCGCACCCTAACGCCCTCCAGATCGTCCCGAAAGCCTTAAATTATTTATCGCACACACCACCAGCCCCAAAGGCCAAGCCCCCGGGCCAATAGAGCTCTTGTCCCCCCGAGGGGAGGCTCCACTTGGCCGCGAGGCTATTCCTGGCTGGCGTCTGCTAGTCTGCCCCTAGCAAAGATCTCGTATCGACGGGCTCGTCCAGACTTGACAGCGATGAAGGAGAATGGCTAGTTCGGTGGATCGCGACCGAAAATCTCAATACTATTTCATTGCGACAGTGTTGTCTAGGTTAGGTAATACTCTTACGGCATTCCTCGGGATAAAAACGAAATAGTAAAACAAACCTCGTCAATAAAAATAATAATGATATTTAATGAAAGGGTAACAAAGTGAGCGAAAAAGCAGATAGATAGGATGGGAGATTAACCACCTCAAAATACTACTAGTAAATAGTCAAGAGGGATTGTTCGGGGTTGGGCAATATTGCATCCCTTGTAAAGAAAATCTCTTGGTGTGCACCTCCTCAACCACTCACGCAGTTCCCTCACTTCCGACGCTTGCTCGATCGCGCCCTCTCTCTCTCATCTCTCATCATTCTTTCTCTCTCTCTCTCTCTCTCATCCTCATAGTTTTTTTTTGATCCCCCCTCCTTGCCATGTCACCGCCATTTTGAAGGCGGCCCTTTTTTCGGCGGCTCTCTCGTTTCGAGGCTAGAAGGACATATTGTGATAGTTGATAATTGATAGTTGTTGGATCTCAAGGTTTTTCGCATTCAGGTAGTTCGTTGGTCTGTGTTGAACGCTTCCCGCTGCTATACATACACTTACTTTCACCTATGATCCACACACCGTTCACATCTTGCATCAGTTCCATTGTTGCTGCGATGGCGGGCTTTGTATGACCTGCCTAGACACTCTAAGTATGACTACTGTATGTGCATCTTTGTGGTCCCCAAGACCAACATTTCAGGCCTTTGGTCTTACTAGCCAGTAATCCTTCTTCTTGTGATTCGTTCCCTGGTTGCTCTGGGCCATTCTGGCGCCCTTCTACTGGTGGCGGATCAGAATCCACATTTGCGTATGGACTATCTACGGAGCAGGTACCTTTCATGCATTGAGCTCGTCACTGATTTGACTTGCCGTCAGCACTCTACTTAGGCAGCGCCAGACTGACTCGTGCGGGTTAAGGAATTAAACACCAGAAATAAGAATACCTTACAGCATGTAGGCTGGCCGGTCGGCAAGCATGGTTATCGTTCAGCCCGCACCATCGGACTACATACTACGTATCTAGTACTTGCACACATACACACGCACTACCTACCTTAGATAATAGTACAGGTACGCCTGTCCACTGCCATTCACTAATTAACAGTCGTTCTGGTGTCTAGTACTTACTGTCAGTCCTACCAACGGTACGTCCACATTAGGCAAATTCTGGATCCATGGATGCTTGACCATTGGTTCGCCGCCCCCGTGACAGAGATACGGCTTTGAGCCATTCCATGGGACGACACGGTGTGGGACCCGCGCTCAATCGTGGAGACAGCTGTTCGAACCTGGAACTGAACTGGAACACGCCTGTCATTCCGTCATCTGGTGGTTGCTTTGCTTCCGTGGTTCTTCACAGCCCGATCTAAGCACTACTGCAGCGCTGCTGCTTTGGCTGCCTAGGCTGCTGGCATTTTTTGAGACATCATTCTCACACGTCGTAGGATGGTTGATCCTCCGATCACGTTTCGAACTCGCGATAGACTTTGAACAGAATCAACGAAAAGAAATTGGAAAATAAAAGAAGAACAAAAAAAAAACTAAGCCAGACTGCACCGAAGCTGGGCTAATTGACTAAATTTCAGACCGACCAAATCAGCTCCGAGGAACGGAGCCAAAAAATTCATGGGAGAATAATTCCATCCTTTTTTTTTTTAATAAATTTTCTTCTTTTATTACGCTCTCTTATTTTTTTTTATTTTGTTTTATGTTCTTTTTCTCTCTACTTTTTTTTTTTTTTTTTTTTTTTCTTTCCAAATTACCCTCTTTTCCATTTCCCTCTTTTTCCATCTCCCTTAGTTTGTATTGCTTCGATCGTCTTCTCATCGATCCAGCATCATCCCGGCAGCGCAGGACGATCGAATGACTTACAGCAACGCGATCGGTCCCAACAGTTCACAGTGGCTCCCGACTATCGCAGTCAATTGGAAGTGAAGGACTCACCAACTCTTTTCTCTTGTTATTATTTCATTTTATTTTAGCGACCATTTTTTTACTTTTCCTTTCTCTCTTTTCTTTTTTTATTTCCCTCCCAAAATACCCATTTTCGTCATTCCTCAATTTTCCCTTTTCTATACCTTCGTCTCTACTGTAGTGGTGTAATGACCCCCTTCTCCGAGTCTTTTGGGGCTTCCTCCACCCTTGTGAGAATTTGATTAGCATGATCAATATTTTATTTGAATTAAAATTTAATCATTCTTTCTGCAGTGGTAATCAGGAGCGAATTAGTAGCGAGTAGACATTGAATGAGCCCGGCTTATTTCAGATGGGGAGTCCCTAATCAGATCGGTCTCCCGAGTTGGTCAGTAGTAGGCGCTTCTGTTTTGATCTACTCTGGCTTTGCCCGCGTTGAATTGTTTCTTAATGGTTGCTCGACCCTGCAGAACAGGACGTCTTCTGCTTCTTCTGTGCCATCACTCTTCTGTCCATCCAGAACTCGGGTATCTCTTTGTTTCTTCCACTTAAGCCATCGATCTCATTGTTCACATCATCGACATAGTCATTAGCTATTGTTATTCCCACGGGTACGTGATCATTGATTTTCTTTTTATTCTCCCCCCTCAAGTCTGACATCTCCTGCGCATGTCTGGTTATTTTTCCTACGTATCGTGTCTGTCTTGTTGCCAATACCACCTCACCTATCAATTTTGCCGCTACTCTGTTTTTCACACCCCCTCTCTCCCCTCTCTCTCCGTCATTCCCACCATCGTGTTCCCCTGGAGCCAATCTGAGGCCAGTGTGCAGACACCGCGTCGGTTGGATCATCGCCGTCCTAGCCCAAACGGTGGTTCCTGTCCGGCGTCTTGTTTAGCTTATCCGGCTGATGGTCCTTGCTTCGTGGCGGATTCGCGGAATCCTTACTGTCTGAGCTTGACACAGCACTTGTGGACTGGACCCTGCCAGAAGGAACAGCCAGAGAGTGGGAGCACCAGTACCAGCACCGGCAGCAGCCTAGCAGGAAGCAGCAGCAGCAGCAGCAGCAGCAGGAGCACCAGCACCAAGATCCCACGGTGTAGTCTCTCCGCTCTTCCGCAAGACGCACGGTCGTTGTCTCCCAGAAAATCCCACTTCCCTTCTTCTGTTGCTCTTTTTTAGTTGCGGGATCCACACCTGACTATTGCCCTTTCTGCTTATTTTTCCCTTTTTCTTATTCTAATTTCATCGTGCCTCTTTTTTATTTTTATTTTCATTTCTTTTTCTTTTCCTTATTTTACCACTTTAATCTTGCATTTTTCTTTCTATTTTACTCTGATGATTTTCTTTTCTTGATTTATTCCTTTTTCAGTTTCTTCGTTAATCCCTCTCCCTCTTAACTGTTGGGGGATTTTGCTGACACCTCTTTCTATTTTGATTTTTTGATTTTTATTCTTTTTTTATTCCCTTTTATTTTCTTTTAATTTTTTTTTTCTTTCTTTCCCAATTTTTTTTTTTTTTCCCCTTTCTCCGTTTTATTAAAGAGAAAAGAGACGGACCCAGGACGACTACTTAGTACATAGTTATAGTGACAGACGGTCCCAGTGATCCACTGCTCGGTCCCTCTCCAAGTTCCCTTTTGCCTCGTTCTTCAGAACCGACACCAAACGGGACCCGCGACCAAACGGACCCGACCGGGGCTGACGCCTAGATTAATACATATAATAGAGCAAAAAGGGCCAAACGCAAAAAGGACAGCCAACGAGCGCGAACAAGCTATAAGCACCAGAGACATTCTACGGCAGACAATTGCCTTGCAGCTTCTCTTACATTCCCGCGCCGCAGGTCTCAAAAGAAAACTGGTGATCGAGAAACGATCCAAACACACGTGCTGGTGGTATGTGAGTGTATTTTCCTATTCTCTCTCTCGTTGCGCTATTCTTCCCTTCCATCTTGACACGCGCGCACGCGGTCTTTCCCCGTGAGGCGAAAGTCGCGGGGCGATTTGTTTCTTGTCTTGTCTTATGTCTTGTCTTGCCTTGATCTCGACCACTTCCTGCTGTGTGAGAGTTCTGTTGTTGCTGCTGCTGCTGCTGCTGCTGCTGCTGCTGCTGCTGCTGCTGTCCTTGCTGCGGTACGCGCCCAGCCGCCCGAGGACCAACCCCCAATGGCCGTTGCCGCTCCCTTGGATCGATGAGGACACCGGACTACTGCAGATACGCTGGACTGTGTCTATGCTCCACCTGCGACAGAGCAGATTTAGACGTGTCGTGGTTCGAAGTCTGAGAAGAAAGCATACCTTCCTCCCTTTCTAGAATATCCTTCTCTGCCCAGCACACCCACCGCCCCTCCCTTCCTTGGCTGCTTTCCACTTTGACACCCGATTTCCATCGTTTTGGCTGGTGTTTCGGCCGTCTTTTCGCGGGCTTCGGTTGCACCCGTCAGCCGGAGATCCTCAGGCTGGGCTTGATTGACTCTCTTCTGCTGGTCGGTCCAGCGCCAACCCAAACCCAACCGAAACCCACCAGCCTCCCACTAAAACGCGGAAGCTGAGCGGCTGGCCCCCCTCTCCCCTCCCTTCCTTCCTTCACAGTACTACGTACTAGATACTACTAGTCAGTAGTACTACTTCCATAGTACTATCTACTGGTCTCTCTCTACCACTATCCCACTCCCACTGGGTCTACCGTACCGAGTTCAAGCACGGTCTGACCATACTTTCCCCTCCTGAACTGAACCCAACCTACTACCTGTTCTTCTCCCCCCTCTTCCCCCCTCTTTCTCCCCTCTTCGGCCCATCCCATTTCCCTCATCCACTCGTTGGCCATCCATGGGTGAAAAGCTGTCTCTAATTGCTTCCCCTCCCCGCCCCTTCAGCTCCGACCACACACCTATCAATCCTCCTAGGGAGGACAGCAGATAGAACAACAGAACCTCACCACACCCACACACACACACCACGTTGAATCATTGCGTTGGTACATTCTCCCTTTTTTTTTTTTTTTTTTGATTTGGTCTTATTTTTATTAATATTTTATTTCTTTTTATTTTTTTTCTCTTTCCCTCCCCTTTCCCCCTCTCCCCGCCCACCGAGTTAAACGGGTTTCCAAAGGCGGATCGGTCGCGGTCCAGAAACCCCGGCGGCTGCAGAGAACCTCAGGCTTAGCCCGGGGGCGCCTGCGTTTGCTGTTTCTGCCCCAGCCTCCACCTTTCGCCCATGATCTGCTGCTGCGCCGGCGGCGCTGCAATCATTCCCGTCTGCCCTCCACCGCCTTGGTCCTTCTGCTCGGTCATGATCGCCCACGTCGAGAGTGTCTGACATTTGCCCATCCCATCTGTTGCCCTCTTTTTCTTTTCTTTCCTCTTTGGTTTTTATTTTTCTCTTTTTTCCCTTTTTTCCCTAAATTTCTTTTCCCTTTTCTTTTTTCCCTCTTTTTTCTTATTTCCATTATCCATTTTTGCCTTTTTCCTTTTTTTACCTTTTCGCTCACCTCTTTTCCTTACCCAAAATTAACCTGCCCTTTTGGATTTCCCTCTTCCCAATTTCCACCCTAACCCCAGTAATTTCCATCGACCGACTTCCTTGGTCCGGATTACTATTTTTTCCTGGTCCCCACCGGTCTCCCTTGGCCTCTCCTCCGTTGCTGTACCATCCCTTCCGTTTGACGCCTTCTTATACATACACCTCCGCCTCTGCTTCCCTCCACCATTCCCCCCTCCATCAATCACGACTTTGTCTCTTGTCTTGCTTCTTTCCTGTTTCCCCCCTCTACGTGGCTATGTGGACGAACTGAACGACTTTCTTACTTACGCCTGCTGTTTCCCCCCTTTACTCTTTTCTTCTTTCCATGACTCATTATCTTGCCTGTTACTACTGTTTCTCTGTCTCTGCCAATTCGCTCGCATGAGGTTATTGACCCGTTCCTAGAACTGTCAGTGCCTGTATCGCCTCCCGTTCATCGACGACCTGCTACGACCTGTTACGACGCCTTAACGTCCCTCTTCCCTCAACTCGTCGCAGAATCACCGCCATTCGCCCGCTTGACGCGTCTCAATCCTGTGCTACCGCTTTTGGTTGCAAGTCACCCAAGGCCTTTTGACGTTTGATGCTGGACTGTCACGTCGCCTTCTCCCGCTCTGTTCTTACGACTTGAAACGAGACCCATGATTCTGTGCTTCTAATTTGGCTGAGCGATTTCTGTTGACCATCCGCAAGCGCTTGTTGTCCTGCTTTCATGGTTTCGCCTGTGACGACCCAAGATTCTTGAAAGTATCTGGATTTAGATTTCTGTCAGTACTCACTGCATAGCGATTTTTCGTCCAGTTGCGCCGGCCATCTTCAAGCGTGTTACGGTTACGACTTCCACGAGCTTGCCACGATTGCACATCCTTGCATGTTCTGCATTGCCTGTTAGAAGCTTCTCATTTGTTCCGCTCACCCGCCAACTTGATCCTCTTGTATCTGACCCAGCTATTGGTCGCGATACATTAACGACAAGTCAAATCCCATCACAGGAAAAAGAAAACACCCACTAAAAAGAAGTTCGCTTTGTAATTTGCATGCTACAGTCAGATCGTGCCTTTGCGAACTGACAATTACCCGTTGATAAAAGACCAAAAAACAAGAACCGACAGCTTTCACCTCACGGTACGCCGGACACATCGTTGAGTCCGACGTCCGACCGCTCCCGTTTCGCCTCACTTTTCAAGACCGTTACCCCCGCCAACCGAAAAGCTGGAGCTGCCGTCGATTTCGCAGGTCCACACCAGAGGTCCTGTTGATATTCCTTGGTATAACCACCACGCTGCGGAGCGACCCCTATTGTCTGGCGACAAACTCCCAGCTCTCAGTCTACCAACGGCCACGCAGGCCATCTCGGGCCAGTCCTATCGGGCTAGCTACGAAGACGCGTCGGCCCTTGGTTCCAACAACACGAGCACTCGAACAAGTTTATCGGGGGCTGCGCCTGTAGTTAGTGAAGCTAGAAGCCCGCCGCCTACGTCTGCAGACCTCGCGGCAGGTGGTCAGGGCCGGCTTTCATTGGATTCCTCGACTCAGGAGTACTCGCTCCAACAAAACCCCGTTAGTGACGGATTCTATCAAAACCAGACTTCACTTGGCAGCATGAACCAAACACAATCCTACATCGATGTCCACTCATCGCACCTGTCGTCCGCTCAGCCGTATGCGCCTCATGCCGCAACTGCGGGAGGGTTAGCGCATTACCAGTACCAGCAGCCACCCGTTCTGCAGCCAGCATCAACCACCTATGGCCCGGCAAGCTCGTACTCTCAGTATGCTTACCCTGGTGGAGTGACCTCCTCCCAGGGAGGTCCGCAACCCCCGACCACCTCCATGAGCAGTGGTGTCCCAACCCAATTGTTGCCTTTACCAGGTACGTGCTACTCTAAATGGTCATGGTCAGCTGAACTTTCAAGCTAACTGCATTTCTGTAGCTGTGACAACACATGGTGCTGTCCCGACAGCGGGTTATGGAAACACGACCGGGACCCCCTTGCAAGGGTATGTCTATGATCCCACTGGCCAGGTAGCCCCACCAGGAGCGAAACCGCGCGTTACTGCCACCTTGTGGGAAGACGAAGGCAGCCTCTGCTACCAGGTGGAAGCCAAGGGCGTCTGCGTGGCAAGAAGAGAAGGTAAGCTTGACTTCAGCTGCTCCTTTTTGACTTTATGCTAATGTGTATTCACAGACAATCATATGATCAACGGCACAAAGCTCCTGAACGTCGCAGGAATGACGAGGGGTCGCCGTGATGGTATTCTGAAGAGTGAGAAGGTCCGACACGTCGTCAAGATTGGGCCCATGCATCTGAAGGGCGTCTGGTACGATCTCTGAATTGCTCGATTTCCATGCATCAGGACTGACTGAATCTTGCTTTAGGATCCCCTTCGAGCGTGCCCTCGAATTCGCCAACAAGGAGAAAATCACAGATCTCCTGTATCCCCTATTCGTTCACAACATCGGTGGCCTCTTGTATCACCCGACGAATCAGAGTCGGACGAACATGGTGGTGCAAGAATCGCAACAGCGGCGATTGGAGGGCCCTCAGGCTGCGCGAGCATCTCAGGGGCCTCAGCCCTCAACTTTGCACCATCATCACTCACTGCAGGGCACAGTTCCTTCGCACATGCCGCAACCCCACACCATGGCTTCTCAGGCCGGCGCTCGGCCGGCACTCGATCGAGCACACACATTTCCCACGCCTCCTGCTAGTGCCTCGAGCCTCATGCCCATCACCAATCCCAGCAACTCCTATGACTGGAACAACCAAGGGATGAACTCGGGCGTGCCGAACTCACAGCCGCTCTCCATTGATACGGCTCTGAGCAACGCCCGGTCAATGCCGACGACACCTGCCACCACACCCCCGGGCAGCAACATGCAGGGGATGCAGTCATTCCAAGGCCAATCCGGGTACGAGTCGAAACCATATTACTCGGCTGCCCCGCCTTCTCATCCCCACTATGCTTCCCAGCAACCTATGACTCAGACTGGTATGGCTTCCTATGGACAAACTATCCCGTCTCACCCTTACATCAAGAGTGAGATGGGACCCCCATCAAGCCGGACACCTGGCGGCCAGCCGGAGACGGATGCACCTGAGGTGAAGCAGGAGCGCTATGCCCACAGTAATGGCCATGTTGGAAGCAATGGAGCTGAGCAAGTGCCGGAGCATGAGTCGGAGTATGTGCAGCATGACAATTCTGGATATAACACCAACCGGGGCTCCTACACATACACCACCAACACTTCGGTGGGCAGTCTGGCGGGTGACCACTCCCAACTTACCCCGGAGATCACGGGTTCTCCTACCCAACAAAACGGGTCTGAACGCATGACACCCCGTACGAGTGGTGGGCCTCCTCCCCCTTGGGGCTCCGGATACAACACGCCTCCGCGCCCCGCCGCTGCTAGCAGCCTATACAACATCGTGAGCGACACCAGAGGGACATCGGGCAATGGCGCGACCTCTGACAATTACTCCGTGGCTTCAAACTCTGCTCCTGGATACTCGACAGGCATGAATGGATCTTTAGGCTCCACTAAGCGGATGCGGGAAGACGATGACGTGGATCGCATTCCTCGACCGGACAGCCGAGGAACGGAGTATGATAGCAAGCGCCGTAAGACGCTGAGCGAGGTCGGCGGTCCCGTTGGAGGTGTGCCCCTTGGGCTCCAGCCCATGAAGGCTGGCGGTGTTATGGCCCGTCGTCGGTAACCGTCCACTCCAGGAGTCGTCTTTCCTGACCAGGTGAAGACCTGGAACATCAAAAAGAAATAGAAAAGAAGAAAAAAATTTCTCCCAAGGGAAGACAAAATTCTAGTTCTGTTATGGGTTATTATTTTCCATTTCTTGGAGTGAATTGTGGGGCTTTTCACGTTCCTGATTGTTGTTTTTAACTCTTATAATAGACTACACATTCAGCATGGCAGGGTATGGGATATGAAGTGAGTGGGTGGAAGGCCATTCGTCACCACCCGAGCGCTTCAACAATTGCATTCGACAAACAGCGCCCTATTTGTGTCTTTGCCTTTTGCGTTTGTTGCATGGTTTCTCGATGGACTGATTGAACAGTGCCTGGTCACCGGCACTGGTTGGGATGGGTGCATTGCTTGGTTCCTCCGCCAACCAGGTTTTCGATCGTTTTTATGTCTTATGTTGCTTCCCGTTGGAGGGTTTCCCAGCGGATGGGTAGCCTACTCGCAAGGGGTGTGTTATCTGGGTTGTTCATGGAGCAGCGTTGGGACTGCGCGCTTCGCTTTTCTCACTTTCTCTACGGATCAAGCGAGGGATGGTCAGCGTTACGGTGCTTTTTGGTCATCTTATGGTATGGTATGTGTGTGTGTGTGTGTGTGTGCGTGTGCGATTGTTTCCGACCGGTTATATTTAACGACCATGAAGTCACGAATTTCCTTGATGAGAACATTTTTCCTATTATATTGTTGTGGCTTTTCTCCATTCCTGCATCTTAGAACCGTTGGTCCTAGGTTTTTGTGTTTCTGTTCTGACTGTATGGGCATTTAAAAATTCCATGGGCTATTCAAGAACGATTGAAGACAGTATAATCGTAAGTCATTCTATTTATGCTATACATCTACGTAGACGATTTGGTGTACGAATCGAATAAAGGCATATAGGGAAGTCGAGGCTGTGAGAGATGAGGGAAAAGGGAAGAAGGGAAGCAATGTATGGCCTGATCTGGCTCGGCGGCTCAAATCCACGCATCATCCTTCTCTCCCTCCCTCCTTCCCTCTTCTCTGATCCCATCGTTCTCTTTCTCTCCTTCATCTTCCCTCTCATTATTGCGTGTTATCTTTCATTCCCTCCCCTGTATGCCTTTCCCTGATTTCCCGCGCAAGTTCCAGCACCCTCGAGTGAATCTCTGGGAATGCGGCAACTAGACCTAAGTTATCTGCCAGCGTCCGACCTTGCCCATAGTTGAAAGGCTGACCATCCAGATCGGTGATCATGCCGCCCGATTCTTCAAACACCAGCATGCCGCCAGCATGATCCCACGCATAGGCACGATATTCGGGGCTTCGGGGGATACGGACCATCACGTTGCACCCGCCCACCACGAGGGCCGCATACTTGGCTTGCATGGACCAGAGATCAGTAATTGGTTTGGTGACACCCAGTCTCTCGCGAACAACTTGGTGTAGCCGCTGATCGATGTAGGGGCTCTCCATGCTCTCTGCAAATACCAGATCGGGCTGGCCGGTATCGGTCCGTGCCAGGACGTTGTACACCTTCACGGCGGGCTGCAGGCGCTCCTTGCTCATCGGACGCTTGTACGCTCCATGGCCCCGGACTGCCGACAGCATAATCCCGTACCCATTCTGATCGACCGTGTCTTCGTGGACTGCCGTGGTGTGGAAGTGCAGGTTGGGATATCCGACCACGCCGACCTTCTGCTCGCCGTTCTCGATGAGCGCCACGGAAACAGCATACTGACGGCCCTGAATGAACGACGCCGTCCCGTCAATGGGATCCATGATCCAGGTACGCGTATGACGGGCTCCTTCCCCACTGCCACCCAAGTCAATGATGCTTAGCATCTCTTCAAGCGACGATGGGGCTGCGACGATCTCTTCGCTCTCGGTATCATGCAATTGAGTGGTGGATACCAGCTGCCACACTCGGTCGGCTAGTGCGGGATCATTCCGCAGGGCTGATGCTGATTCCTCCCCGACAAATTTGTCGCTGGGAAAGTTGTGGCGGATTGCGCTAATCAGAATGGCTTGTGACGCAAAATCGGCTATGGTCACTGGAGACGCGTCTGCCTTGTCGGTAGATCCCTTGTCGGCCTCGGCCAGCATAGTCTTGGTGACTATACTGGCTCGCTGGACAGCGAGACAGGCCACTTGAAGCTCTCTAGCGAACGGTGAATGGGCCATTGTTGTTGGTGTATGTTGGCTTAGACTAACATGCACTGACTTTCTGGTTAGATAATGGCTAGCGGCGCGCGTAAATGCGCCAGTCTGCCGTACGTACCTATCTGGTTTTCGGTTGCCACAGCGCTAAGACCACTGCCTATTTGCAAATTCAATTCGGCCTCTGAGAGGATGGCTGGGAAATTTCCACAGTATGCCTGGGGAGCTAAGAGTGAAGAAGTCAGATAAAGAGAGAGTGAGACAAGCGAAAACAAGAAAAGGCAATGGTGGGTATTGATCGCTGTTGATAGTAGCTCCAAGCCATTGACTGGGGCAGGAAATCTCCCAATGAGGAAAAGCGTTTCAAGCTGCTTCGATTCACTACGGACAATTCATTCACCGGCCCGTTGGCGTGTGCAAATGACCGAACGCATTCCATTACTCTATAACAACTGGGAAAGGAACATGCATCGTACTTACAAGCGCTGAGCTGTCAGGACTACTTCCTACAGCCGAAGCTTGAAGCCGGTGTGGATCCAACGTCCGCGCCAGGATGGCTGTCTTGCGCACAGATAAAACGATACACAGACCAACTGCGGGAGGCTTCCGAAATCTATCTATGGGGCACTTTGCTCGTTCGCTCTCGCCTCTTGGAGCTCCCTCTGCAATCGCTTGGCGTGTTTCACCCCGAAGCCATGGGTGTAAATTTCCCGCACCGACTCCAGAGGCATATTGTGCACCTCCGCATAGCAGAAGATGACGAAGAGCCACCCAAGAAAACAAATACCCGCATAGAACGCAAATACTCCGCTGGGGGTCATAGCCTTCATCATGGACAGAAATGTCGACGAGATGATGATATTACAACCCCAGCAGGTCACGGTATTCAGCATTGTGCCAAGTGCACGTACTTCCAAGGGGAGAAATTCAGTGCCCACCCAGGAAATAGGTGCGACGCCAGCCGAATAAAATGCAATGTAGACAATCAGTGCGACGAGAAGAAGGATACTTGCCCAGGTCATCTCGTGCGGTCCCGTGACGCTCAGATCCGAATTGACAGGAATCCAATGGAAGGCGATGGCAACGACAACCAGGGAGAGGGACTGCGTCAATGTTAACCAAAGCTATGATCTGAGCGAGTCGATGAAAATGCGGCACCTACCATTCCCAACACGGTGATCAGAAGCATTGATCGTCTTCCAAAGCGGTCAATGAAGGCGAAGTTTGGGAACCCAAACACAAAATTCGTCGCTCCAACGACGATGGAGACGGCCGTGGCCTGGTTGAAGCCAACTAGGGAGAACAGTGTGGCGGAATAGTACATCAGCGTGTTGAATCCCCCTAGTTGTGATACTGGACAATATCAGTATCTATGATAAAAACACGAGAAGAAAACGGGGTTTTACCAGCCATGATAGAGCAGGCTGTGGCCAGGGCTCGCAGGTTAGCGCCTACAGTGAGAAGCTGTTTCATCTGCCACCATAGGCTCTTGTCTGATACGGAGGCAGCAACCTCTTCAATAGAATGACGAACCACCCTGATTTTGTTGACCACTTGCTGTTCCGTGGCTTGAGGAAAGATCTTTCGGATTACTCTCTTGGCTTCATCGTCATGGCGATGGGAAATCAGCTGGCGAGGTGTTTCTGGGCACAAGGGCATTGTAGCCGCCAGAGCAATAGCAGGAACAGCACCAATGGCAATTGTGTATCGCCAGCCTTGATGTACGTCAGTGAACGCGGCCCCGAGGGCATAGGCAATGAGCTGGCCAAAGGTCACACAAATGTTATCGAACACGATCAGTCGACCACGGAATCTAGCAGGCGCCATCTCTCCAATATACAAGGGAACGATCATTGCCGCTTCACCCACTCCAAAACCAACTACCAGTCGACCAACCACCATCTGGGCCAGTGAGAACGCCGTGGCTTGCAAAGCGGTTCCCACGAAGAAGACCGCACAGCCCACATAGATTGCTAGTTTCCGTCCATACTTGTCTGAAGTCATGCCAGCCAGAACGGCGCCGATCAATGCACCCCCTGAAGTTATGGAGGTGATGAGTTCCTGGTCATTAGAGGACAGAGCTTGGCCGAGGTCGGTTCCAAGGCTGACGAGGACTGCGGATATTACGCCCGTGTCGTACCCTGGACGAGTGAGGAGAAAGAACCATGTCAGCTGGGACTGTCTATGGGCGAAGTGGCTATGATGGGCCATGAAACGCTAACGGCCTGGGTCATGCCTACCAAAGAGAAACCCGCCCATGGACACCGTGCACGCAATCAGCCATACAGCCTTGCCAGGATTCGTCGTCTCGATTGAATCGTCCAAGCCCTCCGCGGCGCCAGCGTTGTCATCGTGGAAAGTCTCTGGTTTCAGATCGTCGATGGCCGGCAAATAGTCGTCTGCAGGATCCATGATGGTCTGGATTAGGGCTATGGGAAGTAACCAAAATCTAAACAATGAAACAGTATGCTTAAGGAGATACAGGTTATTGATGAAGTGTTAATTAGATTACACACGTGCAATGTCCTCAGAAGCCCGGCCGACGTGGCTAAAGACTGAGTGGGAGAATTATCTACGATGACAGCGGGCATATATGCAAAGGGAAATACTATTGCCGAAAAGCGACCCCGATGGCCATCATCCACCCTCGAGGAGGGGGTATATGCCTGCCCCCTCATCCCCATGGCGAACTAAAGACTCGAAGAGGGGGGGAATGGAATGTCCGGGTATTGCTTCAGGGTTCGGCACGGTTCCATGGGTCTGTTCAAGATGACAGTCGTATCCCCAGGTTACCCCAGACTTGCCTGGACCCGGATATCTGCGTCTCTTCATTGGCTGATCTGCACATCTCGGGGGATGTCCTCAAATACCGTCAACTCCGCTATTATGACGATAAGTACTGGGGAGCTATTTGCACAATAGCCGGGGCATGGGGCTCCTGTCAAAGCCTGGTGGGTCCAGCTGATCCCCGCGAATTGATTCCATCGCAATTCGACCGGCAAACGCGCGAGGATTATTACTTTGTCGGTGGTGGCGGGGCACAAAAGGGAAATTCTCTCCGCCCTGGCTGGATGACCCTGAATGGCAGTTTTATCCGGCATCATGCTGGAATGACATGGCAGCTGTTACACCAGCCAGGGACTCACGATGTCGTGGGCATGGTGGAATGCTGGGGGAGTTGGTGTCTGCGGTTCACGAGGATGGGTTAGTTCATCCATCCATCCATCCATTCCCTTTTCCTCCCGGTTTACCTGGGGTTATAAGTAGCTGCTCTCCGGACCAGAGAGCTTGCTGGTAGCAACCAAGAACCTTTGATATCTGAACCTTGTTCATCATTGACATTCAATTACTTGATCTACTGTGTTTCTCTTGTCCGGCTCTATCGTGACGCCCCCAAAGAGCAACCATGTGGTCACTTTTCACAATCGCCCCTTACGCGTTCTTTATCGGGATCGTAGGGATCTCCTACTTCCTGGTATGGCCGTTTGTGCAGTATATCAGAGACCCCAAAGGTATGTTTATACTTGTGTATATGGCAGGCTATTTACAGAATCCAGGGGCTGACTAGCGACTGTTCCAGGTCTCCGAAAATACCCTAATCTTACACCAATCTCCGGCATGTCTGCCATTCCGTTCATGCTCATGGCGTCCCGCGGATTCCGGTCGCGAGAACTGCAGGAGCTGCACCAGGAGAAGCCGGTAATCCGTACCGGACCCAATACGCTCTCCTATGGTGATGTGCGCGCGATCAAGGACATTTACGGCCATAACACCAAGTGCATCAAGGACCCATCCTACGTCGTCACGGCGGGCACGCATTACCACCTAGCTGATGTGGTGGACAAGGGGGACCATGCGCGGAAGCGTAAGGTTCTGTCATCCGCCTACGCTCTTAAGAACCTTGAAACATGGGAGCACAAAGTCAGCGATAAGGTTGAGAAGGTGGTGGCCCACTTTGACAAGGTGTGCACGGCCGCACCGTCTGCGGCTGTGGCGTCCGGCAAGGTCGCGCCGGACCCCAAAGACCTGACCGTGGATTTCCGCGCCTGGACCAACTACTTCACGCTGGATGCTATCGCAGATATCGGTCTGTCGGAGAAGCTGGGCTTCTTGGACCAGGGCAGCGATGTCTGCATAGCTGAGCGGAAGGATGGGTCAACGTACACGGTGAATCTCCGGGAGGCACTGTATCCCACGGCCCGGAAGCAGTCGCTTATCCTCTGGAACTACGAATGGTACCCGGTGCTGAACAAACTGGTCAACGTGATCCCGTTCTTCGGCCGGATGCAAAAATCCTCGGACAACTGGGACAACATTGTGTGGCGACGCAGCATCGAGCGCCTGCGACGGTATGAGGCTGGGGAGAAGCTCGATGACTTCTTCCAAGCGCTGATGGAGGATAAGAACGGCCGGGCCAACAACCTGGAATGGGGCGACGTGGTGTCGGAAGTGAACATCATGATGAACGCAGGCAGCGTAACGACGGCGATCGCGATCGCCAACGTGATGTACCAGCTGCTGCGGAATCCGGAGTGCCTGGCTAAGCTCCGGGAAGAGATCGACGCAGTGCTAGACGCGGACGATATCGTTGCGCCATACGACAAGGTGAAGCACTTGCCGTATCTTCGGGCATGCCTGGACGAATCGCTCCGGATCTTCCCGCCAACGTCGCACGGGCTTCCGCGCGAGACGCCGGAAGAGGGAATGGAGATCCTGGGCCAGTGGGTGCCGGGGAAGACAACGGTCAGTATGTCGGCCTATGTTGCGCACCGCGACGAGCGGGCCTTCCCCAAGGCGGACCAGTACATCCCGGAGCGGTGGTTGGGAGAAGAAGGCAAAGCGCTGCAGCCGTACTTTGTGGCGTTCTCGGCGGGGGCACGGTCCTGTATCGGGCGGAACATCTCATACTTGGAGCAGACGAAGATCCTGGCGTCGCTGGTGCATCGGTATGAGTTTGCGCTGCCGCACCCCGGGTGGGAGCTGAAGCGACTGGAGACGATGAACTTGATTCTGGGAGATATGCCGGTGAAGGTGTGGCGACGGCAGGTGCCGGCCACCGATTAGGGGAAATTTTCTTCATATTCTTCTTGTTCCTAGACAGGCTAGACTTTTTTCTATTTTGTTCTCTCCTCTTTCTCTTTTTCTTCTTCGTGATGAATGATGAAAACAATGGTAGCGATATTGCACTAATTCTTCGGTGTTGGATGGTATAGTCTGCATTGTCTCACTAATTTCCTTGGTAGACACTCAACTAGGTAGACACTCAATTAGCTAGCCATGCATATCAAGCATGTAACTACGTCGAGATAGTCTCACGAGGGATCATCATGGGACCCCGAGGTGTCCGGCCAGACTGGTCCGGAACCATCGGAGCGAGACCGATGTGTCCGTTCCGTGGGGGAAAGGTATGCAGCATGCTATATCCCTTTCATCTAAGTTTAGTATAACGAAAGGGGAAAGGGAGGTAACGCCCCGAAAGCCGAGCTGGGGTAGAAAGTGGACAAAGTGCGGGGGATAGATTGATAGTAGTTTGATTGATTGCTTTCTTGGTCTGTGCTGCGCGGGGGGTGAAGATGGAGAGAAAGAAGTAAGTACAGGGACCGTGGGGGAAAGTAGCTGGATTGGGTATATTGGGACCGAGAGGGAGGTTAAAGTGGGTTAAACTACTCCGTATTGGACAATGGATGAGGCGAAAGACATGCAGAAAGGTGCATGGGCGAAATGGAAAAAGATGCCGCCTGTCCCCAAATGGGGTAATTTTCCCCTCGGGGAACATTGCCGCTTCTTTCCCATCTTCTCTTCTTTGGGATCCCCAACTTTCTGCTTCTGTGTCTGCATCTGCTTCTTGCTCAGGTTTATTGCTTCTCGTGTCTCGTGTCTCTTTCCTTGCGCCGCTCCCATCTCCACTATGTCGGTCATAGGTGCCAATTCACCCATCGGAAATCATGGTGTCATGGCCTCTCATGGATCGATTTATAGATCCAGCAGCTGCCCTTTCATCTTCTGCTAACCTCCAAACTACAGAGTGTATAACTGACAGACTGGCTGGTTCTGCTCAGTGCACTTCATCCTCATCCACATCATCATGACCTCCCCTCTGTCTCCATGGCAGATATCACCAGCCCTCTGGCAGGAGCTGACCAAAGTCCTCACTCCCACCGGAGCCGCCGACTATGCCGCCCTGACTCTCCTTGCCATGGCCGGTACGACCTACCTGTCGCGCGGCATCCTCTGGGACCAGCCAGACCCCTACAACTACCTCTGGTATGAACGTCCCCAGCTGAAGATGGCCGGTTCCGCCGGCCCCAATGCCCACCAGGAGACCCGCAACATTGCCCAAAAGCTCGAAGAGGCGGACAAGAACATTGTCGTCTTCTGGGGATCGCAGTCCGGTACGGCCGAGGGCTTTGCCCATCGCTTGGCGCGTGAAATTGCCCTCCGCTTCCGTCAGGGTACTCTGACGGCGGATCTGTCGGATTATGACCCGGAGAGTATCTCTCAGATACCTCAGTCCAAGCTGGCGATCTTCATCCTGTCTACCTATGGCGAAGGAGATCCCAGTGATAACACGGCTGAGTTCTGGGATTGGATTCACAAGGCGGAAAATGTCTCGCTGGCCAATGTGAGGTATTGTGCGTTTGGCCTGGGGAATAGCAACTACAAGTTCTACAACCGCGTCGTGGACGTGGTCGTTCAGGCGCTGGATGGTCGAGGCGCAAAGGCCCTCATGACCGTTGGTAGGGCTAATGATGCCGAGGGATCCACGCAGGAGGACTTTATCAGCTGGAAGGACGAGCTGTTCGCCATGTTCAAGTCCCAGCTCGGCTTCGAGGAGGGTGAGATGCAGTACTTGCCCACCCTATCCGTCGAGGAAGACGAGTCCCTGGAGCCTATTGATCTGAACCACGGCGAGCCAGATGCCCGTGATGCTAGCAGGGCATCTGCACAATGCTCCCCCGTGCGGCCAGTGACTATCTCCAGCACCCGTGAGCTCTTCCAGGTCTCAGACCGCCACTGTCTACACATGGAGCTGGACCTGTCCAGTGTCCCTGAGTTCACCTACAAGACGGGCGATCACCTCGCCATCTGGCCCAGCAACCCCGACGTCGAGGTCGAGCGTCTCCTCCAGGTACTGGGCCTTACTGCACGCCGCGAGGTGCCCATCTCCATCAAATCGCTCGACCCGGCCACCAAAGTGCGCATCCCCACCCCCACGACCGCGGCAGCCCTCTTCCGATACTACCTGGAGATCTGTGCCCCCGTGAACCGCGACACAGTACTCGGTCTAGCACAGTTCGCACCCACCCCCGAAGCAAAGTCCTACCTCCTCCAACTAGGCCAAGACAAGACCAGCTACGCCAACTTCCTCAACCGCACGCACGTCACCCTCAGTCGTCTCCTCCAACTCGCCTCCCCAGACAACGCCTGGTCCGCCCTTCCTCTATCCTACCTGGTCGAGACCCTCTCCCCCATCCAACCCCGATACTACTCCATCTCCTCCAGCAGCGTGCTCTCCCCCCGCAAACCCTCCATCACCGCCATCGTCTCAACCACCCCTGTCCCCGAAAACCCGGACGAACTCATCCACGGCATCACCTCAAACTACCTCCTCGCCTTATCCCAACACCGCACCTCCCCATCCACCCCCCACCCATACGGCCTAGCCTACCACCTCAACGGCCCCAGCAACGCCCTCAACAGCGAACAGGTCTTCGCGCACCTCCGCAAAAGTAAATTCAAACTGCCCCGCACCGGAAACACCCCCCTCATCATGATCGCCGCAGGCACGGGCCTAGCCCCGTTCCGGGCGTTCATCTCCGAACGTCGCCAACTGCAGCAGATTGGTCGTGAAGTGGGACAGATGATCCTCTTCTTCGGGTGTCGCCGCCCGGATGAGGATTATATCTATAAGGAGGAGCTGGAGGCGTTGAATGAGGGGTTGGGTGGGAAGTTGCGCATTGAGACGGCGTTCTCGAGATATGAGAATGGGGGAGTGAAGAGACAGTATGTGCAGGATAAGATTGTCGAGTGTGGGGATGAGGTGGTGAGGTTGTTGGTGGAGGAGAGGGCCAACTTGTATATTTGTGGGAGGGCGGGGATGGCGAGAGAGGTGGAGAAGAGGGTCGGTGGGGAGATGTGTAGGGTTAAGGGGTGGGATGAGGGTGATGGGCAGTGGAATGAGTGGTGTAAGGGGTTGAAGAAGAGGGGGAAGTGGCAGGAGGATGTTTGGGGGTGACCTCTTCTTCTTTCTTTCTTTCTTCTTCTTCAACGATATCGTGAGGTCATCTGGTTATGAACAACAAATTTTTTTGTTTATGTTGGAGTTAGAGTTTATATCCATCTATCGAGATTTCATATCATATACATTCATTTTCTCATCCCATCCTTCTTCTTCTTCTTATTCTCATCACCATCCAGTCCTTATACATACATACACGCATTTCATTCATCCATACAAACCCAGCCCATTTCAATTCAATTCATCCCAACCAGAAGCCCAATACAATCAATCCCAAATTGTCCAAACCAAGTCTAGTAGTCCAGAGGCAAGACAAGCAAACAAGCATCTTCCAGAAAGCTAAACCCAATGCAACACATACATACCAACCAAGGAATCCAAACCCAACCAAAGACAAGAAACCAGGGTAGGCAGACGACTACTTCCTCACCTGAGCAAAAATCATCTGCCACAGACCCAGCCATTGCTGCTGTTTATACGACGGCACGCGATGCGGTTCCCGGAACGTATTCTGGAGGATCTCGCGTAGTCTCGCGCTCAGGGTCTTCAGCGCGAGCATGGATTTCCAATCTCGTAGGGAGAAGCGGATGCGGTTGGAGTCGATGGATATGACGCCGGAGTACATCTGTTCCCAATTTTCGATGTTATTAGTTTTAATCTTAAATTGATGGGTATGTATAAGGAGGTATTGGGGTACCTTAAACTCAGCCTCTCCGCACAACAACGCAATAGCGAAATCATCCACAGCGGTCGTTTCAAACGCATTATAATTCTTATTCCGTCCCTGCATGATATGGTAATAAGACACCCATTTTATGGCCGATGCGTCGGCTTGCTTGTTCACCGAGGTGGGGTGCAGTGTGACGGCTTGGTTATTAGCGACGTTGCGCCAGCCTTTACCGTCGCGGGTGAGCAGTTTCGGGTAGAAACTCCAGGCGATTACAGAGTTGACTATGGTATCGTTGACGCTGTTGAAATCGTATTCTTCCGGGATGGTGAAGAAGGTGCGTCGGTTGTTGGATCGGGAACTGTATTTTTAGATATTTGTTAGTAGGGGTTTGGGGCATGATGGGGGTGGGGAGAGTGTACCGGTTGAGGAGCGCTTTCTGGGATGGGTCCAGCGTTAATAGCCCTGTGTCGGCGATTGATACAATCAGCTGCATTTTGATGTCCTCGATATTAAGCAGTGTTTGCGAGCTGAGGAAGTTCTTGCGACAGAAGGCGTATTCGCTCACGCCGGGTGTGTTGCGTGCGCGCTTCCACGCGCAGTAGGCGTTGTATACCGTCAGCAGATCAGAGTCGCCTAAATTTGTTAGTGACAAGTAGGAAACAGTAATTGGGAAGTACCTACCCTTGCGGAATGACAGTCGAGCAATGTCCTTTTGGGTGTTGGAGCCCATTGTGTTCACAAATGGCGACTTGGAGGACAGAATAGCGGCGATGCTGACGGCCGCGTCCAAACAGCGGAAGAAGGCGCCGTGGATGATTAACTTTCCAAGGAAAACGTCCAGTGGCAGCTTGGCCAGCTGCAGACCCAGAGGCGTCAGATTCTCCGCGTTTGTCAGGGCCTTCACTTCCTTCAGCGAATCGATTGCCCGGCGAATGTTCTTGGATGACGGCGGGTCGAGCGCCTCCAGCAGCGTCGGTTCCACTTCACCCAGCTTGCAGATCTTGACACGCAGCACAAGATCTTGGAGAGACAACCGGAGCATCTCGGGCGTCTGCTGTTCTGCGAGCTACAACTAGTCAGTACTAAATTTTGCAGCCGTGGTCGCTACACATACCAGCTTATCGTGACGATGCTTCGTAAACAGGTGGAAGCAGATACCATTCTGCACACGACCAGCTCGTCCACGTCGTTGCTTCGCATTAGCGCGCGAAATAAACGTTTCGACGAGCCTAGATAGCTGACGGCGTTCATCAAACCTGGGCAAGTTAGCTAGTCCATTACTCAATCACGTTATCTTCTACTAACCTCATGCTCTTCTCTTTGCCCGCATCAATCACCGCAGTAATATCCGGGATGGTGATACCTGTCTCTGCAATATTGGTGGCAATTACAATCTTTCTCATACCCTCAGGAGGAACCACGAAAGCCTTCTCCTGATCTTCGCTGGCGATAGATGAATGCAGCGCATGCACAATCCATCCCTGCTGGAAAGTCGGGTCCGACAGGATCTCATCATTCAGCCGACGAATCTCCGCCATACCGGGCATGAAGATAAGGATGGCCTTGCTGTAGTGTGTCATTTCAGGCGACGAAGCGATCTGCACAACCAGCCGCTTGATGAGCTGGTAGTCCAGGCGATATTCGTCAAAGTTTGCCACGGTCTCCTTGGTTTGCTTGGAATATCCATCGAGCGAAGTCATCAGGCTGCCGGCAGTGTCGCCCTGCGCCGTCTCCAGCGCTAATTCATCCATTTCCTCCTCCACAGCGTTGGGTTCATTCTCCAGCAACCGGTAGTTAGTCATCTCGATGACATCCTCTAGGAACTTCATCTCCACAGGGAAAGTCCGACCTGGGATATTCAGTACCGGAACACCGCCAAGATAGGTGGAGAAGCGCTGCGCCTCAAGTGTGGCCGACATCAGAATTAGCTTCAGATCGGGCCTCTTTTGCATCAACCGCCGAAGGACGATGAGGAGGAAGTCGCTATCAATCGAACGTTCGTGGACCTCATCGAGAACAACATGAGTGATATCGCGGAAGTCGTCCGGGCGCTCAAGCATTCGCACCACCACTCCGGTGGTCCTGCCAGGGTCAGCTCGTTCCCAAGTTCACAAGGGTGAGAACATACGCGAATACAAGCCTCGTAGCTTGGCTGACTTTACTCTCCAATCGGACAGCAAAGCCAATGAGTGAGCGCGCCGTTCCCACATCGTTCTTATTCTCGCCTAGTTCTTCGCTCACTCTTCGGGCAAGGGAAATGGCCGAGATCCTGCGAGGCTCCGTCACATAGATCTTGCACGGTCGGCCTTGCTTCATTTCATGCTCCAAAATAAACGAAGGTATCTGCGTACTTTTTCCGCTTCCTGTTTCACTGCAGATGATGAGTGCACGATGTGTGTCAAGAGTATTGAGAATGTCGTCGCGGAAATTCCAGATGGGCAGGTTCATCCTGCCCTGAGCCATGTACTGGAATGAGGCCGTAGACGACTTTTCTGTCCAGATCCGAGTCAACTCCTCGTCAGGCTCAGAACTATCCTTTACGCTGGCTCCCCGTACTGGGGATTCCGGCTTGCTAGAGGTTCCGTTTCGCTTCCGGAAGTTATGCGACAAGACAACATCATCTTCAAAGGCCCCATGGTTATCCTGTATGAGTTTCTTCAGATCCTTGACGGTCTGCTTGTCAGCTTCGTCTTCCTGCAACTTCTTCGCATTCGCAAACTCCGTCCAAAGCTCTCGCCACACCGCTGGAAGGCGCAGGTATGCTTTTCCTTCTTTGGAGTTCTGCGGGAATAGGATGAAAAGAGCAAGAGTGGAAACGAAGGATTCCGCTTGCTGAGAGTTTGGAGTCGCCACCGAGTCCATCGAGACGAATGTCGCATAAGCGTTCGAGTTATGTGTGGTAGTGTCCCAGACAAAAGGGAAGGGAACCTCTTGAGGTTTGGACCATCTTACTTCAAGAGCTTGTCTGTTCGAATGCGACGAAGCGGACATGTCCTTGAACGTGATCTTGCAACCCGTGTCCCTACCCAGATGACTTAGTTGTCGATCATCCCCAGCTTAACTGCGAGACATACCTTGCTTTGCACGTTTCTTCTAGCACTCGCCGGGGGCTAAGTCCAGTCCCTTTTCCGAAATCGCGCACTTTGACAGATGCCTTCTTTAACTCCTCCGTTATCACACCGAGTTCCAGGACAGGTTCCTCATCTTGGAACATGTCGCCTAACAAGTCTGTAGCCTCTTCATTGTCAAGCGGCTGTGCGCCATTCTCTGGTTTCGTTTCCGTTTCCTCTGCATTTTCAGCTTCCTCTTGAACAGGCTTCTCTTCCGGCTGTGAGCGCCGGACAAAAGCCGCCTCTTTGCGTAAATCGTCGAGTTTCTCTCTCCACTTGTATTCGGCCTCATGCTGGTCAAACAGCACATCATTTTCAATGCTAGTGATTTTGCGTTGCAACCTCACGACCTGAGGGTCTTGCTCGGCTTTAGCAGGCTTACGGCCTCCCTTCTTGCCCTTCTTGGGTTGGTCGAATAGCTCCGGTCGCAGGCCATACAGGCGAGTCTGCAGGTCCAGATACTTTGGTATGAGCGTGTCAGGGTCAAGGGAGCTGTCCGAGTCGTAGGGGCTCGATTGGAGGGCAGGGCTCGGCTCCTTTACAGGGCTTTTGGGCTTTTTCACTTTGCTATTATTTGGGCCCAAACTTGGGGTGGAGGATTGTGATGGCTCACGATCTGATGTCAGTCAGGTTAGCCATCCAATCCTTACGGGATACCAGGCACCTAAGATTACCATTTATCCAAGAGATATGTCTATCCAACTCATTGCGCTGCTGCGCATTTGTCTGCATGTAAGAAGGCAATTCCTTGAGAGTGCAATGCAAGGCAAGCCAATCTAGAGCCTCATCCAGGTTGCAAACCACCTCCCTATTGGATGTGGCAAAATTACCAGAAAAGTAGAGAAGCATATGCTTCAAAGCCTCGTTTACTTTCTCTTCCGGGAAGCCGAGTTTAAGCAGGGTTTCCTTCAGGGTCCAGAGTCTCATATATAGTTCTTCCTCGGAGACAGTTTTCTTCTGACCTCCCGAATCCCGTCCGGGTAATGGACTGAGCTCTCGCTCTTCCGTCTCAACCAGATGCATGATATTCTGTAGCACCTCGGTGGGAAGCCACTCCATCAGGTTTACAGAAACGGCTTGTTGCCGGAATACTCTGCGTTCTGTCTCCAACTTTGTGACTTGGCGGGCGGCATCACTTCTGCACTTGGAAGCATACTTCTCAACCAAGAGTTGAAGTTCAGCTTCCTCCAAGTGTTTCTCAAGTTCTTCGGGAGTATAGTTCTGTAATGAGGGGGCGGCTTCGCTTTTGGAGTCTACTGCGGGTTGCTGCTTTCCCTCGACGGGCGTTGGACGATCACTTGCGGACACGGACTTGGAGTCTGCGGTAGAGACTGGGGTTGACGATTCAGTAGGCTTGGGTTTAGATGGCACCGAGACCGTGGCAAATCCTCGAGCCGGATTGGAGGCGGGCTTCTTCTTTTTCCTGTTGTTAGGTGGCATGGTGGTTAAGTGAGATTGAAGGAGGGGAAGGTGGGCTGCTGCAAGATTTCCCGCCGGGGCGGACAAGGAGAGAATGCTCTAAGGATAGGAAGTGAGAAAGGTAATGTCTAGAATCATTAGTGAAATCTCAAGGGGAAGAGTGAGCAAATAAAATCAGAAAGAGTTGAGTTGGGGGGTGTATGAGGGAAGAAATGGGCGAGGTTCTTCGTCATGGAGGAGAGACTGGCGGCGGGTCCTCCGACTCACAGCCAGCAAAGGAAGGAAGGAAGGCAAGGCGGCGGAGCTTCCCCCACAACGCCGCAAAACTTTTATGACAACATCCGCGGCCCCATTCGTGCCCATTGCTCCTCACGCCGGGCATGCTTCAGGCCACCTAGACTATCATGGACGATTTTCCATGGGATCAGGTGGAATCAGGGGACCTGGGGAGTCTGCAGGTCGTTCTCTTCTCGAGTTCGACTGCTCGCAGAATTCGCGCTCTCCAGGACCTCCGTGACAGAATCGGTGCGTGAAGAACAAAAGCCCCTCTCTCTGACTCTCACTCTCTCACTTCCCAATATGATGCTCTCGTGCTCTTGTGCTCACTATCTGTCCACCAAACAGGAACTAGTCTACAACCTCAAACCTACCAGCCTCTAATCGGCCTTCTCTTCAAGACTTACCCTCGCTACGTCGATCGTCCCTCGCGGCAGGCCGTTCAGCAATGTCTCCGCTCGCTTCTCAAGGCGCCCGTCCCGACCGACGATCTGAAATACCTCACCCAAAAGTTGCAGGTGGAGGCTGCCAAACCTGGCCTGGCGCCTGGTCCAGCCCTCGTGTTGTTGGAATGGTGCTCGGTGGTGCTTCAGATCCTGGGAGGTGACTCCGAAACCCCTCTTTCTGCCGTTCTGGACACCATTGCCGTCGATGCAAAGGCCCTAGATATCTGTCTGGCCTCCAACCCGAGACCCGCAGTGAAGGCTTCTGCCCTCCGGGTTACGAGACGTGCTCTACGCGCTGCATTTTCCTCCACCGCTTGGGGCGAGGATGCTGTTCGTGAATCCGTCCGCCGGTTGACCAGCGACTCGACTACTGGCCAGAAGAACGCACCTTTCTTGGGGGTCATCTCCGGCGTCTGCGCGCGTCTTCCCGCCAAGAAGCCAGTCTTGGAAGGGGAAAAGAAGGCAATCATTTCGTTCTACGTCAAGGAATTGGCTGGTGCGAAATCCGCGCCTCCCGCTCACATCGCCGATGCATTGGGCGACTTTTTCGTCTCTTTCCTTAGCTACGATGACCTCGCTACCGAGTTGATCCCACCCTTCGAAAAGGCCATGTTGCGCTCTCCCGAGGTTGTTTTCAATGGCTTGTTGCCTTCGCTGTGCGCCTCTTTGCCGGAGGAGATTGATATGTCCGAGCTTTTGCATTCGCGGCTGTTGAAGCACCTGTTATCAAGCATGAAGTCGAACAATCCAGCCATTAGACAGGGTGCTGTTCGCTCATTCGAGTCCCTTCTCGCGAAATCCAAGGACCAGGCCTTGCTCACCAAGATCACGAGCGAAGTCGTCAACCCTCTGAAGACCCAGAAGATCACCAATCCGGAACAGCGTGCGGTGTACGCTCAAGCGGTCGCTGCGATATTGCCTTCGGCCGATCTTTCAAAGGACGTGGTACAGGGCTTTGTTCCCGTTTTCAACAGGGAATCCAATGAGGCCGCTCTGGAACAGGAAATCAAATCATTCTGCAAGCACCTGGCTTTCCTTGTCCAGTCTCAAGTGAAGGTCAGCGACGACGTCATCAATGCCATTGTGAAAGGATCTTCCGATAAGCGTGTTCCGTTCAAAAAGCTCTGGCAGCTCAATGTCGGAGAGGTTATGTGGCAAGTCGAACCTGCGACTCTGGCAAGCACTGATGTCGAGCCCCTTGTGAACAAGTTCCTCGGCAAGATGAAAGAGCTGTACAATGAGGTTGCCGCCAACCCTCTTCCCTCTGCTCAGGGTGGCTCTCTGTCAACTGCCTATGTGTATCTCGCCCTTCTAGATCGCTCTTCCTCGCTGCAGAGCTTTGACAAGCCCGCATGGGAGGAAACTGTAGCTCAATCAATGGTGCTCAACCCGAAGCCGTCTTTCCTCCTCAACCCCAAGGCCTACTCAAAGTTGACCATCCAAATCGAGATCCAGTGGGCTGTGCGCGCACTTGCTGCAGTCACTACCGGTTCGAAGTTCGGAAAGGCTGAGGACGCAGCCAAGACCGCCTGGGCCCAGGCATTCATCTATAATATCGCCGCCCCTGGACTTCACACCAGTTTCCGGGATGGAGCTGCTCGGACCTTGTCAGAAATTCATTTGAAGGATGTGGCAGGTATGGGCCGGACAGTCACAAGTGCTCTGTGGTCCTGGATACTTTCCTTTAGAACTGGCGAGAAAGAATCTGCCTCGGTCTCTGCAGGACCAGAAAGCGAAAGGTTCCTCCATCTCGTTGTAAAGGCTCTGTGCCCTCCTGCTTCTAGTGTGCAGGAAGTAGACAACGTCACTGCTTCTCTGAAAGACCAACTCGTTGAGTTGCTCGTCCTATGTCGCCCTGAGCTTATTCCCAGCGCATCCTGGATTGCGTCTTGCTTGAGGACCGGCATTGACCCCGGCAACCTTGTGCGCGAATTCCCCGAAAAGTGTCTGGAGCAGCTGACTCGTCTGCATGAGGTATGTCGTGTGCCAATACTCGTCAATCGCAACTTAGGAAGTCCAAACTAATACTTTCTTAGGACCCTGTTCAGTCGAAAATCCCCCAAATCGATGCCGCAATCTGGAGTGCTGCGGGTGAATTGGCGTTCGTAGCACCTGATGCTATGGTTCCCCGACTGGTTGGCCAGATCCAGGACGATCTGGATACTTCGCGCCTGTCCAAGTTCACGGCAACCGATGTCGCTATCGCCCGTACCCCGGAGGGAACCATGTTCGTCGACGTGCTCAGCACGAAGTCCAAGCAGTCGAACTTTGATAAGAACACTAAAGACTACGACATCCTCAAGTGGGAGGAGGAGCTACGGTCACAATTGGCTGATAAGAAGGGCCAGAAGCAGAAGAAGCTTACTCCTGAGGAGCAATCCAAGGTCAAGGCCCAACTTGCCAAGGAGTCCAAGATCCGCGAGGAAGTCCTCCAAGTGATCAAGAAGATCGAAAGGGGATGTGGAATCATTCAAGGTCTCGCGGATGGGCCCGCCATCGACGCGGATGGCTGGATCAACCCCGCCGTGAGCTCCTTGCTCTCCCTGACCGAAGCCGGTGCAGGCTTGTACGCTGGTGATGTTGTGTCCAAAGTGTACGTTAAGTGCGCTGAGAAGTTGTCCTCGCGTCTCGGGCCTTTGCGGCCTTTCGTGGGTATTGCAACGCTTCGGGCTATTGGCAAGAGTTACCTGCCTCCGCAGATGGAAGCAGAGGCACTTGGACGTATGTTGTTTGATGTTCTGGCTATGTGGGAAGCTTGCACTAACTGATCGGCAGAGCTCGTAACGAGAATCCTTTATCGCTTGCGTTTTGCCTCCGAGCAACGTCCTTTCGAGAGCACGTCTCTGGCCTACGTTCTCCCCTTGCTCTTCTTGGTGCTCAGCAAGAACGGAATCGATGAACAGAGAGGTGATGAAGAGGGCGAGCAAGTCCTCCTTGCCTTGGAAGTGTTGTCCTTCCATTCGGGTTCTTGTGAGTTTTCCCAAAAATTGACGGAGTGTCCCTCAAGGCTAATGCATGGTTAATTAGTTGCCGACGAACGTCTTCCTCGTGTGGAAGTCCTGAAGATTTTGCTTGCATCGATGCAGAAGTACACTCAACACTACAAGCTTATCAAGGATACTCTGTTCGATGTTTGCAGGTGCATCTCACCTAATATCACTAAGGATGAGCTTGACATTCTCCTCAAGGGCACAATTGTGACGGATGTGTCTGTCCGTACCTCGGTGTTGCAGGTCATCGAAGCTGAGATCGACCTGACGGATCTCGACTTCTCTGAACACATCTGGCTGGAATGCCATGACCACGTGGAGGAGAATGCTGAGATCGCCGAGAATATCTGGGAAGAAAATGCCCTGGAAGTCGACGACTCCTCTTATGAGAAGATCATTCCCTATCTCTCCTCAAAGGATGCACAGCTTCGTGGTGCTGGCGCTCGCGCGTTGGCTCATGCAATTGCGGTGAACCCTTCGATGTTTGACCGGATCTTTTCCGAATTGCAGTCCAAATACACGATTGAGATTCAGCCTAAGGTGCCCGAAAAAGATAGCTACGGTATGCCGAAGAAGATGGATGTCACAGACCATTGGGAGCTACGCAGTGGTATCGCCCTCGCTTTTGGAGCTATGACAAATCTTTTTGAAGGCGAGCAGATCGTCTCCTTCCTCCGGTTCTTGATTGAAAGAGGTCCTCTTATCGACAAGAGTTCCGCCGTCCGCGCACAGATGGCGGAGAGCGGCAGATCTGTCATTGCTGCCCGTGGGCAACAGAAGGTCGAGGAATTAATGAAGCTCTTGGAGACAACCTTGGAGACCTCCGACAAAGGAAGTGAGACGTCTGATCTTCTTAACGAGGCCGTTGTTGTTTTGTATGGTTCCCTGGCCCAGCATCTCAAAGCGGACGATACGCGTCTGCAGACAGTCATCAAGAGGCTGCTGGACACTCTTCCTACTCCTTCGGAGAGTGTGCAGTCTGCCGTTTCGGGATGTCTGCCGCCTCTGATCCGCCTTTCGCGCCCTCAGAGTGGTGAGTACGTCCAAGAAATGCTGGATCAGCTGCTGCAGTCCAAGAAATATGCTACACAGCGTGGCGCGGCTTATGGACTTGCTGGTATCGTCAGCGGTAGGGGTATTGTCACCCTTCGAGAATTCCAAGTCATGTCGCATCTGCGTGATGCCACTGAGAACAAGAAGGAACCTCATCAGAGACAAGGTGCTCTGTTGGCATATGAGCTGTTTGCCGCTATTCTTGGACGGACCTTCGAGCCCTATGTCATCCAGATTGTTCCCCAGCTTCTGGCTGGTTTCGGTGATGTCAACCCCGACGTCCGTGCTGCCTGCCTTGATGCAGCAAAGGCTTGCTTCTCGAACCTTAGCTCGTATGGTGTCAAGCAAATTCTTCCCACCCTTCTCGATGGTCTTGATGACACACAATGGCGCAGTCAGAAGGGAGCCTGTGATCTCTTGGGAGCGATGGCCTACCTCGATCCCCAGCAACTCGCGGCAAGCCTTCCGGACATTATCCCTCCGCTCACTGTGGTCCTCAATGATACCCACAAGGAAGTGCGCAATGCTGCAAACCGCAGTCTTCAGCGATTCGGCGAAGTCATCAGCAACCCCGAAGTCAAGAGCTTGGTTAATGTACTTCTGAAGGCGCTCAGCGACCCCACCAAGTACACCGATGAGGCCCTGGATTCCCTCATCAAGGTGTCCTTCGTCCACTATCTGGATGCGCCGTCCTTGGCTCTTGTTGTTCGCATTCTTGAACGTGGTCTTGGCGACAGGTCGAACACGAAACGTAAATCTGCTCAGATCATTGGCAGTTTGGCTCACCTTACAGAGCGCAAGGACCTCACAGCCCATCTGCCAATCATTGTTTCGGGCTTGCAGCTTGCTATCGTCGACCCTGTGCCGACTACTCGTGCGACCGCTTCCAAGGCTCTCGGTTCCCTTATCGAAAAGCTTGGAGAGGACGCTCTTCCCGACCTCATTCCCAACCTCATGTCTACGCTCAAGTCGGATACCGGAGCCGGCGACAGACTGGGATCTGCTCAAGCTCTTTCAGAGGTTCTGGCAGGTCTGGGTACAACCAGACTCGAGGAGACGCTGCCTACTATTCTACAGAATGTGTCCAGTTCCAAGGCTTCTGTTCGCGAGGGTTTCATGACGCTCTTTATCTTCCTTCCCGCCTGCTTCGGAAACAGCTTCGCCGCCTATCTCAGCAAAATCATTCCTCCTATCCTTGCCGGTTTGGCTGACGATGTCGAATCTATTCGTGAGACCTCTCTCAAGGCAGGTCGCTTGCTCGTCAAGAACTTCTCATCGAAGGCCATTGATCTCCTTCTGCCAGAGCTTGAGCGCGGTCTCGCGGATGACAGTTACCGCATCAGATTGAGCTCCGTCGAGCTGGTTGGTGATCTTCTCTTCAGTCTCACTGGTATCACAGCCAAGGCCGATGCCGAGGAGGAAGAGGAAGAAGCGGCTCAAGCTGGACAGTCGCTGCTGGAGGTTCTTGGAGAGGAGAGGAGGGACAAGGTCTTGTCGGCACTGTTTATCTGCCGCTGCGATACTTCGGGTATGGTCAAGAGCGCTGCTATGGCCGTCTGGAAGTCACTTGTTGCTTCTCCTAAGACGCTCAAGGACATGGTTCCCACTCTGTCTCAGCTCATTATTCGCCGTCTCGGTTCCTCCAACATGGAGCATAAGGTCATTGCTAGCAACGCGCTTGGTGACCTTATCAAGAAGGCTGGCGAGTCGGTTCTCTCTGCTCTGCTTCCCTCTCTCGAAGAAGGTCTCCAGACTTCGCCCGACGTGGATGTCAAGCAAGGTATTTGCATTGCTTTGAGAGAACTCATTACTTCCGCCTCCGCCGAGGCCCTCGAGGATTACGAGAAGGTTCTTATCTCGACAGTTCGGGTGGCGCTCGTTGATAATGACGAAGATGTCCGCGAGGCTGCAGCCGAGGCTTTCGACGCCCTGCAGCAGATCCTGGGCAAGAAGGCAGTGGACCAGGTCCTGCCTCATCTCTTGCTTCTTCTGAGAAACAACGAGGATGCAGAGCAGGCGTTGTCCGCACTTTTGACCCTCCTCACGGAGCAGACCCGCGCGAATATCATCCTCCCCAACCTTATCCCGACGCTCCTCACCTCTCCCATTTCCACATTCAACGCGAAGGCTCTTGCTTCCCTGGCCGAAGTCGCCGGCTCTGCCATGACCCGCAAGCTGCCTACCATCCTCAACTCCTTGATGGACGAGATTGTGTCCACTGAGGACGAGGCTCACCGCGAAGAACTGAGCAATGCCTTTGACACGATCCTGGTTTCGGTGGACGAGTACGATGGCTTGAATGTCATGATGAACGTCATGATTACTCTGATGAAGCATGATGACCATCACCGCCGTGCTACCGCAGCCATTCATCTCGACAAGTTCTTCTCGAATGCAGAGATCGATTACTCCAGGTACCACCAGGATCTGATCCGTGTCCTGCTCATCTCCTTCGATGACAGCGACAAGGATGTCGTCAAGGCCGCGTGGACGGCGCTCAGTGGACTCACGAAACATTTGCGCAAAGAAGAAATGGAAGTCCTTACCATTTCCACTCGCCAGACCTTGCGGAGTGTCGGGGTTCCGGGTGCCAGCCTTCCTGGCTTCAGCCTGCCCAAGGGTATCACAGCCATTCTGCCTATCTTCTTGCAAGGTCTTCTGAACGGCAGCGTCGAGCAGCGTACGCAGGCAGCTCTCGCCATCGGCGACATCATCGATCGCACTGGCGCAGACTCTCTGAAGCTGTTCGTGACCCAGATCACTGGTCCCCTCATTCGTGTTGTGTCCGAGCGATCGGTGGAGATTAAATGTAAGTTGCTTTCTTTACTTCTGCTTGAATAAAATTCCATACTAATTGGCTACACTAGGCGCTATCTTCTTCACCCTCAACAAGCTTCTGGAGAAGATTCCCCTCGCTGTCAAGCCCTTCTTGCCCCAGCTTCAACGGACCTTCGCACGTGGTTTGGCTGATGCATCCAGCGAGACTCTGCGTAACAGGGCCGCCAAGGGTCTTGGTATCCTGATCACCCTGACACCCCGTGTGGACCCTCTCATTGCAGAGCTTATCACGGGTACCAAGACGGAAGATGTCGGTGTGAGAAACGCGATGATGAAGGCTCTTCAAGAGGTGGTAGGCAAGGCCGGCGCCAACATGAGCGAGGCATCGAAGAACGCCATTCTCGCTCTTATTGACGACGATGCCAGTGATCAAACTGATGCTGTCGCTATTACGAATGCGAAGTTGCTTGGTGCACTAGTGAAGGTCCTCCCGGCCGCCACTGCTGGCCCACTGATCAAGAACCGGGTCCTCGCTGCCACACCTTCCCACGCATCGATTCTGGGTCTCAATGCCCTGTTGGTTGAGGCTCCGTCGTCCTTGACGGAGCACTTCTCCGCGGAGACTCAGGCTATGATCTGCCAGGGTGTCACGAACAAGGATGTGAGTACTTAGGTTCCAACCCTATTCGAGAAATGATGCTAATCCTACGCAGCCCTTCATTTCCGACAACAGCGTCCTCGCTGCCGGAAAGTACCTCCTGATCGAGGATGAAAACCGCAACTTCGAAGACAACAAGGCCATTTTCGAGGCCTTGGCGCCTTGCATTCAGCCCGGTACGCCGTCTGATACGCGGCGGTTGTCCCTGGTGGTGATGCGCACGGTCAGCCGGCTTCACCCCGAGCTGACTCGGCCTCACCTGGCCCTCTTGGCGCCACCGATCTTCGCCAGCGTTCGCGACGTGGTCATTCCTGTCAAGCTGGCGGCCGAGGCAGCATTCCTGGCGATCTTCTCTGTGGAGGAATCCGAAGGTGCAGTCTTCGATAAGTACATGGCCGGACCCGGAGCTTCGCTGCCACCGGGACCCAAGCGGAGCATGTCGGACTACTTCAAGCGTGTCGCGCTCCGTCTTGCCGCCCAGGCCCGCGAGCGCAAGGAAGCGGAAGGTGGACAAGGAGGGTTGGGGCTGTCCAATGATGAGGTAGAGGATGAGAGAGAATTGTGGAGCATTGGAAAGGTTGATCTCGGGGATGGGTCGTTTGGGGATGAGTAAGTGGTGTCGAGGTGGGCTAGACACTGAGACGATTTAGATCTACTTCTCTCTATCTGCTACTATCTATACCCTTCTGTTTGAGTAGGGAAAGGAGTTGGGTGACGTGGTCTCCAACTCCAATGATGAAAAGAAAAGCATGTTGATACATACTATGAGATGAGCAATGCATTTGTTTTGAGTTTCCGCGGGTTTTCCATGGTCGGATTTGATGTCAGCCTCAGTCATCCATACGTAACTGATACAACACAAGTACACAGGCGGAGATCACGTGGACCAGCCGGAATGGCGCATCTGCCCGAGTTGGTCCATCGCCGAGCGACGGATAGAAGACGAGTCGTGAATTGAGAAGGTGAACATCCAATAAGTGTGATGATATAGATAGTAATTCCAATCCATACCACGTTTTAATCAGCCCAGAATCTGTAGCATGTTCCAGCTGGATGCTGTAAGGCGCCGTTGCGGCTCCCGGTGGTGTTCCCCGGATCGGGACAAGCGTCTGGGGCACGAACCCTAACAGAGGGTTTTGCTGGTCTCGCTTAGCAGACACAACCGCTTAGCTAATCAGCCGCCGTATCTCAAACTCCTCGCCCTGGGAATTCTACCCGTCGACGAGTGCAACGAACATCATCCGCCAACGACCGTCGATACGCCGACATCAAGATGTGAGTCCATCTCCAGCTCTTGATTTTTGCTGCATCAAGGGGGGGAATTACTGTTCGTCGCTGGACTGTATATCCTCCCCCTCTTCCCCCGTGCACACGCCCCGGATTCGCCTCAAGATGGCGCTTTTTCGCAGCAGCAGCAGCAACAACCCCCCGATCGGTTTGGACTTCATGCTGACCGACTGCTTTTTTTTGCACCACACAGGGTCAACCTTCGCACCCAGAAGCGCCTCGCCGCCTCCGTGGTGGGCTGCGGCAAGCGCAAGATTTGGCTCGACCCCAATGAGATGAATGAGATCTCCAACGCCAACTCCCGCCAGACCATCCGCAAGCTCGTCAGCGATGGCCTCATCATCCGCAAGCCCGTCACCATGCACTCCCGCTCCCGTGCCCGTGAGCTCGCCGCCGCCCGCCGCATCGGCCGTCACCGTGGTCTCGGTAAGCGCAAGGGTACCAAGGAGGCTCGTATGCCCAGGTATGCACATTGTCCTCACCCTTGAGTGCCGTTGCAAGGATTTTTCTCGGTCGCCCACGACTCAGCGAGATATCATCTGCGAAGGAGAAATGATGAAACGGATGTGTGCTGATGGATATCGGATTAAAGCCAGATCCTCTGGATGCGCCGCATGCGTATTCTCCGTCGCCTGCTCGTCCGCTACCGTGCCTCCGGCAAGATCGACAAGCACCTGTACCACGAGCTCTACCACCTGAGCAAGGGTAACACCTTCAAGCACAAGCGTTCCCTCATCGAGCACGTAAGTCTCGCCGCCATGTTGTTCTTTCGATATACCCTGGATACTATGAGACGGAACGGGTTTATACGATTGTTTTATTTGGACGATGAGGGAATAGGGGCTAACATGATCTCTTTCCCTACTACAGATCCAGAAGGCCAAGGCTGAGCGTCACCGTGAGCGCGTCCTCAAGGAGGAGATGGATGCTAAGCGTGCCAAGAACAAGGCTCTCCGTGAGAGACGTCTGGAGCGCAAGGAGGCCAAGCAGAACGCCCTCGTTGCTGAGGCTCAGGAGTAAATCCTCTCAGATAACGAACTTGGGCGGTGCGGAGGTTGAAACGGGGGAGGGAATCGATCAGCCCACGGACTTTGATCGACCACTCCGTGTTCGTTGCAGGTCTGGCTCGGTGGCTCGATTCATCCGGGACGGGGTTGTTTGGATCGTATCGGGAGCCTGGAACAGGGTTGGGGATCAAGGATATGCACCATCATCACCATCATCGTCATCCCCGTCTCTTCCTCTTCACGGGGAAGAGCATGTGAAAGGACCACGCAAAAAAAAGGAAAAAGACCTAACTGTTAAAGCAAAACAATGGCATGGCGCTTTGTGTGATACGAAATTTCCAATTTTTTTTTACTATTTCTTCATCCTTTTCGCCAACTTTTTCTTCCTTTCCTGGACCGTGCAAAAAAAAAAAAAGAATTCGCCCTTGCACTGCTTGCTTGCTATCCGATATCAAATCCAGCCCAACTCCCGCCCGGATATAATCTGTCCCTCTTGCTGCTTTTCTCCCAAAGCACCCGCTGCTTCTTCTTCTTTCCTCTTTTCTTTACCTCTGCACTGAACATGTAACGTCGTAACGCACATCCTGAATATCATTCCGAGGGTTAACACACGACGCTGGTTCCTTGTAATGGTCTAGAACGTATATCTCTTGTAGTTTCTGCAACCTAAACTAATTGAAATGTCAGTCAAAACCCCCTCCCCTCCTCTCTCTTCACCTTTGATTACGTCAAAACCAACCTGCCCCTCACATTCGTTCAGCCTGGAATGGATTAAGTATGATATCCCCACTTTCTTGACTTTCAGTAAATCTAGTCATAGAATGTGCTATTACCTGTCTCTTCCTTTGTCTTGTCCTCGGAGATTCTGTTCTTGTCCTTTCTTATAATCTTGATTACGATGGCTCTGCTCTTAAAAACTCACTTTCTTTTCCAATTTATTTCTGATTTATCGCTTCTACTCTCTCGGCTGTCGAATCTGCGTTGGTCTGTGTGTGAATTTCTCCTCCTCCTCCGTCCCCCCACTAACCCGTAGGTTCAGTGGTTTTTTGTGTTTCTGTTTGGAATAATTCAAGGAAATTGGGAAATTCATACTATTCAGTTCTGCTACGTATTATATTGAATAATCTCTCTGCGATAGTATGCATTATATATTCTCTTAGCTAGTAGTGGTGCTTCCTACTACGAGTAATGCTTTCAGTTTAAATTCGGCGGTTGTGGTGGGGAATCGCGGGGGTACTAAGTAAATAGCCTTACGGATGTAGAAGACTAGAATATATATATATCTGTTACTATCACCACACTATCACACTTTCAGAATCATCATTGAATGGATAAAGCATACTAGTACTAGAGAAATGGTATGGAGTAGATAATCTGAGAGATGGTTATTGGTTTAATGTCTAAGTTAGCTGAGTGTTGGTTGGACTACTAGTACTTGTTAAGTACAAGTGTTGCATTCACATTTCCAATTAGTAGTGGTACTGGTACTATGTTCAGAACATGAATGTATATTTTAGCTGAACATGTCATGGAGTTTCTTGTAGTTCATCATGGTGTACTACAAATACTCTTATAAAGTAAATAGCATGGTATTCAAATCAGAAATTCATTGGATGTTGTATTCGCACACGACAATTGCACATGTAATTATCGTACACATACAAATACAGCTGTGACAGCATGGCACCCTTACTTACTTACCCTTCGCTACCTACCACCTGTGTGCCATGTCTGATAACAACTAACACCAATCATAAGATAAAATACATATACAGTCATCTTGAAGTGAAATCTGCTTTCTCTTTCCGCATCCCCCGTTCAACGACCTAGACGGAAATACCATATGCTTAATTGCAGATGATAGCGTGGACTCATGTCGCATATCTCGTGTGCTTCTTCATGTCCTACACTCTGTGTGTGGGCAGCAAAAAGCTTCTCTCTTCTCCCTCGTCAGCCGTAATTTAGACGTGCCCTATGGGTATGACGGTAGAACTACGCCGGTGCATAGCGTGGGGTGGACATTCCAGATCAAAAGGATCACTGCGCGTGCTTAGCCTGGCCACGGGCTCGCATGCTTCGAGCTCGGCCGCGGTGAACGGGTAGCTGAGTCGTTGCAGGCTACTACCCGCGCTGCTCCGCCCAGGTAGGTGGAGTGTACTCCCTAAGCTGCGATCACTGTGCATGGAATACCAGGCAGTTGACGTGGGTCGCTGTGACATGTATGATTGCCGCATGACCACAGTGTGGCTTGGAGCTGCATCGGCGAACGGGTTGCGAAGCGTCCCCGCGTTGCTGGGCACGCCGCTACCACGCGACACATACTTGATCTCCGCAGAGTCTAGGAAAGGGTTTGCATCGGAGAGGAGGTTTGGACCGGAAGGGGTCCGACGCGCTTGGTAGCTCTTGGCAGGAATTGATACTGGGAACATAGCGCGCAGAGGGCTGGAGGGGGTAGAGGAGTGGTCGGTGAAAGATGACCCGCACGACTGATATACTTGATGTGAGCCTGCTGAGGAAGCAGCCGGACTGCGGTCATCTTGCAGGTGTTCTTCACTCGTGCCAGTGGCCAGCTCGTCACGGGGCTTGCGCCGCTTGTGACGCATCACGAAATAACCTATTGCAAGCGCAAGAGCAACAAAAGCTACGCCTCCTAGAACGCCCCCCAAGATTGCGCCCAGTGAGGCGTGAGAGCCACCATGATCCGATTGATCTATGTAGCCATGCGACGTGCCATTGGCTGAAGTGACAGCGCTAGTTACTGCTGAGTGTGGAATGAATGAGGTAGAGGTGGAGGATTCTGATGTCGACGGTTGTGTTTGATAGCTTGATAATGAACTTGTCTGCGCCGATACCGGCATATGGAAATGAGTGCCATCCTCCGTACGTGTTTGTATGAGATTGTAGTCGCTAGGATCTGCTAGGGTCGCAGATGCAGTTGTCGTAGGCTCGACCACCGAGTCAACAACCGATGATTGTAACGACGGTGTAGTCGAGGCATCTGTAAGAACTGCTGCTGCTGCAGCTGTTGAGTGCAATGTGTTGGACTGAGAGGGCTCGATGGACAATGAGCTTTCGGTCGTGGACGCGGGGACCGAATTCGTGAATGAGGGAGAGGACGCGGCTGAGGTGAAGGAAGAACTGGTGATTACTGGCGCCGAAGACACAAATATATTGGAGTGTCGAGGAATTTCAGTTGCACATCTCGAACTCTGATGGAGAACCGCAGAGCTCGACCTGGACATGTCGCCAAGCCCGCAGGCCGGAGGACGCAAGAAGTACTTTGCTGGATCAAGGAGGGGAAGAAGAGAAGAACGTGGCCTGCATGAAGAACCAGGTATGATAATAAAGTGCAAAAAAAGAGGGAATCCCTGGATTTGAGGCCGCTGGCGCGTAAACGAGCGGGGGAGGCCGCGGCAATGGTAGCAGCAGCAGTAGTAGTACTTGATGTTGTAGTAGTAGTAGTAGTGAATGACCGGCTCACGAAGGTGTGGAAAGAGTGAACAAACGGAAGCCGTGGATACAGTCGGAGAAAGCAAATACACACATGCTAAGCCCGACTCATTGCTGATTTTCTCTACCGGGAGGAGACGGGCAGGCCATGACAGCAGATGTCAGAGGCAATAGCCTGGAGGTGGTGCACCCGTTTCAGGATAGGCTGGTGAGGCGGGAGGGCCAAAAACGCGTGAGATTTCGATCACACGTGAAGAAAGAAGAGAGATTCAGATATATTGAAGAAGCTATGAGAAAAGAGAGAGGCTGTGAAGGAGCAGGGATGAGAGCGAGAAGAGAAGAGGACCAGGGACCCTGGAAACAAACAAAAAGAAGAAGCGCATTGTGTTTGGCCAAGCGCCATGTACAGGTGAACCAACAAACCGGCTGTGACGACAGGAAGTAGGGGGGATTGAAAGAGATTGCTGCCCTTGAGGAAGTGGATGAAACCGCAGTCATCCAAGACATCCAATCCGCGATGCAGAGGCAGCTCTGACGAAGGTGCTGGGCGGCATTAGTCGCTGGCCAGAGAGGGGGGTTTAGGCCCCTCGCCCCTAGCGTTATGTTAACTAACGGCCCTTGGGGGGGGTGGTCAGGAACCACCAGACGTTGGAACGGGTCTGTCTCATTGGATTATGGAAGGGGTGGGGGAGGGGGATAAGCCTAGAGAACCAAAGTCAATCACAACATGGAACATCGAATGGATTCATCTATCTGATGGAGCTGAACCGTGGAGGAAGGGAAAGATGGGATAGATGGATAGATGAGTAGTAGATAGATGGGAGAGGGAGAAGATTGGAGATGGAAATAGACGACTTGATTGGCGCAATTGCCCTGATTGGTTTAATTAAGTAAGTGTGAGGAAAATGTGATTGGCAGATATTCATTGGCTGATGGCGACCATTAAGTGGGGGCCCCGTGACTGAGATACTCTTTTTGGGACATCCCAGTCAGCCACCGCTAATCCACTTCCACATTAGTGCCATCATGTGCAGGCTGAGTCAGGATGATCTAGCCTGATTGGGACAATTCCCATCTTTCGGATGAAGAATTGACCAGTTGGTCTGGGTTTGGAGGATTGACATTGACAGCTATAGTGGCATCTACGGGGTGCAAATCAGACTTAGACTCAATTCTCTGGTTTTAAATTTCACTGGATCACCCACGAGGTGCCCTGGAATAATGTATACGTATGTATGCATGATGATATATCCCCGGATAAGGACGGAGTGCACCTGTGCAATAGTCAGAAGACGAGAGAGAGAGAGAGAGAGAGAGAGAGAAAAGCATTGCCACCGCGGGACTTGTGATCTCCATCTTCCCATCCAGGGATCACGTCTACTACGGTGTACAAGTCCCCTCCTTCACCCAGAATCTGGGGGTCACGTATTGGTCGAAACGCCATCAGAAAAAGGTGGATCGGAAGTCAATTGACATCACAGCCAGAGAGAATGTTCCGTTCTTTCGCAAGAGCCCAAGAATGGGAAAGGCGCTGGGCAGCCATGGTTATCCCCATACTTTTTCCTTCCCCCGCAATATTTGGGCCCGGGGAAATTTGCCAGGTACCCTTCACGGACGGGTAAATTGGGTCCCAGAGGCAAAAAAAATGTTAAGAGGAATCCCGGAAGTGTGAAATGGATGGATAACTAGTATTAGAGGAGAGAGGAGAGAGAGAAAAGGGAATGGACTGAATGGGTCCAACTCCACTTGGAGGGGAAGGAGAATGATGGATTCCAATGAAGCTCGGGAGTGTCAAGGACTAACGAGTAACGAGAGAGGCTAAGGCAAACTTGAAGGCGACTAAACCATTTGACCATTTGACCTTCTTTCTTCACTGCTAACTACTAGACTACTTACTATCTTATTTCCTATTTCAATGCATGCACTTCCCCCCCCCTCTCTCTTTCTCTCTCTCCACTGCCATCATTGTCTTTATCCAACATCAGCATCCACCCAACCCTCCCAATCATCTGGCCATCCAACAATTTCCAACTCAGCCACTAGTTGATCAAGTTTCCCATTCTTCCCGCTGACTGGTTCATCTACTTCCCACTACTTACTTGATTTCCGCCCTCTTATTTGTCTTTCCTCCGTGTGTCTCGTGTGCTTCTTTTTATTCTCCCCCACTGCCGGTTAGCCTCACATCGCAAAGTGATGAACTAAACCGACTCAGCCTTTGTCTAGTGCTGAGATCTCGCATCGTACCCACATCGCATCCCTTCTGAACTGTTGATTCGATTCGATTTGGCGCATAGAGTACTACAAACCATCACTTGGTTCCCGTTCCGCCTTCCCGCAATCTAATTACGGCATCATGTTTGGCTGGTGTAGTACCTTGGGTAAGCTTCTCCCTCCCGCTCGGTCGTCAATCGCCTTCCCCTTGCATCCTTTAGATTCGTCTCGTCTTTTGTGCGCTCCCTCTTACTTTCTATGGGTTGTGCGGAAATGGCGTGGGCCCATCAGAACGTGGTTAGAGTGGTGGTGTGATGATGGAGAGACCCGGTCGCTGAGCCGGTCGCGCCTTGTCCCATCGTCTCCAGCTGCTTCTAAGAGCCAACTGAATGGCCCCCAACCCTCCAGGCCTGCCTGTCAGCCAGGTTGACTGACCTGAGCGCACTCACAGAGTCCAACCCCTGATACATACTGACACGCGATGCAGGCCTACCCTCCGTGAGCTCAGAGCCGGAGAAAGAGCGCCGTCCTCCTCCCGCCCCCACACCCCTTGACTTCCCCATCTACCACCTGCCGGAACTTTCGGATAAGGACCCGGACGCTACTCTGTCGAGACTGAGTGAAGTGCTGGCGTCAATCCGACGGCCACAGGATATCAACCCGCAGAAATTCGAGGCGCTCAATCTGAGACTAGAAGAGGATGTGTCCGCAGCAGACATCGTTCGTCCGAGCGGGTCAAACACGGCTCCTCCGCTCCCTTGGGATAACTCGTTAGCCCGCTCGTCCCCGGTGGATGAGGATGGCTGTCCCATCCTGATGGACAATGGCAATTCATACCCCTCCCGAGACCGATTCGAGGCGTTGCAGAACGAGCTCCTGCTGGATAACGATGACGCTTTCAGAGAGGTGGGCAGACTGCCGCCCCGCGAGGGCCGTCAAAGGGTGCGTGTGGCTCAAACGAGGAAGTTCTGGACTGGCCTGGAACGGATGGCTCAATACTGGGACACCAGTTTGGACGAGTATTACGAGCGCCCGAAAACGCCGCCCCCACCGGCAGGGCAGGAGGGCGCAGACAAAATGCAGACGGATGGGGATGCCCAACTGCCAGCGGCGCAAGACCATACGGAAACGCCCATGGACGTGGACCCAGCGCCGCCTGCAGAAGCGGCAAAAGACGGTTCTCAGGCGCAGCCAGATACACAGCAGGAAATGGTTACTATGTACAAGGGTCGCCGTCTTGGTGCCGGACAGGAGATGCCCGAGGATGTACGTGAGGAGACCGTTCGAGCGTTGGCCGAAATGGCTGCTTGGCCCTTTGGCTGCCAGGCGGCCCCTCCTATCTCCCCACCTCGGTTGGCTGTGAAGACTTTGCTCTTTCCTGTTCGACACACCTTCCAAACCGCACGATCGCCAAAGGACCGTCAACTGGCGCGAAGCGGTATAATGGAGGGGCCTATCTTTGCAGCGCAGTGCCGACCTGAGACCTCATGGCGCGGGCCACATGATGCCCCAGGCTCTGGCATGGGAGAGGTGTGTGATTTGCTTCGGGAGGTGGGTGCCATGCTCCTGACAGCTCAAGAACGGGCGAGACAAGGGGAAGCAGAGGTGAGACCAGGTGAAGGCAAGTGGTGGACAACCGTGCCCCGATGGGGCGGCGCTCCCAACGACTCCGTCAGTGACAATGAGAAGGAGACACATGGGGAGGACAAGCTACCATCCGAGTCGGGATATGCTCGCAAGCGCTCCAAGTACGAGCACCCGTTCCTCGCATCGCGTCGACCGAGCTCTGCGCGGAAAATGAGCAACAGCGACAGGTGGAAGATTATCCAGCCCGGACCCGGTCTTTGGGACAAGCGGATGCGGTATATACAGATTGGGAAGCCGCTTGACAGTGCATTTGACGATGTAAGTGGCCTGCTCCGATCATCTTACTTTGTCTGGGTTACATGGATAGGACTAACTGAAACGGCAGATCTACCTATTGTCCTCCATCAATCATCATGTGTCGATCCTTCATCTGCGCGTACACCGACGATATCTCGAAGTCATCACCAATGGGTCCAGCAACTTCCCGCCTGTAACCGACACGCCAGAGCAACCGTGGCATGTTCTACAGCTACGACGCACCCGGTGGTACGACCTGTTCAACGGCGAAGACCGTGTGGAAGCGCTGAAGGGCATTTGGCGCATCTTCCACTACCTCCTTCGACAGCAACCGGAAACTCAGTTTCTAAACTGAGGCTGGGTTGATGTTAGGATTTGACTCTTTTGTTTCATATACCACTTTGTTTGCATTTGATATTAGACGACCAGAACCAGTGTCTACATTGCATGGCATGATCAGAGTGTATTATGACGGCTTGATGTATTGGCATTATGACATTCAGATTGCATTTGCTTTGGGTTTCAGCGGCTGGATCATGTTCCTGTCTTAGATTGACTAGACGATTGAGAGACTGCTCCACAATAGAAATGCATGATGTTGCACAGGACCTGAAGGGGAAATGCGCTCTATTTTAGGCAAAGCGATGCATATTCTGTCGGTAACCGCGCCGTCAGTCTCTCAGCAGTATGAGTGAGATGCCATTGTAACCATGACATCTTCTAACAATAACAACAAACACCATACCCGACGATCCAGAACAAACCAAAAACAAATTCAAATCATCTCCACACGAACAGTCATGAGTTATTTGACATGCATCTCACAGACAGACAGACACCTCTCCCCACCCACCTGTACCTGTCTACCTATGACACGCATTCCCCTCCCTCCTTTCCTCGCAGTAGCATGAGCATTAGCAGTAGCAGTAGCACCACACTAACCAAGCAAGCAGATAGACAAGTGTAGCTGAAACGGAGAAAAAGAATCCGATCATCACATACCTAGGTACTTTTAGTAAGAGTCCATTTCCAACCAGACCAAGAAGAACCAGCACCAGCACCAGCACCCACTTTTTTTTTTTCTCTTTTCCTTACTGTTCCTCTTCCCCAATCGCAAATCAAATCCAACGCATCTGACACGTACGTGCTAGTCAGTCTCATACTCGATGTAGCTTAGCTATCTTGGTTTTCTTACATATGGGTACATAAGTCCGAGTAGGCCCATACCTACTACTATCTTCTATTTCAGCTCGGAATTGTACTTCCATGACCCATTTTTCTTCTTGTTGCAAAAATTATTTAGAAGGATTTAGTGAAGTGAGGCGAGAATTATTCACCACTACTACTAAGTATATACTACTATGTGATTGTAAGATCTTATAAATCCTAGGGATTTTTGGTGGCGATGATTACTAGTGTCAGCAGACACATGACAAGAATGAGAAGAATTTAATTTCGATATACTACCCAAATATACTACCGTATTTGATATAAATTCCTACTACTGTACATACTGTGTAAATATTTGATATTATAATACTGTAAAGTAAGTAAGTCATATCCTTCGGATCCTATTTCCCATCCCTAATGCCGAGATGCAGCACATCCACACCCATCACTAAGCAAGCGCAAGCATGAAGCTCAGGCCCCTTCTTCGATCCCACCCCCCTCCCAAAATGACTTAAACACTCGATCACAGTGATCGGAGGAACCTGATTGGCTTATCTGTGATCTTGTCTTTGACATATATCGCCCTTCTATGCTGCATCTACACCATACTTAGCAATTTAATTGGCAATAGAAAGTTTTCAACACGTATATATCGGTTAGATGTAGATTGCATCTTTTGGGTTTTTGTTGGGCGAATAGAAAAGGTAATTATAGATGTGTGGATTTGATGAGTCGATTTGTTTTTCTCTACTCATGTTGTTGTTGGGATTATGTTGGTGAGGAGGGATGCTGCTGGGGTGGTAATTTGGATTGTTGTTTCTACATACTAGGCTGTGTGTGTGTGTGTGTAAGTTCTACCTCATGTAGAAATTGTTTAGTCTACTCCGCAGTAAAAACATACTAGACATCCCCACAGAGTAGAAAGTATACCTCATACCCAACAACTACTAAGTGGCTAACTAGTACCCATCCAGCAAACAATATCCATCAATCCAATCCACAAACCACAAATACATATGGTCCGCAAAGCAAAGCAACAGGCAAAAGGCAACGAACGACAGAAACACTAAAACCTTAAACTATATACATATTGTACAAATGATCTAGACCCAATTTCCATTGAATATCCCCTCCCCCCTCATTCAGCCCAGAAAAGCCATCACTTACTTACTTTACAGTCGTCTATCATCAATCCTTCCATCCATTTATCCATCCACCTATTCAATCAGCCGACCAACCAGAAATCTCCGCATAGTGAGGCTCGATTTGAAAAGCAATTTCATTTCCTCTCTCGGTTAGAAAGGCTAGTCCAGGATGGTAGGGGGGGTTATTTTAGTCTGTGTATTGGTGTGGGTGTGTGGGTGTATGTAATGGGGTATGCAAAAATGAAACTGTGTATGTAGTATTTGATGTTGATGTTGGTATTTGATTTGACTTGATTTGATTGGGGTTTCAGGTTTATGGAGACTGGATGTTGGTGGGTGTGGTGATGGTCGGATTCTTTCTCCGAGATAACAGTTATTTCTATACTGTGATCACAACTGGTTAGTATTTGTGTAGCTGTGGGTTAGTAGTTAAGTTCTCTGTGTAATGTGATATCTATGCTCGTGCTATGTTCATGTTGTTTACTACAGTATACAGGTATGTTATAATATGTGGTAAGCATCGATGTATCAAGGTAGCATTGCATGGATTCACATCCCAGACAATACACGAAAACTAACTAGTTAGTCTGTTGAAGTGTGCGTGGCATGACACATACATACACACACACACACGGGTACCTTTTAGCCCTTAGCTTCACTTCAATCCCAAGTACGTAACTATCAAGATTATTCCAGGTCGTCTCTAAAGCTGAATCTTGTCTAGCCCAGACACATGGTTGCTGATCAGGGGGTTGATGGAGGGGGAAGGGGGGAAGCGGATACGACACACAGGGCAAGAGCGTACTTTTGAGTCTGACACCTACCACCCTACCCAAGTTAAGTAAATGGTGGCCCCCGGGATGGACAGTAGTGTGCAAGCCGGGAGAAATACGAAGCACCCTTTTTACCAATGAGAGTGGATGGAAAGGTACCTTTGAAGTGACTGACTGACTGTCACCTTCCTACTTCTTCTTAGTAGGCTGCTATCTAGTTAGTTCACCTGGGGGCTGTTTTGCTCAGCCCCTGAATTTCTTTTTTAATCTCCAGATGGGCCCGACGGACATGGCATGGGCCGTGATGGCTACCTAACTAATGTATCTATATTAATCCTTTCTGCTTTCGTGCGGGACTAGACCGGGGTGGGTAGTAGTTGGGACCCGTCAAAGGTCTCACTTACTCTCTCGCTCGCTCACTCATTATTTGAGTCATCTAGTCTAATCATGTGTGCATCGAGGCAAGTAGTCTAGCTGTGTGTACGTGGTATAGACTAGGTGCTTCCCGTTAGCCATTTCTCTTCCCTGGCTGGTATCGAGTCAGACAGCGGGATCTAGAGACTCGGATCGTCCTGTCGTCCGGGGGTCGCGCTTTGTCCAGATGCTGATCCTCGCAAATTGACATCTCCGCCATGCGTCGTGGCTATTGGTTCCCCCCATCCTGGGCACGGTGAGCTTTGGAGATGCCATGGCTTGCTTTATCTCGTTTGCTTCCCAAGGCAGACTTCCTTTTCCAGCCCGTTGCTGCCGTCAAAGAAATCAGGGAAAAGAGGCGGAAAAAGAAAAGGGAAGAAAGAATGAAAGACTCCAACTGCCACCTACTAGTGAGTATGTGAGTATGAATAGCGTCGTTACTCCAAACGTCACATGCGCAGTCTTTGCGATCGCAACCTCAGCGACGGCAATAATGATAATCGGGACGGCCATTGCGGGACTGCAACGATGCCAGTGCATATGACATGAGTCTTCATCATTGATCATTGTCCTCAACAATCGCATGTATATGCGCATGTACGTCAGAACGGACTACTCCGTTCACATACATAGAATGTAGGTACGATCTTCTCCACTCCTTTCCTTGTTAGCAATCGCGCGCCGTGCCGGACTTGCTCGGCGCGACGCGCTGTGATCGCAAAAAAGGAGGTTGTGGAGGTTCCAGACCGGTGGGAATGTGATGAGTCCAGTGGCGGCTAGGGTGGGAAAAAGTAAAAAAATGGCAGACTGGGAAAAAGAAAACCGCGCGCGCGGTTCGGTTGACTTGCATTGGTAGGCCGTCGTCGCGTGCTAATCCTAGCACCGATTTGACACCTGTAGCGATCGACTCTGTTGCGCGCGCCCATGTCAGTCGAAGCCATGTCCACGGAGAAAGGTTGGTGACAGGTGCTTGATGGCGTTGCAAAGGTGAGAAACCCATCCAATTAGTTCGGGTGTTTCTCCGGCAGGTTTCCAGATTGCGACGGGGACATCCCCCGCAAAAGAGCTGCTGCTGTCATACCCTTTCGACACCCGTCTGTGGAAACATGTCAAACAGCTTCCCGAACGCGGCCCGTCCAGCAGCAAAAATGGTCTTTCGTATTACTCGTGAGGCTGACTGGAGGATAGTCACCGAAAAGGCTGGGCGAAACCGTCCTACCGTTTACACACAGACCACGGATTGACACTATTGGTGCCCGAATGGTGAATGGTCACTTGCCCAGGTGTCTGTGCTGTGTGCATGTGTTAGGGATTGGCAGTCTAGTCGATATGGAGTAGCCTGTTCCAACCGAGTAGCTGTGTAGTGGGTGTGTCGTAGTCTGGAGGTGGCGGGAAATCAAGGAACTGAAGCAGTTTTGGTGGAGGATGGCTCTCCTCGCTTTGCCTCCAAGGGAGATTGCTCAGTGCACTTTTCTTTGAGGAGGACCTAGAGGGCACCACGATGTCTTTGTTTTGGATCTGGGATTAGCACCTCCTGAGCAGGGAGTACTAGGGAGCTGGAATGACTACTTACCCACTAGTAATGAGCAGGTAAGCTCATCGGCAGAACCGGGCACGCCGGGAACTCTCCACTCGAGCAGCAGGGAAAAATTGATCACTGAGGGAAAATCAAAATAAGAAAAAACTTGCACATCCCCTTTTGGTTAGCGTCATATGCAGGCATTCCCTCAGCAGATTTCTTACCTGCAGAAATGGATATCGTATGGATCACTACAGGAGATAGATACTAGCCAGTATCTAATCAGGTAGTAGTACTGTAGTAAGAGTTAAAGAAGTTGATAGTGGGACTCTGTCATTAGAAATAATCATTCCTTCAAATATATCCGGATCATATTCGACCTCCCCATCCTCCATACAACACTTTGAGGTTGACCTCGTGTAAGACGTGGTAATCTTGGGCGTCACAGAATCCTAGCTAGGGATTGATTACCACATACTAAAAAAAGTTATGATACCAGCTGGCTGGCAAGGCACATTATTGAGACCGTCGCTGTGGCACCGAACTCGTAGTACGACTCATCCCTATTACTGCACAAAATGGGTGCACTGCGCATGCACGCAGTAAGATTCGAAGATCGGTTCCTGGATTTCCTCACTGCGCAAGAGGCTACCTCTATCCCTCCATAGGTAGGTAGAGCGCTCTCTACCTAACCCCCTCGCTTACCCCGATTCAAGCGATCGTTTAGTCTTGTAGTACATACAGTAGCTCGACCGATCGCCCCTCGATAAGGTTGGTATGTTAGAGGTTTAGCTGAAAAGCCTGGGGTTCGGAGTCTGGAGTACGGAGCAGCATGAGACAAATCGCAAATCGCATAAAGGAGGGGGCAAAAGATATGGGACAGGTCATTATGTGGTCGGGAGAAGGATCATTTTGCCACTCGATTGCTCTTACAGCGGAATTTGGAGTGGGTTACTTACTCTTACTACTTTTACTAGTTTGCTACCGATGGGGAGGGAAGCTTCCCAGGAGGCGAGGCCCACGTGGTGCATTGTGTGCAGTTTACGTTAGCTGTTCTTTCTTGGTAGGACCTGGGATAATATACTGCTGGGAAGCTGGCTGAGAGGAAAAGGCATATATCTGATATGTAGTAATTAGTATGTATGTCGACAACAAAGAATACTGGCAATACTTTTATCCAGCTTTCCAGCTCCAAACCACCAATCACCCACACCAAGCTACAATTCCCAAGCAGTAGTATCCTTCCTCTCTTGAGTCCTGCGATGAGATTGATACGATAAGCAGCCTCATTGCGACACGCCGTAGACGAATGGATCAGCGCAATAACGAGGCTTTAGCTTCCCTTAGACTAGACAATCTCAAATAATTCTCCCTTGGATCGGCATAACATCCATATCCACTATAATGCCCTCCAAAGGAAGAGCACTGCCACATCCAGTAGTCATCTCCGTGAGCCATTCCCCAGCTCGACAGACTAAAGACGCTGATTTGGTTTTTCTTCATGGAGACCTTGAGATATGGCTTGGCTGCCTTCCAAGATGTCATTTGTAAATCCATATTCGATGATCGAAGCATGTTGATCAAATTGATATCGCGCGGTTGCGACATACTCCACCACCACCGCTACCACCATCTCCTCCTCCATCTCCACCTCCTCCACGGTGGCCACTCTTTCAATGGATAGCTTTTAAGAACTTTAACAACCAATATTACGCCAAGGAATCCCAGCCTCACTTTTTTTCATTACTCTTTCTCTAGCGATCCTACCGCCCAGTAGAATTATGATCCGCTCCGAACCACCCTCTCGGAGTCACAAGGCGGGCAGTCCCGCTGTCACCTTTTTTCTCAGAACGAGAATTGGTGGGTGTGTATATGTGTATGTGTATGTATATGTATGTCCTGGACAACTGAGGGGTTAAACTCCCCATCGATTAGTCCTCCCGTATACGGGCGATAAGTTCACATAGTAAGTAGTTATCGGACGGTCTGACCAGGCCGGCCCAAACTCCTTCCCGTTCCCCCCTCCCCATAAGGCATTTGGGTTGGCACATCTCATGACCTTGCGAGAAAAGAGTCAGGAGTCAGGATACCTAGCCGGTCTAGTGAGGGGTAGGGGGAGCTTTATGGTCCTTGCTGGGACAAATGATAGGCCTGAGACATGGAATTGATCTGCAATTTTGGGTCCGGCGAAGATTTACCTGTAATCGGTCTAAAGAATGGCGCCCGGACCTCGTGATGACCGCATCCCATTCCATCTTTCTATTTGCTGGTCGCCTTTTCCACACACACGCACACACAGACACACACACACACAATCCTCAAAGTCTGAGTGGGTTAAGGGTAGGTAGGTAGCTAGCTAGCTAGGCAGAATCTTCAGCCAGCGCCAACGCCAACTTGCCTGCCTGCCTGCCGACCACCGCGGACGGTACGGAGAACCCCGTCCTGGCATGTGTTTGCATAAGTTAGGTGGTAAGTAGTAGGTAGACACGGAGTTTCGGCAGTTCAGTTTACTGTACTGTATATGGTGCTTGCGCCGCCGGAGTTTTCTGCTGTCAAGGAAATCCCGCGGGTTACAGACGAGGTTGCGTTTGTGTTGGGGATCGGACTCTCCTTGTGTTGCTTGCTGTTGGGTACGTAGGCTCCAGATTATTTTTTATCTATTTAATTTTTTTTTTTCGATTAGATGGATCCCCAAGTCAGACGAATGAATACTTTGCAAAATAGGTCTGGCAAATTCCAATCTTGAGATGGCGCTTACTACCTACCTATCTACTTACCTGTTTGCTACTAGTACTAGTAGGTTGTTCGCAGAACAAATCCCGGGGATTCATATCAGGTTAGCACAACAGCAGCATCAGCCATGGGCACTACTACTAGCACCAGGATCTTTCTTTTCTTCCACCTGTGGTGTATTCGCCCCCTCTGCTCCCCAATTCGATGGCCATTTCCCAATAGCCACAGTGTGTCTCTACCCGTGTAACCCCAGTACGAAACATCGAGCTATCTGTACGTAAAGGACAGGGCTATCCCTTGCTTCCGGCACCTGATCATTCCAATACTAGTTTGAGAGAGAGAGAGAGAGAAAGAGAGAGATAGAGTCAGAGAGAGAGTCAGAGAGTAGGCCTCCTTCTCCTCTCCGGCCCTACTTGCCGCATAGGTGTAGTACCGACGCACAGTATGCACATCATTTGCTACTAACTTTGCCAGTCGACCCAGCCTTGCAGGATCTCCATTCATTAGGGAAAACGTGAACGGAAAGAAATCGTGCGATTCCATTCTTACAGTAGTCCATGCATACGATGAGTCGGTAGTGAATTGGCGGGTTTGTTGAGTATGGTTAGAGTTACTGTAGGATGGATGGAGCCTGGCGCCATCGCCCTTTCTTTTTTTTATTTTTTGTTTTTAATTTTTTTGCCTCTTGTGTTAAGAACTGTTGAAGTCTCAAAGACAGACCCAACATGCCGCCAGCCGATGGTGGGTTCCAGGAGACGGGATCATGGAACGTCACTAAAAAGGCGGATCGACCGAATGGGGGGACAAGCTGTTGAATTCGTTGGCTCTCCGAAGCCAGAAATGGGTCACCAGTGGAGGGGCAGGCAATTGGCGGTAATGAATAAGGCATGGCTTGACTCCGATTTTGAACTTTGTAAGGTACGGAAGATTCCGTATCTGAGTGCGAGACGGTGAACATCGGGTGTAAATCTGGAGGTGGTTTTTGTTATGGTTGGGTGCTGTTGGGTCATCGCGTCAGTTAGGTTTTTGTTTATGCTTTGATGTGAACAAAGACGCGGAGGACATGGTCTTCTGCGGTAAACAAGTTTGAGTAGAAGAGTAGAATAATAATGTGCCGGAGTTGCGGTTAGTTGGAAAGTCGAGAGATCCATCAGGATCATGCCCCTCCATTTTCCCGAGACCGAGATTATTCCAGCCGAAATATTAGGGACGGTTTAAGGCCACGACGGTGTGTTGATATTACCCCACTAATTGAAGGTGAGGGTGATCGGGCTGCTGTGCTTGCGAGCCCAGTCACTCGGTCGTCTTACAGTCTTGCAGTGTGGCAGCAATAAGCAAGACTGTAGCCACATTTAGCCTAATCAATTCACAGTGCTCTTTGACCTTTCCTTTCATTTTCGTTTCCGTTCTTCATGTTCTTATTGATTTTTTGCTGGTTCGCGCGGGAATGTACTAGTCAATGCTTTCAGAATCAGAGGCTCAGACTGGTGAGTTTACTAGTCACCGAGTCACAATACGAGATAGGTAACTATACGAAGCGCGACCGAAAGGTGGCAAACTGGGTACTCACTCCGATGCTGCGTCATGAGATCTACCCCTTATACATCTGCGCACTCCCTTTAGACGGTAGACTATTTTAGTAGTATAACAGACTAGCTAGGTCAGTTCTTTGTGTTAGGTTGCGAGCATTCATGTTTTGAATACGCGCTAATGATGGGGTTTATTGAAGATTGGCATGGGAAAGAAGGCTGTTAGGCGTTTGGCAGAAAAAGGTTTGTTTTGGCCGAATGTAATCCGAATGACAAGCTGCGACCAGTAAGCCAAACAACTAAAAGTAAAAAGGAGGGAAACCCAAGGTTCTCTTCCGTAAGTTACCGTTCTTCGGACCACCGCGGATAAGTCAGCGGCTGTCCCTGAGGTGAACCATGATTAGTCGCAGATGAAGACCCAGGGAACAATTGCCGTTTTGCTTTTTTTGGTTGTGGGGTGGAAAGAAAAGGTAAACAACCAAGATGATAACACGTAGTAAGGGTAGGTATTCTACCTGTACTCCGTACTCCGTCCTACCCCGTAGCAGCAACCAGCAAATGTATGTATCATGTATGTGCGCAACCATGTATGCAAGTTGGTGACAGGGGCCTCCCTGGGTGATGATCTAATCGTCCAGCTGCTCCGGTTTTTAGCGGGCGGGCCGGGTAGAAACTCGAACGGTGGCTCGCCCTTCAGAGAGGAGAGACATGGCACTGGTCTAGCTATGATCATGACAGGTATGGAGCCCAGAAGTGGCTAGTAGGTGATTCATCTACACGACTGTTTGAGAGTGTGTAGAATTGCACCCAGCTCTAAGTAGGTTAATTTATAATAAAAAGAAGAACGAGGTCTGCCTTGGAGCCTGTTGAATGCTCCCCTCGCCTCGGGAATTTCTAGGACCAGCGTGTCCCGATATATTCCTTCTCCGCCTTTTAGAAGCGCCCACCAGCTCCATAATCCATGCAGAACTCTATTGAGTTCGTCTTGTGCATATCTGAGCGCACAGCATTGGCGTAGCAAGTCAAACCCTTGATTCCAATGACCAAGTGACACCCGAGCAAGGTGGAGGGTGCTCACCGTCTTCTGCTCCTGCGTGGGGCACCGTCGTAGTAGTAGTAGTAGTAGTAGTAGTAGTAGTCGTTCAGGTCTCCCTTTCCCCCTCCCTGGGTCGCATCATGCATACCTCATTCCCGTTTGGCTTCATACTCCGAGTCAGGGCCTATTTGTCCTGTGCACTTCTGCCCTTTTTGTCCATTTTCATCTGCTACCATCCAGGTAAACAATAATGCTTGGCTTTTCATCGTCGTAGCATACCGTCCAGGGCACTCCTGTCGGACACCGTTGCAGGGACAAATTGACTTCTAGATCTGAGTCCGTCCCGTGGGTGAAGATAGGGGAATGGACACCCCCCTTGCCAATAATCAGGTGAATTAAGCCGAATCACAGGAGTAAGAAATGGATGGGCACCAACAGACCGAAAGAATGAAGCCGAGAGGCTGTGAGTGTTGACAGCAGGCATGTCTCGAGTGTGTACACAAGTAAACTTCCGTGCTACCGCCTGGTTAAGTCATCCATCTAATCAGCCCTTGGGAGGGATAACTGAATTCCTTCCCCGTCTGCTGTGGCTGGTTTGTCTGATTGTCGATTTCACTCTTGGTTTCAGTTTTGTCTTGCCGGAGTCCTATGAGTCGCCAGGAGTGTCCCATCGACTCACCGGCTGTGTGATAGGACAAGAGGACGACCTAACGTATTTACTGTCGCCTCTCAGGCTCTTCCTTCCCCTCAGGCGGAAACATATAATCGGTTTCCCCTCAATTTACACCATCATCACCACTCAGATTGATTGACCTCCTCCCCTTTGGCCACGGGAGTCACTACCCCTCGAAGTATTGGGCACCGATCATTTCACAATCAGCTCACCCATCTTTAAGCCTTCCCCCGAGGAAAAACCGGTCCCAATCGGACCCGTACACCATTGAATACTACTACTACTACTACTTGTAATCCACCGCCAACGGAGAGCGGTTGACGTTGGGTGTGTGTGTGTGTGTGTGTGTGAGTGAGTGTGTGTTTGAGCGCCTTTCCTTAATTATTCTCCAGCCCACCCATCCATGTGGCACTGAGGAAGACCGGAGCTGATTGCGGGCCCCCAACAGATCGAAAAACCGACGGTACCCAGTCAGTTCCTTCAGTCTTCCAAGACTGCACCACAGCTGGTTGTAAGTGGGTTCTCATTTCTTCTTTATTTTGCGAATCTCATTTTAGCCCGTCCTGGTTCAGCTCCAGTTTGCGGCTCCACTTTCTGCCCTTTTTGTTTTCTGGTCTGTCACCAGCAGTCGGAGGCCGAAACTGAGATATTGAAGAAAGCAAAGAGGAGAAGAAAAAAAAAAGTGAGAACAAAAAGAAAAAGAAAATCAAATTTTTAAAAAAAAAAATGAAAAAAAGGGAGGGAAATTCTTACTACTATTTTCCCTTTTTGTCTTTTGCTTGTCCTTTTGATTTTCGCTTCCCTTATTTTCTTTTTAACTCTTTTAAGGAGGAGTAAAAAAGAAAAAGAAGGAAAAAGGAAAAAGCAGGACTGCCCAGACGAATTAGAAAGGCGATCTGTCAATTCAGGTGGCTTGTGTTAATTCATGCAAACCAGGATCCTGGTTCAGGGTTACAAGACCCAGTCCCCTCAGAAGGCGTGCACCAAAAAGAAAAAATAAATAAAAAGAAAACAAAGGAAACCCAGAGGAAAGCAAAAGCGAAACATCAGACGAGAGGAAGAAATCAAAGCAACGAAAACGCGGATCGAAAAGCAGTTCTTCATCTGGACGGTTCACTGGAGACATCTGAGATTGTGAGGTGCGCATTTTCAACTATCATCAGCATCATCATTCCCATCATCTGTAAGGAATTGCAGAGCAGCAAATCGCCCATATTCCCTAGCTACTGCTATTACTTTGCGCGCACCGGCTGTTCTATGGGCCCAATAAACCCCCCTCCCTCCACCAGGAAAGAAGGGAAAAAGAGAGGGGCAAGCAGACCTCTTCATCTGCCACACTCTTCAAGACCTATCAGCCTCTGCTAGGTTGGCCGTTTGCTTGATAGTTCATTTTCCTTGTCATTTGCATTTCCATTGACTATTAGTTATTTCATCCTCCCATTTCTCCTCCTCTTTCTTGCTCATAACCCCCTAACTAACCTTCTCATCATTTTGGTGTTCCCGCAAGACTCGATTCCGCCTTTTACCCATCAGATCCATCCATCAATCCACTCCTGCCGACCTACCACTTACTACTCCCGGTAGTAGTGCCCTCCGGACTCACTCTGATCAAGTTAACTTTTCGCTCCTCCAAGAGTGACCGGACGGGAAGTCTGGTTTGGTCAACCTGCTATTTCTAGTTTAATCCCGTTCGAGGATCCATCGACTTTCCTTCCAGACGTCCGGCCGTCTTTTAGGGAACCCCTCCGAATCCCTCGACCCTTTTTTATTATTCTTTTTTTTTTTTTCCCTCTCTGTCTTTTCTTTTTTTCCTTCTTATTAAGGAAAAAAGACACCCGCCAACAAAGCTCTACTACGGCGCTTCCCACCGTTCGATCGACCTGTTTTTGCACCGGGCGACCCGACAGCTTGGCTTAGCTACCTTAGCTAAGAAATACTACCTACTACTATCTACTCCCCCATCACCGCACCCGACCTATACTACTACTACTACTACTACTTGCTTCCTTCCACTTAATCGGAAAGCGCCAGAACCAGTGCTAAAACCCGCCCGGCGGTATTATTATCATTATTATCACCACTACTTCGTCTTGCTACTAACTACCGACTAGTTAATTGTTCCATTTATCTTTGGGGCGACGCGAGACACTTGTGTCTAAGTACGTACACATACCACTCTTTTTTTTTTTCTTACCTCCTCCCCTCTGCTCTCAATCCTTTTCTTTCGCTTTGACTTATTTGCTTTTTATTATCTTACACTGCCTATTTTCATTTTCATTTACATTTTTCTGTTATTTTCCTTTTTTCCCCCTCTGTCATATACCCCGGGCTCGTTTTTCAAATTCTTGTTATTTTTGGTATCGGTATGATTTGATTCCTGGCTGTCACCCCCGATGACTCCGTTAACTTGCGTGGCGAGGTCATCTCGGGTTTCCTGGAAATCACTTGTGGTATTTGACTACTACTTACTAGGAGTGGTTAGGACGGTACCTGCTGAATGACCGCTCCTTCAGTAGTAGGGTACCTACTGGGTTGACGGTTGACTGTGGTGATACTACTACTAGTAGTTTGCCCAATTGCCGGCCAGCCAGGGTCGGTGTGTCCATCGCAGACATTGATTGATTACCTTTTAGTCGCGGCGCGGATCGCTTCTTGTCCTCCACCTCCACCCCCTTCTCTCACTCTCACTCACTTCGCTCCCCTGTCAAGTTATACTTCCTGTCTGCTACTATTACTATCTTTTAGCCCTCGCACGCTATTGCATCTGCTTTTGTCTGATGATCATCCTTCGACTTATATTTTCTCATCTTATTATTGTTCTTATTACGAAACAGCGCCGTTGCCTTTCTCCAGTCATTTTTTACACCTTTCCCCACCCATCACAGCTATTTTCAAGCTACTACTATTCATGACTTCCTACTAGTACTAATTTTGTTATTAACCGCTGCCACTCCTGTTCCGCTCCGCTTTCCCTCCCACCCCCCTCCTCCCTCCCTCCCCTCGTTTGCTCCCCCTCAACTGGTTATTGTTTGTCTTGGTTTCGCTGATCGTTTGACCGTTGTCCTTCCCGACCGCCGCTACTTAATCCATGTTTAGCTAATTATCGAAAAAAGCTACCGGCTGCTTGCGTCAGGCTCCCTCGCTGATCGATTTTCTACCCCTCCTCGCGCGCCTATTGAATCTTGAATCGCGCCAGCCTTTCCATGCTTCGTCGGTTGCGCCCAGCACTGTAACCAGAAGATTGCGGACTCTGAAACAAAGAACCACGGCTCGATAGCACCGACATTAGCTTTCGTACCATTCTGTCCATCCCCCGAATCGGAAACTTTCTGCGTTCACACGTTCCACCCAATACTCTCCGGTCGCACAACTGAGTTTTTGATGCTTGTCTGGGACATCATGTCCTCCTGACTGTATGACTATCCCACTGAGTCGACTATCCACCGTGGATCCGCGGCAACCTGCAATTAGTGGCCATAACCGGGGCCTCTTGAACGCCGACGTCGTCCCGATCAACGACAAGCAGAAAGTCTTTCTTGCCGGTTCTGGCCCTCCGTCGCCAATGCATCGCGTACAACCTCTGGACGGATCGCATGGTCCGCCCAGTGCTCCAGCAGTCTACGAGCAGCCATGGCGCCCTCCATACTCGTCTTCTTATGACGGACATCCTCCGGACCAGCGTCGCACATCGAATGCTCCTCAGCCTGCGCTCCCACCCCACGGATACCCGATCAACCCAAACCGGGAGCTGCCGCAGCTCCCACCAGACGGTCCATATGCCCGACAGGGCAGCTTGCCTGGTCCGGTGCATACCCCCCCGGAAGCCCCCACTCCTCATCCCAGCTTTCGTCCTATGAACGGAACCCCCCATGAGACCGCTCCCCATTCAGCACCCCCCGACTATCGCTCGCGGATGTCTTTCACGCCTCAGGAGCCTCACAGCAATGGGGACGCTCCGCTCCCCGCCCACACTTTACCCCCGACTCAGTATCCCACTCCGGTTCCGCATTTGTCGCATACTCCTACGCCGTACGACTCAGGTCTTTACGGAAACCAGGCTTACGGGATTCGCCAGCAGCGAAAGGCCGCGCGAGCGCAACAGGTGAGTTGTCTCCTTGCAGCTATGTCAGCTGAGATAATATCGGGGAACCCTGGCTAACTCGTGATCTTTGGCTACCTTTGAAGGCCTGCGATCAGTGTCGAACGAGAAAGGCCAAATGCGATGAAGGCCGGCCTGCTTGTAGCCATTGCAAGGAGAACAACTTGATATGCGTTTATAAAGAAGTTCCCCCTCACAAGTCTGTGATCCGGCAACTGATACCGATGCCTCCTATCAATTCGATGGACATGTGCTGACGGCGTATCCAGGCAAGAAAAGGCAACACAGCTTCTTCTGGACCGTATCTCCCAGTTGGAAGACGGTCTCAACGAAAAGATCGAACGCATTAATGCACTCCAGGTCGAGCACTCGAACCAACTTACTGCGCTGTATCCTCGGTTGAAAGAGGCTAAAGCGATAAGTACCAAGGAGACGACAGAGATGCCGGCAATTCCTCGGATATCGAAGGCGGATATACCTGATATCTTACAAAAGACCGAAACTAAAGAAGAAGACATGAACGCGATTGTCGGACAGGAGCTCGAAAGAGCCGAAGGGGAAGTGATTCCGCAGGGCGAAGACGGTGATCTTTCAATTCCTGTCGAGCATACCACTGCAGCCCACAAGTTGCTTTCGTGGCCGTCTATCAAGGCTCTTCTTGAACCAAGAGAGTACGATGAAGATTATGTTATGAAGCTGGAGGAGGAGCGAGGATTGATCCTCGTTTACGGCCGCGGTGAGGGACACGATACTAGTGAAAGCCCGGCAATGACCTTCTCATCATCATCATCATCGTCCCGATCCAACTGGGATCAAAGTTACAGCAATGGGGCTCCTGCTAGCGGCCAATGGAATCCAGGCGCCATCCAAAATGGCACTCATCTCAAACCCCTCGGACCCAGCATTGATGATTTTGGAATATTCAGCACAGATGCCAAAACCGTTCGTCGTTATCACCAAAGCTACCTGAATCACATGCACAAGCTTCATCCATTCATCAACCTAACCGAATTGAGTGCAAGCATCGAATCATTCATTCAGAAATACTGCTTACCCGACGTTTCTGTTCCGGTAAACATCCTGAACAGCCATACCGCCGGTGACATACCACGCGGTGCGAAGAGGAAGCGTTCTTGCGATACGCTACACGGCGCTGGGTGCGACGTCCAGTTTCCCCCTGGTGCCAAACACGAAGGCTCTAGCGGACGTCGCGTGGAGAAGTCACTGGAAAATGCTATTGTTCTCTTGGTTCTTGCACTTGGCAGTATCTGTGAAGTTCAAGGAGCCATCCCTGGTCCAGTTACTGACACGCCCGTGGACTTTCAGAAGGAGCGGATTCCTGGACCCTCTACACGCAGCATGCTATCATCAGCAGATACGGAATTAGTTATGCAGTCCCAGGGAAGTTTCTTCTCGCAGACAAGTAACCATTCTTTTTCACCTGTTACCGGAGGGCAGAAGGCTGCTCCCGATCGGTCGCCATACCCGGATAATAGTCACTTACGGAACGTGGATGTCATTCCTGGCTTGGCATATTATGCGTATGCCGCACAGATATTGGGGAGTCTCCAAGGCGCGAACGGGCTCTATCATGTTCAAGCAGCCTTGTTAGCAGGACTCTATGCGGGGCAGCTAGCACATCCTTTCCAGAGCCATGGATGGATCTACCAGGCGGCCAGGGCATGCCAAGTGCTTGTCCGATCGTACGTTTTTCTCCTCTTCCTCCTGGGATCCCGAGCTAATCAGTCTCAGGAAACGGTATGAGCAAATGAATGACGGCCCGCTGAAAGACCTATACAACTTTGCGTACTGGACCTGCCTGCAGCTCGAGAGGTAAGCACGCTGCTCTCGCTATGCGCTCCAGAAGTACTAATGAGTTGTTTCGTAGTGACATTCTTGCCGAACTGGATCTTCCGGCTAGTGGTATATCTCGCGCGGAAGCACGGATTGAGTTGCCGAAGGGCCGAACTCTCTCTTTGCCTAACGACCCTGCTGCTCCGAACACCATGATGATGTTCTTTTACTCCGCCCAGATCCATTTGAGAAAGGTTCTGAACCGTGTTCACACCGATCTATACAAAGTCGAAAGTAAGTTGACTCTAGGCAAGCGGGGGCCCTTGGCTGTACTAACGCCTCTTTACAGAACAGAATGAGAACAGGTGGTCTGCTAACGTACAGGAGATCCTGAGCATGAACCTTGAATTGTGGAGAAGCAGCTTACCCGACATAATGAGGTGGAAGGACGCGGACCCTCCACATGAGGACATCAATGTTGCTCGGATGCGAGCTAAATACTACGGCGCACGCTACATTATCCATCGTCCCCTCCTTTATTGGGCTCTGCATCATTCGCATCCTGCCGAAAATGGTCGATCAGCGTCAGTGGACTCTCCTACCGGATCAGCGATGTCGGGAGCGAAGTCCCAGCAGGTCTCGCCCTCAATGGCGCACAGCCAACGTGCTATTACTATGGCGCGATTGTCTAGTGATGTTGGTACCATGGGTCGATCCGCACCGACGCCAACCCCCGTTCCGACAGGATCGCGACCAGCACTTGCGTATCGCGATCTCAACCCGAAACTACGAAGAGCGTGCAAAGTGTGCATAGACTCCGCCATATTGAGTACCGAGGCTTTTGATGGCATCAAAGGTCGGCCGGTAGTAACTAATATCTTCGGCACAGCTCATGCGTAAGTGAAGTTCAACAGAGGCCGTGAAATCGGAAAGTGGTGTCGCTGACCTTTCTGTTTCTCTGCTAGTCAATTCGGTAACATGCTTGTATTGTCAGCCACCTATATGTCGAGCCTTTCAGAGTTGGTTGACCGGAATGACCTTGATCGCTTGCTTAAGCGAACAATACGCTTCCTCCTTCAAAGCCGCGAGATATCGCCAACCCTACGCGCCGATGCAAAGATCCTCAGCGAGATATATGAGAAGATCTTTGGAGAGCCAGCCGATATCGTGGCTCCGTAATTATACTGACAACAGAGGCTGAGAATTCTGCGTTGCCTCTGGGTCGAGGCATAGATTTGGCCCCATACACCTGATTTTGCTTTGTTGTTATTCTTCACATGAACCTTGCGGGTTGATACAGTTAGCGGGAAAGGAATGTTCCCTGCATCTTTCTCCACAGGATACTAGACCACATTCTCCCGATTAGGATTGTGATACAGCATGGTATATACGGGGAGAGCTGCATGGTGGCTGGCTGGCTCGGTTTCCCCCTCGTTGATAATTGGTGATTTCTCGCAGCGTCTGTGATATGCATCTATGTTCTTTGTGCCATGCATGTGAAAGGGAGAGGTGGCTATCTGAGATTAACATTACCGTCATAGTTCTGGCAGTTTTCTGTCATTGTTATTTCTGGGGGTTGGATTGTTGTGGGATCAAATTTTGCTTTTTCTTTGGAGTTCCTAGTGGCGTCGACTTGCATCCTGCTGTTCGCAGACAGGAAACGGATTGGGAGGGATGTCTGATTGCATTTCAGCGGATCAAGGATTTACCCCGCGTACAGTACACTCGAGGATTCCAATTACGGCCGTACAGTGCATGACTATCTATTTGTTTTTGGTGATAGAAGTTTTACCTCCTTTTTTTATTATTTTTTGTCTCCCCATTTCCCTCATGAAGGAGACGGGCCGATGGACGTTGAAGAGGCGTTGGAGACAGGTGGTTTGAACTAGGCAGGATGATCAGCCATGCTAGATATCACTGTGACCTATGTAGAGTTTAGTGGCAAATGTTCATTGCACCAGAACAAACGGGCATGGGCTTGTTGTCGCCGCCATGAGTGGTGCTCGGCCAGAGCATCCAAATGCGCTGGCATCCCGATTGGGAAATGTTTGATTCGCCCAGATCATCTCTCGGCTGCTAACGTGAATAGCTCATATGCACCACCGTGGGCTCTTTTTTCTGTCTCTGGCATGGCATGCAGCTAATCAATTTGCCCTGCCAGTTGTCATGGTCCCAGCTAATGCTGCATGTCACTCACTCATTGGAAGGAAGTGGGTGAGCGGCCCATCCTCGGGCTTTCATTTAAGATGCGTGACAACCCCAAGCATGCAGTATTCAGACTAAGTAGATACTCTGCTATTTCCCCCCCCCCCTTTGCCAGTAAATGTTGAAATGGAGTTTCTTGAGGTGTTTCGGGGTCTGTTGTTGAGGTGGTCGAGTTACAGCTTACTGGTAGAACTGATGCACTTGGCTGATGATCTAGCTAACTAGCCCGCTAGTATCCAATGTGTCTAATGATCGCTAGACGCGCCATCTTCGATCGTAAGTTGGTTGTAGGGATGTGGGAAAATGGATATGATTAATTAAGTGGATGCGTATACACATCTTTATGAGTATTTTCTTATTTCATGAAACGTGGATATTATGGGTCTAGTAGTGTCGTTGTTGTTCAGTGTTTCAGTCGGAAGGAATCTGCACGGCCATGGCTAGAGAGGTATGTCGTGCATGCAGATGTTGGACGTATGTAGTAAGTAGAGTACCTGCTGCCAGATAAACTAACCTGTATCAATCGGGATCAAGAATAGGAGGTTAATTTTTCTTGTTCGGTGAGCATGTTTTCTATTTCCGCTGAGAGTATGAAGTGAACTACTTGTATGCATGAGGGATGTACATATGGGCTCTTCAGTGTTAGAAGGGTACTACTCAGGGCTCAGTAAGCGTGAGTGCGTAATGGAAGTCAGCTCAGCTCTGGGAATGGGACGATATGACGTATCAGCTTTGAAGGAGCTTAAGTGGCAGCTACTGAAGTGGTTACCAATCGGGCGATTTGGGGGAGGGAAAGTTGGGACTAGTAAGAAGGAGGGATCCCAGCAAGAAAGTGTAAGAGAGCCAGTCCAGTCGATGAAGGGTAGAATGAAGGAAGGAATGAATCGTGGTCCAGCCAGCCTCTTCGATGGGGGGCCCCCCAGCACGTGCCCGGGACTCCCCGGCCACCCTCCCCAGCCTCACCGCGAGTTTTCTTCAATTTCCTTCCGATTCCCTCGCATTTCCGCTGAATCCCTCGCAGGTGATGGAAGATCGAGAGAAGCGGCTTGAGTGTGCCATGACCTCCAACTAACTAACTTCTTGTACTGTAAGTAGTACTTTCTCACATTTACATTCTTCTCCATCTTCCCTTTTGAGATCCGATGAATGCTTCAACCATCAAACTATCCGCCCGCATCTGATCGATCGAAAACATACCCCACATTCCTGGTTGTTTAGCACGTCACAGATTCGCAAGTCTAAAGAAGATTCTCTCATCATCATCGTCATCGCATCTCATCTCATCTCATGCAATTTAATATCATTCTTTTTCGGGTTATTTTCCATGGTCTCATACTTGATTAGATTATTAGACCATCCCGAAACACACGGACTCTCTCTCTCGTTGCTCATCCATCGTTGCCCCATCTTGGTCCATCACGCTAAAGCTGTTAGTGGCTGATTGTCTGGAGCAACCGAGCGCTTGCCAGCCCGCCTCTTTTCTTCTGCTGCTGCTGCTTTTGTGTTGAAGGCTGACCGTGGTTCTCTACCTTTTGGTCTCCGCTCCAGCTTGGGAGACCCTCCGACTTCCCGAGAAAAAAAGAACCACGGTTCACTTGTTTACTTTCCTCCGCCCGTCGCAAAAACAACGCCGCCGATCTATACCCGCCCGCCTCTTTCTTTCTCATCTTCAATCCCCATCACCACCTAACTTTCCCTTCCACCCTCCCCCAATCTTCGCCTCGCTAATACGGTCTCTCCTTTCTCATCTAACGACCCTGTTACGATTGTTACGATTTCTTTTTTTAATTTTTCAATTCCTTTTACCCTTCTTTCCCTCTCAATCAATTCCTTTTTGGTTCGATTACTCAATTAGGCGACCGCGTCTACCCTCTATTCCACATGGTTGCCTGAGTCGCTAGAGCTTTGATCGCTCTCTGCCCACCATGTTCAAAGCCCTTTTGGGCGGGGGTCGCTCGTCTTCTGATGTCCGCAGCTCCTCAAGCTCCAAGAGCAGCAGCCGTCGCAGAACCGACTCGAAATCTTCCACAGTAAGCCGCAAGTCCTCACGGGGTGACGACCGTGATCGTGGCTTGGGCGATCTGTCCAACTACCGATCCTCCAGCAGTCGGAGTAAGCGCTATGCTCCAAGTGTGGCAGGCGAGTCGGTAGCCTCGAGCTATGCGACAGCAGACCAGGGCACCCCCATCGAACCCGACCGGGTGATGATCGAACGCGCGCCCCGGCGTCAAGATTCAAACGACACCACCGACCGTCGAGATCGATACCGAGACAATGGAGATGGAGAAGGGACAAGCTCCCGCAGGCGCGAGCGAGCGCGATCGCCGAGTCGCGAGCGTGAGCGTGATGGCGATCGGCGTGAACGACAACGAACTCAGTCAGGCGATATGTATGCATCCCCAGTAATTACGGGCATGCCTCCTTCTCCTGGCGACTTCGCCACCGCGAGTCCTCATACGTACCCTCCAATTACTGAGGCAATGCCAACCACTTCAATACCCAGCCCGCCGCATGCAACCGCATTCTACGATCCTCATGTAACACAGCAGTTTCCTGGCCAATTCCCGGCATACGTTGCTGAGCCTTACCAACCGCCAAACCCTGCAGGAGAAGCAGCCGATTACTACGGCGATCAGGGGCAGTCCGTCCAAGACCAGCCTGGCGTCCGACCTAAACCTCCGTTGGTAGCACCCAGCGACCAAGCGCATCTGATGACCGCATCGCCCACCGCAAACCCGCCGCCAGAGCCAAGTAGCATGGGCCAGGTCGGCGCTGCAGCGGCCTACTTTATGGATGACGCTGAGTTGGGAATGGAACAGCCCGTTGAACCACCTTCTGCTTCTGCGCCGAAACCACCAAAACCATCAAGACCACCAAGACCCTCTGTACAGACGGCTGGAATCTCAAGCCCACCTGCCGTCGCCACTGCAACGACAATGTCAGGAGCTGAGGTTATGGATTCCCCAGGGCACACTATCTCGGAATCCCCTGCAAACTATGTGCCACCTACCGCATCGAGCCCTCCGAAGCCTCCTCATTCTCATGGAGCGGGTGCTGCAGTTGGCGCAGCCGCCGCCGGTGCAGCGGCCGGTTATATGATGAGCCACCACCATCAGTCTGCAAGCGTTGACCATTCTTCTCAGTACACCATGCAAACCTACGAAGGGGTACTCCCGGCCTACCCGGAGACTCCGGCGTTCCCCCCTCAGCAGAACATGCCGCCTTTTGCTGCAGGACCTGCGGCAGCGGCGGCGGCGGCCGGGTACGCGGCGAGTCCGCTACATCCCGATCATGCTGCAGTATACCACGGTGCTCCTTTCCAATCCGGAGGTTTGGCTTTTCAACAACGTCAACAAGGCCCCTTGGACAAATTTATCAACTTTTGGAAGGACCCAGAAGGTGTCGGCATGTTCGAGGATTATACGGAATCTATCGGGGTCTGCAAATACTGCTTTGAGCCAGGCACGACATCTCAAGACGCACCTCGCAAGCACAACCACAAACCTCGCCGCCGCTCTGCTGATAGGTACAGTAATGGATCACGTGTTGATAAAGCAAGCCGCTACTCCTCGTCAGAGGACGAAGGAAGGCGTCGCAACAGGTCGTCGAGAAACTCGTGGTTGCCCGGGCTACTTGGTGGATATGCGGTTAAATCTATCTTCAGTAGTAAGGAGTTCGACGAGTCTTACAGCATTCGAACGGGTGAGGTGGCGAGCTCTCGGCATTCGATCCACGAGAGTGAAGGCGCCTCCACAGCCGGTCGACGAAGCCAGACCTCACGCGGAGTCTACAGACGGTCCCATCGAAGCCGATCGCGGGAACATACCGACCACAGCTCCTATCATTCGGACTCGAAACTCAGCAGATATGAAGGATCTCGACTTCGTTCTCGGTCTCGCTCCCGCTCATCATCTAGAAGTCAGCGACATGCTGCCCTGAGGAATGCGGCCCTGGGCGTGGCAGTTGGAACAGCGGCTGTGTCAGAATACGAATCCCGTCACAGAAGCAGGAGCCGCAGTACATCTTCGAGGGGAAGGAAACCTAGAAAGACATCTTCTTCTGATGAATCTTTTGTGGATATTTCAAGACCCGCTCGCAAGACTGTCGGTAGTGGCTTCAGTTCGTTTTTCACTGCATCGTCAGAGAACCGCCGCAAGCGTCGGACCAAGAGGCGCAAGAGCATCTTCTCTTTCAGCAATAACAATTTTTCGTCATCATCACTCGATGCAGATCTGGCCTTTGGGTCTGGATACACGAAGCGCCAGTCAGGTAAGTCTAACAGGCGAAGCAAGAAGAAAGCGGATACAGATGTGGATGCTGCCTTACTGGGTCTAGGCGCAGCCGCCACTGCACTGGCCGCCTCATCCCATCGCAAGAATCGGCGCACTGGGGAGATACTTGTCGGCAAAGAGTCCCGATCCGGTCGGTCTGATTACGAGTCGTCTGCTGCTAACGATGAGGGCTGGGAAGATCTTGACTCGGGTGACCAGTCCTCCTCAAGTGTTACTTCCGGCCTCGCATTCGGCGAAAGTGGTCATTTCCCCAGCACTGACTCTCACTCTTCTGATTCCGGAACGTCGAGATGGCCTTGGAATTGGGGAAGCAAGAAGTCCAAGAAGAACAAGAAGAAGAGAAGGTCTCGCTCCTCGGAGAACCGCTTCCCCACAGAGGCTGCGGTCGCAGCTGGTCTCGGAACGGCCGCCTTAGCATCAGCATACCACCGGGAATCTAAGGTATCCAGTCACGATGCTGCAAGTAGTACTGGAAGTCTTCAACACGTGGTTCCTGTCCCCACCAGTGACCCTTCACATTTCGACACCATCAAGGCCTCATCTCAACCTCCTTCCCAGCCGACATTGGTCAGGCCAGGCCCTATTCCCCTGCAGCAGCCACAGCCAGTGACTCCGGTTTCGCAGGCAGTATACACTTCTCAAGGCGAATCCATCCCCTCTTATAGCGTATCTGATGTACACCCAACCCCTGCAAGCGCTTTCATGCCTTACGAAACCCCATCAAGAAGCGACAGATGGAACCAGAGGACCGCAGACTATACCGAGAGAAGTGATATCTCCGCGAGATTCAATCGGGCCCACCGGCGTAGTGATTCCTCCCCGGTCTTCCACGCAGAGCCCCTCGAGAAAATGTCGTCGTCAAGCTTTAGACGTCGCTCGACGCTGAAAGACCAGGCCTCAGTCCAATTTGACTTGACCGAAGAACAGGCTAACAAGGAGCGGCGTACCAATCGCCTGGAAAGTCTGCGACGGGAGGGCGATGCCGGCGGAGGAGTGCGACTTGTCGACAGAGAGCAAGAGATGGCGCTTCGGGATGCTGAACGTCAAGCAAGCCAACAGAGAGAACGTGAATATGAAAAGTCAAAAATCGAGGAAGAAAACTCACGCAGAGAGAAAGAATCCTCGTCCTTGATGGGTGCCGCTGCTGTAGGAGCGATAGGTGGTTTTGCTGCTTCCACAATGATTTCTAGAAGCAGTTCGAACGATGATTTCTCCGAGACCGCCAGCCAACGTCGGCACGAGGAGCGTCGTGAAAAGCGCCGAGCAGAGAGGCGCCGCGTTTCCGAATCAGAGTCTATCGCATCAAGTCTACCAATGTCGGAGAGTGGACGAACCATGGCAGAGGAGCGCTCGCAGAAAGACCGCCTGCCGGAGGATGTGAGGCCCCGGCAGTCTCGCCCACCTCCTCGGACAAAGCCCGTCTACGAGGACTATGCTCAATTCTTTGCTCCTGAGGAGCTACGCTACAGCCCTGATACCTACACACGCCGAGAGCCCACCTCGATGCCAACTATTATCGAAGTAGAGCCTACGAACGAATCTGCTATTGTAACGGAGGAGCCACACCCTGACTACAATGGTTTGCCGTGGCCTGTACCGGGTCTGACGCTTACTGAGCCAACCCCTCCCCATAGCCAGGTGGGCTCCGCCAGAGCGACACCAATTGTATTGGTCCCTGAACGACCCGAAGGAGAGAACAGGTTTGAACGGCAAACAACCGGCTCACGGGTATCATGGGGCAAGCATGAGACGCATGAGTACGAAGTGCCCTCAACATCCTCCGAGCATGAATCTGTCGACCAAGATACCAGGGCCCTTGAGCACATTGAGGAGGTTGAGCCTATTACCGCAGACACTGCACGGGACATGCCATCAAGCTCCTCTACCCAATCTACAACTAAGGAGGCCCCAACCATGGTAGGAGCAGATATCGAGTTTGCTGCTGCACTTGCTGCCGCAACTGCAGCTGCTGGCTTTGACCCTTCGCTTGTAACGGATGATCCCACATTCCATACTAGGCGCTCTCCTCCTACCTCGGAGCCGAAGGTGCAGTTTGTGTCACCCTGGGAAGAAGCACCCGTGTCACGTTCCGTGCCCCATGGATTTGTGGAAGGCGAAGTCGAGACGCCGGACGATGACGAGAACATCCAAATGGCACCGGAATACCGCATCGAGGATGGGCCCCTCTTTTCGGAGCCTAAATCTCGTACTGGTGAAGAGCTCGCAAACGAGCCCCGGCAATCCATGGCCCAGGAAGTTATCGAGCACCTCCGCCGCAGAAAAGAGCACAATGCCAGCGATAGCCCTGCCATTCAGCCAAGCCGGGAGCCCGTCAATAAGAGCGTTTCTGAAATTCCCGTGGAGGTCCTTTCCATGCCCGGTGGCTTCGAGCCTGAAGAGTCAATAGAGAGGCAGGAAAAATTGAGCGATCCAACCTCCACACAAGACCGCGACTCTCCTTACTTCGTGTCAGCGCCTGGAACCAAAGAGGATGGCCCATCGACATGGCGAGACACTCCAGAGCAGAGCAGCGGTGACATCGAGCCAATCGACGATGACATTGATCCATCCACAGTCGGGGCTGATGAGGGTGAAGGCAAGAAGAAGAGACGGAAGAGGCGTTCCAAGCGCAGTAGTAGTGACAACTTTGAAGACGCGGTTTCCATCACCTCTTCGCCCGCCAGGCTGGAAGAAAAGACGAAGGACACCAAACCCGGCAGTTTCTTGAGCAATCTTTTTGGGCCAAGAGTTTCAGCACCGGTAGAAGACAAGGGAACATCTTCTGCTGATAAATTTTCCTCTCGTGAAGTCCAATCGGAGATCGGGTCTGGACGTAGAGAGAGATCTTCACGGCGTCGCAGCTCCAGTCGAGGAGATGGGCTGGATGACGAGTCCCGCAAGCAGCGTGACGAGGAGAACATTAACGTTGAACATTATAAGTCTAGCAGGCAACGAAGGGAAGAGAGACGTCGACAAAGATATGAAGACATGATGGAATCTGGTAAATTGTCGGAGTTTGAGAAGGTATAGTGCTTGGTTGTCTTTCTGATTACCTGTAAAATTTGGCTTTGCCTTGTTTATTCCCATATCCGTTTGACAGTTCTTGTACAGCACATATACTAAAATTATCTTTCTTCTTCTTCCATGTATAGGATCGGAAACAATCTCAGGACGACGAACAACAGTCTTTTTTAGAGGAGGGCCCCGAAATGCGAGTCAAGGTAGACGAGGGTGATGGTCATCGTGGTGCTTCGGGGCGGCTGGATCCTGAGATCACAGGGCTGGGACTTGATGTCCTCGACTCCCGGCTACGGAGTCGCTCTGCATCGCCGCCTGCGTCTGAGAAGACCGCCAACCCCGCGCCCATGTCGCAGAGTAGACCAACCTCGCCTGAGCTAGCCCGGTCTCAAGAAGAGAACCAAGGTCAAAGATCTCGGCGGTCGTCTGTGTTGCGGTCAACCGAATCCCCTACTGCAGTACCAATACACTTCCGTCGGCCACCAACTTCACCTCGAGCCAACCGCTCTCCTTCCGTTTCTTCGGTCGTCGTTCCTTCCCCTGGTTCTCCAACACAGGGTCGTCGTCGCCCGGCTTCCACCGAGTTCAAGAATTCTCGTGAAATCCGGCCCTTGTGGCTCGTTGAGCGCTTTGGTGCTAGCAAGTCGGAGGCTCACCCTGATGAGCCCCTCCCTTCTTTGCCTTCAAGCAAGGCTTCTTCAGCAAATGCATCTGTGGAAGATCTAGCAGCTCTACCAGATATGAAGAAGTGGGAAATGGTTGATCTCAGCGAACACGTTCAGGGACCGCCACGGGCTATGGCCGTAGAGACTTCTGCTGCACAGAACCAATCAAGCGATGAGGGCTCGTACGACTTCCTCGATTCTCAACAAGGCACTCCAACCGCCGCTTCGTTCGGCCAAATTCCTCATCATCCTCCTTCCAGGAAGGAGAAGCTGAAGTACGAGTTTCACTCGCCCTCTGAGCTTTTGCAAGACGTCAACGTGCACCAGGAATTGCCACCATCTCCAGAGATTGGTCCCCTTCCCTCAGCTGAAGGTTCGGCAGTTGGTGTGAAAGAAGAGATTGGAAATGAACGCCTGGAGACCCTCCCGTCGCTTCCTGAAGTACGCCCATCTACGCCTGAAAACAAAGTACCTCATGGCGAAGATGTGGCCGAAACTACACCAACACAGCCCAGGAATGATTTCGCAGAGCTTGAACACAATGCTGATGTAGAAACCGGAGGTGATGCTGGTACAGCAGGTGATATAAAGCTCGACTCCCAGCGCTCTGAAGAGCAGATCAGCCTAGAGCAAGCACAGACAATTGGGGAGGGCGAGCACACCGCCAAAGCTGCTGCAAGTGAGGACCTTCCGGTCCAGATCCCTACCTCAGATTCTCTGGCGCTAGACAAAGATCGATCGATTGAGCCGGTTCAAGAGAGCGCACCTGTAGGTGTTGCGGCTATGGTCGGTACGGCCGTGGCAGCTGTTGCTGGTTCTGTACTGGGCAAGCTAGACCAAACCGAAGAACTACAGGCTCGGGAAATCGATCAGGCCAAGGGCGAGATGGGTGTGCAGGAACCAGATAAGTTTCAGGTCGATGTCACCTCAACTGAAATAGAGTCAACGCCAGTTGTTACTGGTACAGATTCTCAAGACGTGCCTGAGGATGTCGCAACTGCCCCGACCGTTGATGAACCCGTTCAAGGAAAGGCGGATGCCGATACAACTTCCACCGCAGAGCATGCTGGAGCGGAGACCGACGAGCACAATCCGGAACAAGTCAGTGCTGAGGTTATGGCAGATGCTAGCCATTTAGTGCCTGAGGATGCTAGCAAAGCCTTGGATGATAATGTTGAAGTTCCTGCAGAGCCTCACGTCGAGAGCGAGAGACAAGAGCAATCAGCGCCACGTGAGGAAACTGATGCAGAGAGTCCAGAGCTGGTGACGGAAGACGAGACCAGGGGTGCTGACCCAGAGATCGCCATCCAGTCCGAAGAAGCCCATGTGGATGTATTGGCAGCGGGAGAAGACTCATCAGAGGCTAAACAGGAGCCGGTGGAGGCTGCTGCGGGTGACATTAATGTAGATAACCCAGAACCTACTCCAGCTGGCACAGGAAACCATGCCGGTGAACCCACACACGAACAGCCCGAAGAATTAGGCGCCAGTGGGCCTGAAGTGACAGTCGTCGAGGATACCCCCGTCGGGGTGAAAGAGCCGGAGGGAGAAAAGGCCCTTGTGGAGGCAGAGATTGCTCAGGAAGTGCCAGTAAGCGACTTTGCTGGACCTACTGAGATTAACGAAGAGCCACTCCTGTCCGAGAAGGCCCCTGAAACCGAGCGTCAGGAGCCGGAGCCTATCAAGACCGAGGATGCTCTCCTCAGCTCGGAGCCCGCAGCCGAAGCCACGGGTGACGCTACGACTGAGCCCCTCGATACCCAAGCCGAAGAGCCTGTTGCAGATGTATCTACGTCTTCGACTTCGAAAAAGAAGAAAAATAAGAAGAAGAAGAAGGGCAAGAGCATCGACCTAGGCACTCCCGAGCCTACCCCAGCTTCGGATGAGCCAACTACATCCCAGGAGGAGCAGATTGCACAGAGCGCTACTGAGCCTGAGGTACCTGAACAGGCGCTAGAGTCTGAAATCCAGGAGCCGGGGCCGGCTGAGCCCGCTGCTGCTCCTGAGGAGATGGTCACCGAGACGGGGCCTCTACCTACTACAGCTGAGGCCGATACAGAGCCCAGTTCCCACGAGACAGCAACCGCCGAACAGCCTACCGTGGTTGCGGAATCGACTGGCGAGACTGCGGTTGAGCCTAAAGATGAAGAGAAGCTAGTGGAGACAGACACACAAGGGCCAGCTTTAGCGGAGCAATCTGCCTTAACCGACGCGCCTGCCGCGGAATCCGAGAAGCAAATCGAGCCCACATCTCAAGAAGTGCCCAATCCCGGTGATGCTTCAATCATAGAAGAGGTTTCTGCAGAGGCTAATAAGCCAACTGAACAGGACGCCCAGGAACCACAACTGGCGGATCAAGTCACACCTGAGGAGTCACTAACCAAGACGGAAGGTCTGGACGATGCAAATGTAGACACTCCAGCCGCCGAACAGCCTGCAGAAATAGAACAGCCTGCAGCTATGCCTCAAGATACGCCTGCCGTGGAAGAGCCCGGCATTCTACGAGAAGAATCTGTGGTAGAGGAACCTAAGGCAGAAGAGACCCCGGCAGTCCCCGAACCTCAGCCAGAGGCCGAAGCAGTACCTGTTGCTGATGCCGCAGAGTCTGCGGATGCACCGGCCTCTTCTAAGAAAGCCAAGAAAAAGAAGAAGAAGAAGAGTAAAGGTGCATCCCAAGACTTGACTGTAGAAGAGGCTGTAAACGCCGAAGACGCTAAGCCTGCCGAAGAGTCTACGGCTGTGGAAGACAAGACCGAGACTACTAAAGCGTCTGGGGATCTAGAGGCGGCTCAGCTAGCTGAGGAGGCTATTGTTGAACAGACGGCAGGATCAAACGAACAACCCAAGGAGGTCGAGACTGACACACCCCTCGAGGGCGACGCTACGGACAACAAGACCGAGCCAAGTGACGAGGCTGTGATAACACAGGATGCTACGGGTGTAGAGGAGAATAGTAAGCCCTCCGAGGAGGGTGTCAATCTCGCGAACGATGAAACTAGTCAGGCTACTGCAGCCGGACCAGACGTGCCTACAGTGGCTGATGTGCCTGAATCCTCACCGGCCGACTTTATTCCCGCTCATGCTACAGAATCTACGGAGGATGCCAATAACTCCCAGTTGCCTGAGGAGCTTGCAGCACCTATAGAGCCTGAATTTGCTCAAACGGCGAGTCATGATAACTCTGCAGATGTTGTGGAGCCGAATGAGAGTGAGGCGCCGGTCTTCGAGCATCAGCCTGAAGAATTACCTCTTAGTGCTGAGGCTAAAACTACAGTAGCGGAAGAAACGTCACAGGATCTCTCCACGGAAAAGGAAGCCGCTAAACCCGAGCCAGTTGAGTTCGAAAAAGCAACAGAGCAGCTGCAGCAAAGCGAAGCCCAAGAAGTTGATATCCAGACGCAAGAGAAAGAACAGCTATCCGAGGCTAAGGAAGAAAACGAGGTCCCAGCGACCGAAGCCGAGCTGCAGAAGGATATAACGGAAACCGCGGACTTACCTGCTGCCGATGAAGCGAAAACGATTCCCGACCCAGCTATAGCTCAAGATAACTCTCAGGAAGCCACTGAGGAACCGGAAGCTTCTCTATCACGCAAAAGTAGCAAAAAGAAGAAAAAGAACAAGCGCAAAAGCGCCGCCGCGACCTCGCTAGAAACAGAGCCAACCGAGGATTCTCAACCAACGTCCTCGGCCGAAATTTCTTCAGAAGCTCAAGCTGCCACGGAACCTGAGCTTGCTCCTGAGGATGTAGCGGTTGTTAACACTGGAGCTGCCCCCGAGACTGAACCTGCTCCAGAACCTGAGGTTGCAGCTAACGCTGAAGCTACCCCCGAAGTGGAAGCTGCACTCGGAACCGAGGCAGCACCAGAACCACAAGTTCCTCCTGAGGCCGTAGCTGCTGTCGAGAGCGAACCTGTCCTGGAGCCCGAAGTTGCAGCCGAAATTGAAGCTGCTTCGGGAACTGAAGTTGCTCCTGTGACTGAAGCTGCGACTGAAGCTGAAGTCGCGACCGCGAGTGAAACTGTGCCTGAATCAACTGTGACTGGCGAAGAATCCCCCGAATCAAAGGTGGCAGATGAGGCTCGCGACGAAAACAAAGAACTGTCAAGCCATGTTGCGGAAACGGAGAGAAGCGATGAATTGAAGCTTCCCGAGGGAGAAAAGCCCGAGACAGGCGATTCGGCTGGGGACACTCAAGAGGTTCAAGCCGAAGAGGCAGTAGAGGAACAGCCGAAAAAGAAAAACAAGAAAAAGAAGAAGAATCGCAAATCTTCCGCCCTGGACGAAACCGAGCCTGAGCCTGAGCCTGAACCCGAATCTGAGGCTAAACAGCCCGAGCCCAGTCAAGAAGACTCCGCCGAGCCCCCGCTCCTCCAAACAAGCGGTGAGCTGCCATCCGCCGCCCAGCAAAATAATGAGGCTTCCGAGGATGCTATAGCGGAGCCCCTCGCCGATGCCACTGTTAGCGACTCAACCCTGGCGGTGGAGCAGACCGAGGCCAATGATCAGGCACCACATGTGCCCGATCAATCGGCGGTCGAGGCGGCGCCTGAACTCGACCCTGAATCCGAAGCGGGGAGCTCTACACCGACTGGTAAAAAGAGCAAGAAGAACAAGAAGAAGAAGCGACAAAGCCTGTCTGCTACGCCCGACGAGAGCCTAGCACCTGTCGAGCCTCCCCTAGACAATATTGATCCTACGGTTGAGACTGCGGAAGTTCCCGTCGCTGCCGAAGGTTCCGCCCCCACAGAACCCGAGCAACAAGAAGAGGCAGTCCGAGAGACAGAACCCATCGACGCAACCGAAGCCCCTGTAGAACAAGCCACTGAATCTCCTCCCATGACTGCTGCTCAAAGGAAGAAGGCGAAGAAGGAAAAGAAGAAGCAGCAGAAGCAGCAGGCCGAATCTGTTAACATCACGCCAGCGCCCGAACCAGAAGCTGTGGCCGTGCCCGAGGATGCTCCACCAGAAGACCCAGCTCCTGAGGAGCCAAAGTCTCCCGTGGATGAAAAAGTGGATCTTCCGACAAACGAAAACGTAGAGGCAAGCGAAGGGCTTGTGTTGGAGCAATCTAAGGAGGCTCCTTCTGAAGAAGAGACTCCGGCCATTGCAATCGACGAGTCACCGAGCGATTTGCCTCAAGGTGCAACTGCAACTTCTGAGCATGTCGCGCCGGAGACTACGGAGTCTGCAGACACTGCAGGCGACCAGCATCACGATGCGACCTTCACTGATGCTGAGCCACAAATATCTGCTAATGGTGTATCGGAACCTGACGCTACTTCCACAGAGGAGCAACCTCAGGAGGCCGCTGAGAAGAGCCCTATGGGTGAGATGACTGCAACTGAGACAGAAGCTTCAGCAACTAGAACCATGGATGCCGTTGATCAAGCGACTCTAGACAACGAGCCATCAAAGGAAAATATCGAATCCACCGAGGTGCAGGAAGAGCAGCCTGAACCCAAGAATTATGAGCCCGTATCTGAAGCCCACCAGGCTGAAGAGGGCCAGACAGGCATGGATGATGGCGCTGAAAATGACGCTTCAACCGAGAAGAATACCGAAGCAGAAACAGCACCCATTGAAGCTTCCGTACCACAGAATGATGTCGCTTCAACTGTAGAGGGCTCTCAAGAACAGGCTCCAGCGGAACTGCCTGCTAGTTTTGAGACTTCGGAGCAAGGCGCAGTCGAGCATGAAACACCTACTGACGTGGGCCAAGAAGAGCCAGCACGAGAAGAAATTCAGACTACATCTTCTACAAAATCAAAGAAAGACAAGAAAAAGAAGAAGAAGCGTCAGTCTGTCAGTATTGATGAATCCCAGCCTGGGCCTGCGCAAGAGGATGAGAGCAACGAAACCCCAGTTGAGGCAGGCAGCGGGCCTACTGACACTCCTGAGGACGTCAGCAACTCTGCTGTAGCCGAGGACGTCGGCCCTTATGAAAGCACTGTTCCAGAACCGCCAGCAGAGGAGACCAGGGACATTGATACTGCGCTCAGTGAGCCGACCGAGCCTACTGAACCTGTCCAAGATCCACAGGAGTCGACTAAGTCCAAGAAGAAGGCGAAGAAGGACAAGAAAAAGAGGAAGTCGGTCTCTTTCGCAGACGCGGAGCCCGAATCGCAACTTTCTGAGCCGAGCGACCCTGCGGCCGATGCACTCGTCGCCAATCAGCAGGATGATGAGCCCGTGCCCAAAGACGACGCTCATTCTGGACTGTACCAAGATTCCCATGATACTGGATTGGCTCAGTCTCTGGAGGCTGAACCTGCTTCGGAGCAGCCCGCTGAAGAAACACCTACTGGCGAAACGCGTAATTTAGCGGACGAAAGCCAAGCTACTATGATGGATGCCACTGTTCCTGAGGAGAAGATTGAAGAACCGGAGGATCCGGTGACTCTACCATCAAACGAAGTTGATGCCACAGAGGCCCCGAAGTCTGGCTCGGTCGAAGATGTTTTTGTTACTCCCAAGGAATCAGCAGAAGAGAACGAACCAGCCGCAGACACCATGGCCAAGGAAACAGCAGAACAACTGCAGCCCGAAGCGAGTCCGGAGACGGATGCGCAGCCTTCTGCCCCAGAAGCTGATCCCCAGCCTGTGAACACGACTGCTGAACAGGAGAGTGGCTCCTCTAAGTCCAAGAAGAAAAAGAAGAAGAAGAAGAAAAGCATGACTGCAGAGGCAAACGAAGATACTGGTGCAGATGATGGCCCAAGCGAGCCAGTTACGCCAATTGAACCCGGTACTCCTGCAGAGCCTGAGCTATCTACCGAGCCCGAAACCCCAATTGAACCTCAGACGCCGCTTGAACCTGAGGCCGCAGTTGAACCTGAAACCGTGGTTGAGCCTGATACACCCGTCGACGCTACAGTCCCTGCTCTGCATGAATCCGAGGTAGTCGCTCCACAACCAGAAGATCCCGAGAAGGACGCCCCTCCCATGTCAGCCAAAGCGAGGAAGAAGGCAAAGAAAGACAAGAAACGCCAGTCCAAGAGCCTAGCTGATGCTACGGAGCCTGCTGATGAGACTCGCCATTCGAGCGACACTCAAGTGCCCAGCGAAACGAAGACCGCGGAACAATCGCTCGAAACGGCAAACATACCTGCTGAAGATGACGGTAAAGACAATCAGTCCCACGGCACCGAAAACCACGGCGAGAACGATAAAGATCTGATTTGGACTGATGACATGGTATCTCCGCAGGTAGAGCAAGAGCAAGCGACTTCTTCCGCTCATCCACCCCAACTCGAGCATGAGAAAAGTGAAGACGACCCAGTTTCCGTTCCCTCCGATGAAGTAGTTAAACCCGTTGAGCTGGATGCCCATAACTTAAGCCAAGAACCTTTAGCAACCAACGAGCCGGAGGAGTCGGGTGATGCGCAGGAAAAATCAGAGACGCAGCCCGCTGAAGATATGGTCAAGCCTGACGATGAAACTGGGCAAACGTCAGTTGGGAAGCAAGGAGAGTCCAGCACCGACCGAAATTTGATCGACGATGTCTCTGAGGATGTTGTAAAGGAGACAGAGCAGGCGCCGATTAGGGAGGACGCCGAGCACGAGGATGAACAGCTTTTCAAAAAGGAAGAGTCGCTTAGCGTCAGTCCGGAAAAAGAGTTGGCGGATGAGGCTACGGTGACGCGTGTAGGAGAAGTCATCGAAGCCCCGGATGCCATGCAGCAAGGAGAGTCCATCGAGGGTGTAGTTGAGATGGATGATTTTACGACCAATGTACCATCAAAGAAAAAGAGCAAAAAAGAAAAGAAGAAAAAGCGCCAGGCAGAGCAGCCAGCAAGCCAGGAAGAAACCGAACAGGGTACGGGAGTTCAGGGCAACGAGCAGGCAACAGCTACGGCTATTCCCGACGAGCTACCCGTGGAAACCACAGCTCCCAGTACTGAGCCAGGCCCTGACGCATCCCTTAAGCCAGCCGAGTCGCCAAAAGACGAGGAGGAGCCAGCAGCACACGATCTTGAAATAGCTGCCCCTGTCGAGAATCACGGAGAGGAAGCTGAACAGCCAGATGATTTCCCAGTTGAATCGAAGCTTGATTCAGGTGATCGGCAGCTGGATATTACAATTGTTCAGGTCGAGAAAGACACCCCTGAGGAACATGCTATTCCCGAAGGTGTTACTCCGGAGGCTGCCGAAGAAACCGCAGTCGATGTTGGCGAAACCCTTGCAGAGCCAGTCTCTAAGACGAAGAAAAACAAGAAAAAGAAGAAGAAGGGGTTAATTCAGGCGAAAGATGAGACTGAGCCTCAGGAGGTGACTGAGCCTCAAGAGGTAACTGAACCGCATGTCGAGAGCGAAGCAGTGCCGGACAATGAGCTGGTCGGCCAACAGGGAGTGACAGAGGCAACTTTCGAACAGGCTTTGGAACCCACAGAAGACAAGAACAGCTTGGATGCCGTGCAAGATGACGCAAACCTGAACGACATTGTTGATGAGCCAGCTCCTTCGGGTGACAAGGCTCTCGAGTCAGCCGCAGAAGCACCAGAAGGACCTACACTGGTGTCAGAGCAGTTCCTTCAAGACAACATGGTCAGGGATGAAGACAATACCAACTCATCTGCTGCGGAAGCAACAGAAGCCATTCCGAGTGATTTGACCCAGGAGAAGCCCTTGGAGGTGTCAGTCCTCACTCGTAAAGAATCCAAAAAGAAAAAGAAGAAGGCGAAGAAACAGGCCAGAGATGAGCAAAGCAGTCCCACGCTTGCACCGACTGAAGGGGCTGTTACCGGTGACGAGGGTTTGACGTGGACAGATACTCTTGATTCCACCCGTCCTGCCGCCGAAGAACTAAGCAACACCGTCGAAGAAAAGCAATTGACAACTCCCACCATGCAAGAGGGTGGAGACGAGGAAGAGCACCAGGCGCCACAGGCTGAGGAAGAACAAGTCCGCAGCGCAGAAGAGTTTGATGAGCCCCGAGAACTGTCTACTGCAGAGAGACAAGATATGGTCGTCCAGCAAGCACCAGAAACGACCAATGCAGAACAGGAGACCGAGACACTAACAGCAAAGCACGACCATGGGATGTCTGAAGAGTTGTCTGAGAAGTTCCCGGAACAACAGGAGACACCAGCTCCCCTAACGAAGAAGTTGTCCAAGAAGGAACGCAGAAAGGCCAAGCAAAGGGCTGAACAAGAGCTTGTAGATTCTGATAGGGGGCAGCAGCCAGGTGTTGACGCTGGTGCTTCGGCGGACCAGAACCCGGTCCAACAGCAAGTGGCTGAAGCACCAGACGCGCTGGCTGCTGAACAGGCTACGGTGGACGATGTCTCTCCGGATCCACACTCTGGGGAAGAAGAGAAGCGTCTGGAAAGCCAAACCCTCGATGCCCAGAACCCAGAAGGTGAGCAACCCCACAAGAAGGATGCCACCAGTTTTCCACCACAGGAAACTGAGATCCCGGCTTGGGAGCAACGCGCACAAGATGATGACTCTTGGCCTATAATAGACTGGGAGAAAAGCGAAGTCGATGCTACCGAACGATCACCCGATTCCTCACCCGAAGCTCTTGCTGTCCCGTTCGAGCCAGGCATTGCAGATTTTGACGAGAACGCAATCCCGGAAGGGGTGATCCGACACCCAAGCGCATCAGCCGCGGCAGGGAAAACGACAGTCAGAGCATCTCAGCAAACCCGAGGCGACGTACAAGCTCCCTCTGAAGCAACTGCTGTTCCGCCAATTTCACCCTCTACCGCACTCGATGTAGAACACTCTATCTACGCAAAGACTAGCAGCGAATCCCTCGGTTCCGAGTCGCAGAAACAAAGCAAGGTTGCCAGCATCTTTCCTCAACTGGAACGGGGGTATTTTCGTCGACCAGCTCTAGTTGAGCCGTCCGAGTCAGCAAAAGATGGGGCTGAGGAAGAGACTATCGACAAGGAAGCAATTCGCGACAGCGCGATAGTCTTGGAGGCGCCCATTAACACGGCCGACTCCCCGTCTTCGGGGCAGGACCATGCCAAAATTGCTACGGAACCTACTGAAGCAGATGAGTCTACACAACCGGAGACTGGATTGCACCCTTCTCCGAACGAGCCTACGATCGAAGTTGAAGCAGATACTTCGTATAATGTTTCTGTGCTTTCGGACGGACCGGAAGAGAAGTCTAGACAAATTGACATACGGTGGGAAGAACAAAAGGACAAGGAGTCTCCCAAGGAAGTTGAAGCTGAAACCACGGAGCCTAGCCTTTCTTTCCACCACGAGGCTCCACTATACGCCCCGTCTCCCGTGCATGAGCGACAGTCGGTACTCGTTCGGTCAGGATCCCCATCCGGTAAAGAGATTGGACAAGCAACGTCACGCTCTAGCCCAACTTGTGAGCTACGACGTAGCCCGTCAATCCACGGTCGACCTAACCAAACGCGGCGGCCGTGGTCGTTGGAGGTCGAGCAAAACTCTCAGCCACGTACGCCCTCGCCGCAGCCGACAGGAGTGGATCGAGAGGCAGTCTCCCCGCCGCGGACACCATTGCAAACCATCGAGGAGGATGAGCCAAGGGGTCGAACGGAGAGATCCACCGGTTCAAGAACCGTGGGTCACGGGCGCGGCACGCCCCGTCTGGAGATGAAGCCCGAACATGTGCTTCCTCGCCCCGAAACCCCGACCCGGAAGTTTACTGACAATGCGTTGGCCCGTCAGGCCTGGCCAACACCGGATAAAGAAACGCCGTTTGACGATGTCGATGTCAAGAAGCGTAGCCCTGAGAGTCAGCTGGTGGAAGGTAGATGGCCGGCTGAGGTGCTCAAGACGCCGGAACAAGACAAGCCAATTCTACGGCCCAGCAGCAGCATCCGAGGGGTCAAGAGCATGCACAACATGACGCCGAACCTCGAGCAGACGCCGACTCCTCGATCGCTGCGACGCAATCATCGCACTGCCAGCGGAGATTTGCGGGCGGCAGCCACCACTCAGGCGCAGGAGAGCGACGACCAATCAGAGCGCAAGCCCCAGCCTCCCGCTTCTTCAGCCTCGGACCTCAACCTCGAGCGCATCGCCTCTTCTTCCTCCTACGACCCCGTCACCGACAAGGGCAAGCGTCCCCTGCGCAATATGACGGACGTTTATGTAAGTACTACTAGTTGATTTTTCATGAATTCTGTGCATTGGTATCTTCGTCGTTATCGCAAGGTCTGGGTTGGCTAACCGATCGTCTGTTTACTACTGTAGGAGGGTTGGGGTGAGACGCCCAGCTCGCCCCGGTCGCCTAGCCGACCGCCCAGCATTCGGCACCGTCGAAGTATGCAACACCTCCAAGAACTCGAGTCTCGTCTCGACCGCCTTATTTCGGAAAATCGTCTTCTCGCCGCCGCTCGTGAGGAAGCTGAAGATAAACTCCGCAAGACCTCCGTCGCCCGACGCAAGAGTGACCATGCCCTCAACAGCCGCGACGCTGATCTGCGGGACAGGGATGCCGAAGTGGAACAATTGAAGAGCTCGCTGGAGTGGTTGCAGAAGGAAGTAGCCCGTCTGACCGAAGAAAATGCCGGGCTCACGACGACGAGCTCCAACCTCACTGCCACTCATGCGCAGGAAGTCCAAGTTATGCAGGAGACGTTCGATCGCCGAGTCGATGCATTGCGCTCGGAGAATCAACAACTGTCGGCAGAAATGCACGATCGGGTGCGACAAGAAGTGGAGACGGCATTGGCCCAGAAGGACATGGAGCTACGACGGCTACGGGAGGCATTGGAGAATGCTCGCGACAAGGTGAAACAACTACAGCAACAGATCGCGGCAGCCATGCAGGACGACGTCTTGGTCTTCCGCGACGAGGATTACTTCGATGCTGCTTGCCAGAAGCTATGTGGTCATGTACAGCAATGGGTCCTCCGTTTCTCCAAGCATTCCGACCACCGTCGCTGCCGCAAGCTCAGCGATCTGCAGGATGAGAAGATTGCCGACCGGTTCGACAACGCAATCCTGGACGGTTCCGACGTAGACAGCTACCTCGGCGATCGAGTTCGTCGTCGTGATGTATTCATGTCTGTTGTCATGACCATGGTATGGGAGTTTATCTTCACAAGATACCTATTCGGCATGGATCGTGAGCAACGACAGAAGCTCAAGTCTCTGGAGAAACAACTTGCCGACATTGGCCCACGCAGTGCTATCCACCGGTGGCGCGCCACTACTCTGACTCTGCTCTCGAAACGGCCAACCTTCTCGAAGCAGCGTGAGAATGATACCGAAGCTGTCGCCTTGGAGATCTTTGACACTCTGTCGCGCCTCCTCCCGCCACCTACCAATGTCGAGGCCCAGCTTCTGGACTCGCTCCGCAAGGTGCTCCGTGTCGCGGTTCACCTGTCGATTGAGATGCGCACCCAGCTGGCAGAATACATTATGCTACCGCCACTGCAGCCCGAGTATGACACCAATGGTGATCTTGCTCGCCAGGTCTACTTCAACGCCTCCTTGATGAATGAGCGCAGTGGAGAGACCACGTCAAATGAAGAGCTGGAAACGCAGCAAGCGGTAGTCCGGGTTGTTCTGTTCCCGTTGGTGGTGAAGAAGGGCAATGACCGGGGAGAAGGCGACGATGAGGTGGTCGTCTGCCCGGCCCAAGTGCTCATTGCCAGACCCAACAAGGACAAGAAGGTGGTGAAGATGCTCAGCGGCGACCGCATGTCCCTGGATGCCACGAGATCGGTCCACAGCGTCGCCCCATCGTCAACCATGGACATGAGCAATGTGATCTGAGGCGTCACACTCAGACCACAATTTGTCTCATAGTCTACGGTAAACGACGACTGCACACTTTTCGGGCAGTCTGGTCCATCGTTCTTTGCGGGTCGTTACGGTTTTGATTATTCTTTCACGTTGGTTAGCACGGGAGGCGTCAGGACGGATGGATGATGGGAGCCGGGATCCAACCCGGTTCAAAAATGGTAATGAATAATGCTTGGAAGGCTACTTGGAGCGTTTGCTGTGCTTTCAATTATATCCCCTGTTTGGTTGCTTTGATTCTTTTTGTCTATTTTATGTTTCATAATATTCTCATTTCTTGTCTCATATTGATGATGTCTATGATGATGCCCGATATCTAGAGCTGACGATATGACGGCCTTGATTGCTACTTTGAAGTTATGCCTTTTATTCTTTATTTTTTTTTATGTTGTTAATGTAACATTGTGGTGTCTAATATGTATGACTGTATGTAGTATGATGACAATGAGACCATTGCAGGCTCTGAAGAAGACAAAGACAGCTTTCGTATTTGGTGTTGGGGGGAAGCTAAAAAGCATCGGTGAGCCAGTGATGTCATCACCTGACTGGGCGGGCCTTAAAGCGGTGATTATGGCCGGGCAGGGGGATTGGAGCTCCCAATTTCCTTGCTTTTTGCCAGGCATTTGGTCTGGAACTCCCTCCCTCTTCCATCTTCCCCATCGTTGCTTGTTCTTCGGAACTTCTCTTGACAGCAGAGGTCCTTCATTGGCTTCCCCACCTTTCATCCTCCGTCTAGTCTATCCCCATCGTGTACTTTGTACTACACAGTATCTACCTCTTAGGACTGCCCCCCATTTCTCCAGTTGATGGAGCTCAACCCTTGCCGTTGGAAGTGCCTCATGTCCCACCACGCCTCGCCCCTCGCTCGCCGATCTCCAATCGCACTGCGCACTGCGCCCCGATGAATTGTCCCTGACTACGCTGAGCCCTACTAGGCTGGCCGACACTGCATACCCGATAACCTTGCGTCTTGGATTGCCTTTTTTTTTATCCTCGTCATCATTACTCTCATTCTTATCGCAGCAGTCATTCCTCGGTGTCGAAAACCCCCGTGCATGGTGCTGCTAAACCGTATACTATTCACTACTAGCTGCAAACTTATCGCCTTGGGAAGTGGAACCCATTAAGATAAGGAATTGAGGGAACATTTTCCCAAAATTTTGGGCCGATTATCGTGCATGCAGCATCCGCGGCCCCGAGACCCTCGTTCCAGATCACAATGCAGCCTTCACCGTCAACTCCGCATCAGACCGCTCCCAGCCCGTCCAAACCCTCCCGACACAGTACTCGACGTGCCGGTGACTCCCAGTTAACAATCACGCGTGGCTACGACACTCCTGGCTCGGATCGGAAGCAGGACGATGGCGCAGGAAGCAGATCAGGTACCACGGTTAAATCTGCCAAACGGAAAAATCCCCGTCATCGAAAGCGTCGTCATCGCCGTCAGTCCTTTCTCGGCGGCGCTGAGGATCCTCATCCTGCTGCTCCTCATGCCTCGATCCCCGACGCAGGTGAGGATATCAGCATGATGGCTGATCAGGCTAAGCCGCAAGCTTCGCTGCCGTTCTATAAACTGGGTGGTAGGGATCTCAGTAGTACGAGTTTGGAGAGTGAGGCTTTGTTGGATCATCGGTATGTTACTCTTGTCATGTTCCCTTAGTTTGGGATTTAGTTTCATCGGGCTAATGAGTGGGTGTTTCTACATAGTCATCAACCATCGATGAGACCTCGGAGAGATAGTCGTCTCGCCCAATCTTACCGTCCCGGTTCCTCGACCACCCCTTTTCGTCCCGAGTCGGGCTCCCAGACCCTGCCGTCGGCGCACAGATCGTATCGAGTGGACAATGATAGTGGTGGGGAAGAAGAGGAAGTCAATGATCGGACACCGTTGATGCCACCGCCCTCTGCCCATAGTCCTAGCTTGCCTCGGTACGGGGCCGACTTTCGGTCAAGCCCGCTGTCGTTCCACCAGCGACGACCTGCCTCCAGTCGTTCGAGTTCTTCTCAATGCTCGCCTCGTGCCATACCGAGTCCCAAGTTTGGTGAGCAACAAGATCGTGATTATGACATCAACAATCCTCCGTCAATGCCAACATCGCCCAAGCTCGGGCCTGAGATGAACTATGACGATGCAGTGGTCACCGGGGCAGAGTTTGACTTTTCGCTCGCCAAGTCGATTGACAATCGTATGGAACAACTGGCTCGCTCGCATGATGTGTTGATTGACGTTGATGGAACCAATAATCGTCCCGCGCAGTCGCCCGGGTCGTCGCCGACGTCGCCGCAGATTAACCCTCAGGAGCGTCTCCGTCGTCGCACGACCTTCCCAGCTGAAGAAGATGTCTGCTTCCCAACGGAAGAGGTTTCGGAAATTGCCGAAGAAGATGCACAGAGGGCGGCCAAAGAAGGCCATCGCCGACGGCGGCGGCTTAGGGAATGGCCGGATCTATCCGTCTTGGAGGATTGGAGCCGCCAGGAGAAGGAGGAGCGTTCAGGTGCTTATCGCGCGAAGAAGATCAGTGAGCCTATGCTTGTCGAGGGTCGCCTTCGTCCACAGTACCGACTCTGGCGACGCGAAGAGGAGGAAGCTCCCTACCGGTTCACATACTTCAACGAAGAATTCCAGAGTACTATCCACGCTCAGACCATCTCGGAGCTATGCCAGCCTGGTGGTAGTTTCCGCGAGCTCTTTATCCCGGATCCCCCAGAGTTAGACATCTCGTCGGATGAAGAGGAGGAAGAGGAGGAGCACCATCAAAGGGAGGGCAGCACGGACCACAACAACCATAGCCGTCAGCCCAGCGGCAACGTATCCCGGGTCATGTCGCCGAACGGTAACAGTCACGGCGCCAATGGCAATGGTATCCATAATCACAACAATCACCAGGGTGTCTACGGGAATCAACGGCACCAGCCTCGAACGTCCATCATCAGTGAGGCTGTCACCGAGGCACGAACATCCGCCGAAGCGTCGCCCCTGCGCAAACCAGTTCAACCCAAGCCCAAACGGTATGGGCCTCGGCCGACCTTTTGGCTTGATGTTCTGTGCCCGACCGATGCAGAAATGCGAGTGCTCGCCAAATCCTTTGGTATCCATGCCCTGACGACCGAGGATATCATGATGCAAGAGGCGCGCGAGAAAGTCGAGCTGTTCCGGAACTATTACTTTGTCAACTACCGCACCTTTGAGCAAGACCCCAACAGCGAAAATTATCTCGAGCCCGTGAACATGTATGTTGTTGTGTTCCGGGAAGGTGTGCTGTCCTTCCACTTCTCGCAGACGCCCCATCCGGCGAATGTGCGCCGACGAATCCGTCAGCTGATGGACTACCTTATCCTCAGCTCTGACTGGATCTCGTATGCTCTTATTGATGACATCACGGACGTGTTTGGCCCCTTGATTCAGGCTATTGAAGACGAGGTCGATGAGATCGACGAGAAGATCATGCAGATGCATGCAGATGAGCGAGGTATGGGGCCCAACAAGGAAGAGGATAATCAGAGCGTGACCACGTCTCTGGCCCCCGGTGAGATGCTGCGGCGCGTGGGCGTGTGCCGCAAGAAGGTGATGGGGATGTACCGCCTTTTGAGCAACAAGGCAGACGTTGTCAAGGGCTTCGCCAAGCGATGCAACGAGCAATGGGAAGTGGCGCCCAAGTCGGAGATTGGTCTCTATCTGGGTGATATCCAAGACCATATCATGACGATGACCAGCAGCTTGACCTACTACGAAACGTACGTCGCGACAACCGCCCCTTTGGAATGGTATTGGATTAACTAATTTGACTGCTGTGTTGTAGGCTTCTGTCGCGTGCGCATTCAAACTACCTGGCGCAGATCAACATCCTGATGAACGAGCGGCAGGAACAAACAGCCGATGTGTTGGGGAAATTGACGGTGCTGGGAACGATTGTCCTGCCGCTGAATATTATCTGTGGTATGTGGGGGATGAACGTCAAGGTGCCTGGTCAGGATGTGGATAGCTTGTCGTGGTTTTGGTCGAGTAAGTCTCTCCCTCTCTTCTACATTGGATGAGGATGTCGTGGCTAATGGAGTCTTCGTTTAGTCACTGCGGGGCTAGTTCTGTTCGCCATTGCGTCGTTCTACATTGCGAAACGAGTCTATAAGATTGTCTAGTCTAGTCTAGAAGATGATCTGGGTAGAAGGTTGGCTCTGGTTTGCTGGGTTCAAATTCAATTTCCTATTTAGTTGCTCTTTTGGCTATTGCGCTGGGGTTGCACTGGGAGAGGTATGGCGTGATGAGAGTTCAGTTTATTTGCAATACCTTTGGGTCTGGCTACAGCTTCTTTCCTTCCATCTATCTGAGAGTGTATATTATGGCTAGGATAGGATGATAGAGGTTTATGGTATATAGCATGTGAAAGGGGGAATGTAACCCCCCTTCCCCTTGAAAGATTCAAGATATCTGGTAAAAAGCTTAAACAGAGTTTTCTGGTTATTAGCACAAACCTGCTGGGAAGAAGTTCGTTCCGCGTCTCGAATGTGTTTCTCCGGGGGTGGGGGGTGAGATGAAGTCATGATGATCCTCCCGGTCGGAGGGATGTTCCGTATTGGTTCCGTACTGTCCCGTATGGTCGGGAAAAGGTGGTGTGGCAGTAGGTAAAGTTACCAAACGGCGATGTCACTGCAGGTATTCATTACCTTCAGGCTTATGATGGCGGTGGATTCCTGAGGAATCCCCATTTGGAAGGGGATTGTTTTATTCTTAGCTTGAAACTCGAAACAAAAACATCCAGAGTCAGTTATTTGCAGAGTAATTGGACGGACTGACTTCATCGCCTTCCATCCTCTTAACCACTACAACTTCCTCTCATCTCATCTCATCTCTCGTGTCTTTTACCCCCTCCTCACGTCATTTACCCTCCCCTCTTTCTTGTCCTCTGTTTATTGATCTTCCTTTCACTATCTACCTCTACCAGCTGGCTGAAAGAAGGAAAGAAAGAGAAGACAAG